ATCCTTACTAAATTCCTAATTAATTTTCAATTCAAAACACAAAATATAAAAAAAATAAAATTAGAATAAGTTTATACCCATTATTTTTTTTTATAAAATATTTCAAAGTTTTAATCTCATATGTACACATTCATATACCAAATTGTTATATGTAAAATGTACATTTTTTATTAATATAAAGTGTACCTATGAATTATAATTAGTTCCCTAATCGAGTTTATGAATACCGACGGGTCCCGTGTTTTGGATCCTTGATTGTGTTAGCAGCTTAATTTGGAGAAACAATGGTCGTATTCATGGTGTTATCTTGTTGCATTCTTATTATCAATACAGTCTAAGCAAACCATATCCTAATGCCTAAATGGGAAGCCTGAAAGTTAAGTAAAAAGTGTTCTTATCCAGACACAAAACAATTTAATATATAAAGTATATACCAATTATTTTCTGATTACGTTGTACTTGTCTCACTTCACTAGAAAAAAATCTCAAATTCGACTTTTATAAAAATTCGTGATTAATATTTCTAAAGTTTCTAAGTGTTGCTAGCTTCGTTGTCACCACGTCGTAGCTTTTTTGTAAATCATATCTTTCTTCCGAAGGATAAATATTATTGATTTGATTTCTTGTTTACTGAATTTAGGCCAGCATACTGGTTGTGTTTGTTGGAGAAAGTTAGAGCTGTTTAGAGCAAAATCCATATCCATGCATGCAGCACACACTTGTCAGATTCTAAATTCCAAGGTCATAAGACTAGCAGTGTTGCCAGGAACCATTTGTGCTAAAGTTGTGCTAAAGAGATCAAAATTTTAGATTATTATTTGTAAATCACATGACGTGACGGTTGGTGGTTTAATTTCTTCTTGTAATTATTAAATAGGAGCCCAATTATCAATCGTCATATCATGTAGTCTTTAAAATATGGTCTAAAAATTTGGGTACATTTTTTCTCACTACTCTTAGGTGATGGTAATGCTCAACATCTTACCATTGGATGAGTTCAAATTTTAATATTTATGTCTATCAATTATATAGATCTTGAAATTTAAACTCATTTAACGATGATAAACATGATGGTAAGTATCGTTGTCACTTGAGGGTGCGGTGAACAAAATTATTTTTAAAAAATTTGGTATCTCTTTCATTTTTCTTTGTGCAAGGTAGCTAGCTAGAGTACTACATCATCTCTAGAGGACACCTGTCAAACATCAGCAAATTGAATGAGGATCCTCTCCGGATCCTCTTTGTGAGGATTCTAAGAATTCTCAAATTGTGTCCGTTCATCGTACATTATGCGGTCATAAATCATTTTAAATATTTTTATTTAAAATTAAATATGAATAGTACCTAATGAGAACTGATTACATAATATACGATAAACAGACACGATTTCAAAATTCCTATAATCCTCACAAAGAGAATCCATAAATGATTCTCATTCATTGAGAATTATATCCATGCATTATTTTTTGAGCAACTCAAGGAATCATTTCTATATATTCACTTTGGAGTACTGCTATAATATATTTGGCAATATAATTTCTTTAACGGAAATCGAAAAACTTAAAAATAAAAAAAGTAAGGAAATAGAATTAAATCAACTAACTTCGCCCCCTTTTTCCTAATTGATCTGATCCTAATTTTTAAGTATTTAATTATAATCTTTACTTTGTGTAAGTAAATATGAATCGTTTAATAACATAGTGTATGAGATATTTTGTAAGAAAGTAAAGATTACACTATTCCTAGACATACCGGCTCACCCCAATAATTAAGAAGGTGGCCAAGATATCTAGATCCTTGTCGGCAAGGTTTATTATATTTTTTATTTTTATTTTTATTTTATCAAAGATACTTCTTCATTTAACAGCCAAAAGGAATACAAGATTAGGTCAACTGCCAACTGTAGGACCATATAAGGAGGAAACTAAAGTACAGTGAGGCAAGGAGCTGAGGGCCAGATAAAGAAGACCACCAGCATAGCTGTGTCGCTGACCTTAATAACCAAGCATCCACAAAAAAAATCAGTGTGGGCAGGGGAGGCTATCAATGGACAGGATATGAACTAGAGCGGATGAGGGTTTGGAAACCCAGACTTCCGTACGCATTCCTCTATTGCAATGCGAGGCGACCCAGTCAGCTGCCGAATTCGCTTGACGGGGAACCCACCTCCACTTAGAAAAGCTGAAACGATGATGGAGGTTCCAAATCTGACGAAGTAAAGGGAAAATAGACCAAGAGACATTATTCTTATTACCATTGATGAAACAAACTAGAGAAGCCGAATCAGATTCAAAGAGAACTTTATCCAAATTCCTGGATAAACCCATTTGCATATCAAGGATCGCCGCATTAGCTTCCGCCTCCAAAACAGAAGAACCTGTAGGAGTTTGAGACCCTCTTGTCCCGCATTAGGCAACAATATGTTTTTACTAACCTTTATATAGGTTTATTCATTCTTCTTAGTAATTAGAACTTGGACCATTTGAAAATGGATTGAAAGTTTTGGCCTTATGGTTGTGTGGATTAGGCTTGAATATAATATAGCCTAAATACAATTAATATTAATTAATCAAGACAAAGGCCTTGGGGCCTTGGAAATTAAAATTAATCAGATTCATTAATTTTAATTTTTGGATTAAGTTTTTTAATTAATTTATTAATTAAAAAACGTTTTGATTAAAAGACACAGCTATTAGAAAGAGTTGTGTACTTTCAAATACACTGAACAGGTATTTGAAAGGGTGTGAAACAACCTATATATTTGCAATCACAGTATCCAAGTGAGATCATCTTTTCTTCCTCTTTTTCTTCCGTACGAAATTTCCAGAGAGTAAGCACACAAAGCAAATTTGCTAGAATTCTAGAATCCAGTGCGGGTTGTAAAATTAGGTAGTTGAATCCTAGTCGAGCAGACGTTGTAGAACCACAAGCATAAGAGTGGGAAGAAAATACTGTTCGAAGGACATAGCTTTTACGCTAGCCTCTACCTTCTGTGATCAAGTTAGTATCATTGATATTCTTATATTAGTTTCTGTATTTATTGTATAATTTCATTCTGCACATCAAGTATTTTTGATTAATAAAATATTAGAATTTCAAGTTCTATTTATTTATGTTATTTTTTGTTTATTTCTTAATTGAAAAGGTTTTGGAAGAATGGCTGAATGGGATCCACGATCCACCAATATACAAATTGCAAAGGCATCAAATCAGAACATGAATAATTCTAAAAGGACCTTGGATGCAAATATTAATGGGATGAGAATATCCATCATTAAAGAATTATAAATTTTTGTGAGAACTAGAGTGTTGTTACACATGTATAAGGTTTAATAAAATTTTGTAAGAATTTATCAAAAGGTTTGATTCTTTTTAATTTTTTTTTAATCTTACTATTGTTAGATGGTTCAAAGTATGGTGAAATTTCAACTACCTTCGTGATATCAAAGACTGTTTGCCCATGTGTTATAAGACATTTGAAAGTGGTATTTCTAGTTCATTGATGACTCATATAAGTATTTCCTATTGAATTTTAAGAAGCTTATGGTATGACACAAGTTCCACGAAAATGAGCTTATGACGGTTTTTGTTGCATTTCGCAAAAGCATAATGCTAATGTTAAGGAGATCATCTATTTACATTATATTTAATAAAATATGACATGATTGTTGATAATTGAATTATCAATCAAGTATTTATTAACGTGCTTATTTTTTATTAGTGACACATTATATGATTTGTAAATTTAGTCTAAACAATCTAATCTCTTTAAAAATATATGCTTTATTAAAATAAAACAATAATTGATATTTAATGAGGTTAATTAATTAGTTAGATCAACTTGAAGTTTATAGAAGATCACTGTGCCCTAGCGAGTTGTGGTGGGATTGTGCTGCATCTGCTACATGCATCATCATCACGTCATCGTCTTCAACTCGAAGAAAGGCTTTTTCATCCTGGCTTTATTTAAAATGGTGACTAACACAAAACGGAAAAAGGCGAAACAAACTAAAATAAAATAAAACAAACTCAATAATATCCTCATCTGCAAGCCAAAACAAAATTAATTGAATTGCATGGAAATAAAATTAAAAGAAAAACCAAAGATAATTGAATTGCCTAATTAGGCATGTATTTATGTTGTATATATAGAGATAGAATCTAACTGTTCTACATAATTAATTTAAGCCATTTTAGGAATGAAAATGATGGGAACATTTAGTCTTCAAAAGGGGTCCAATCTTCATTGGGAGTTCGAATTCCCCCCACCGCCCACCCTTTTTTTGTATCTTCTTGAAAAGAGATAAAAGGTGGTAAATGCGGTTGACAATGTTGAGAAAGTTAGACCAGAGTATAGTAGATGCAACACGGTTTCAGTGGGTAAGACGTGACATGACTAATCAATTAAAATGAACTTTTTGACACCTTTACGTATTTTGTAAACTTATAAATGATGAAACTAAACTTTTGAATTGAATAGTTCGCTATATCATGACTTGAAAATTCTGTGTCTGACGTAGATGCAACACGGTTTCAGTAGGTGAGACGTGACATGACTAATCAATTAAAATGAACTTTTTGACATCTTTACGTGTTTTGTAAACTTATAAATGATGAGACTAAACTTTTGAATTGAACAGTTCGTTATATCATGATTTAAAAATTATGTATCCAACGTTAGTAAAACTTCGTGGAAAATGAATATCAACCACCATAGGGATTAGTCTCCATTCTAGTACCAGTCCTCTCTCTCTCTCTCTCTCTCACTAATCTTGTGATTCGTTATGAATTAACTTCTGCTTTTGGTATGTGTGGCCGGGTGAGATATATAGGTTCATACTTTTTAAGTAGGAAACTGTAGTTTGTGAACTTAATTCAATAATTCTTGCTAATGAACAGAAAAAAAAAATGAGGAAGAATTGATCAACTTGATACCCAAAAGGCTAGGCCCAATCTCTTGAGCCTACAAGAAGTCCAAGTCTCTATTAAACCCATTCATCTTAAGCTTAATTAAATATACTAAAATTAAAATACTGCAATATTAACATAGCACATGCATAATATTCATGAATACAGCACACACCAGAAAACACATTTCCAAAAAAGCTGGAAATTACGGACATTCACACATACATATACATACATATATATATATATATATATGTATAATATATGCATGGGGATGGGCTGGAGTTTCACCGAAACAGACTAAAACATAACAGTGAAACTCTGTGGCTTCATTTTCTTCTACTTACGAACCTATAATTTAGCTATATATATTAGGGTTATTAAGTCCCTAACAAATACTGGCCTCAATTTTCCTAATAATATTTCTTAAAAGCTTATGTACAAAATCTAGCTAATTAACTGATCTAGGTAAATTCCCAGGACCCCAAATTTGAGCAAGTGACCTGCTCGAAGAAGACGCTTTTCTCCACCTTGCAATCCGTAACAAGAAAGTTAACACCTCCGACGGATCCTGCAGGGAATAGCAAGCTTTGGTATCCCTTGGGGTTGAAGACACAATTATCGGAAACCCTAGTCCTCTACTTCGTATCACCTGCATGTATATGTGCAACAAGTAATTAGTATTAATCCATAAAATTAACTACAAGTATGAAAATTAATGAAACAGTTGGATCTGTTGTAGGTACCTTGAAAGCATCTTCATCAGTCCGATCATCCCCAATGTACAACGGGAGGACGTCACTGGAATTGCTGAATCCAAGAGTGTCAAGTAAATATTCTAGGGCATGACCTTTGTTCCATTCTATGGATGGCCGTACTTCCAAGACCTGAATATATAAAGATGCACATGAAATCATGTTAACAATAAAACAATACGTACACACGTTGTAATTTATCACAAGGAAGAAATTAACTTGGATTTTTTTTTATATATATAACCTACCTTTTTGCCGAAGGTGAGATGAAATTCAGGATAGTTTTCAAGTACAGACTTTACCTTTGCTTCTAATATGTCATAATCCTACAGATGTACATATATATAGAGCACTTATCAAGTCAATGAAGATTAAATACAGGATTGAAATGATAGAAAAATTGGCTAAACTGAATGTTCTTAATTACCTCATCCCGGACCTTGCGGAAATGTACAGAGATGCAGAATCTGTTGTCCTCTACCCTAGCACCTTCTATTTTCCTGGTTATCTCCTCTAACAGTGTTCGTATCTGCAGTTCCAATTAAAACGTAGATAAATTTCTTGTGTAAAAATTAAGGCACATCTGAACTCTGTATCTCCAATTAAATGACATTTTTATTTTCTTGTAATTGATAAGTACATTGAAAAGCATAAATGATATATATACTGTTAGCTAACCTCTTGGATTGCAGGCAGAAATCTTTTAGCAGGTTGAAAGAGAACGTCACTCGCCTGCACCGTAAGTGGTCCTACTGTGTTATTATTGACCAAGCCACACACACATATATATTTATATATATTAGGGGTATGCTGCACCAGTACAGAGAAATAGAAGAACACACTGATCAGTGATCACTGACCTTTTTATCCATGGTTGTAGTGTGATTCTTGCCATCGCAGGGGTTTAGTGGCCTTGGTGGGACCATTATATCCATCCCATGGCTTCCAGCATAATATACATTACTTAACTGTACAAATCCTTTAACCTGTAGAATCAAATTAATTGAGAAAATTATTTTATGTGCAACATAGTGTTTATTGATAAACATTTCAAATTTTCTCGAGATTATATTGATGACTTAATCATTACCTTATCTCTACTCCTTCCACTAATTACTGCTGTTGGAAAATACTTGGCAACTTCCCGTACTGCAGCACGCATCTACCGGCATATTGGAACATAGTCAATATAATTAGGGTGGATTGAGTCATATGTAAAAACAGAATGTTGTTATCAAGAAAATTAAAGACTGTACCTCATCAGACATGAAGGCACGGTCAGGATCATCAACAATTGGTGAAAGGGTCCCATCGTAGTCTAGGAAAACAACCATCCTCTTCCCTTTTGCTGCTTTCATCATCCGATCAAATGAGCCCAATGCAGAAGGGTGCTCAACCTAAACATGTAACACCCAAAAAAGAATTATAAAATAAAAACGAACAAGGATAATCAAAGCAGTGATATATGGTAAGAATTGTCATAAGATCACCAAACTAAGTCCAAATGGCTAGAACGTACCACCCAGGAATTATAAGCTAAATCTGAGGAGATTGGTCTATTAGGAGTAGAGATATCATGCAGGTTTGAGGTGATTGATGCTAAGGAAAGATTGACACTGTTCTCGTCATTCTTTACTACTTTCGTGATGGGTTGCACCTTTTGCTTCTTGGAAGTTGATGACCTATGTAGTCCCATTGCTTGGTTCAGCTTCGCCGAGTTTGTCATGATCACCTATTTTCGCACAATTCCAAACGAAAATATGATGAGGCTATATATATAAAGAGTGTCACACAAGTACATAAACCAAATTTTACCATTTTTAAAAAGTTTATGAGGTAGAGAAAATTAAACATTTTTAAATTTCAAATAATACGAACTGAATTCCTTTATATGGTCTGAAAAAGAGTTCTAAAGCTAAGGAAACTAAGAGCCTTGAGCTTTCCGGGGACCAGAACCTTCTAGCTTCTAACAAGACAAAATGTTTTCCTCCTTCTCTTTGCCACCGATTAGGTCAAAGTCACTCGCGTTATCCTGTCCCTCTTTTTTATTTTGACATATATATAACAAGATTTGTCGCAATCCACGGCCCCTCCTGGTTTATCTAATGAGATTTTCTTGATGCAGTTTATTATCGAATGAATTTGTATATGAGGTTAGTAAAATTTTAAAAAGGATTAAAAGGAGAGAAAAGATAAGATTTCGCACTCACGTTTCCATCTTTCCAAATATTCAAAAAATTTAGTTAGAATGTCATCGTCATGCTTAACCAGTTCAAAACCAATAGTTCTCATTAGAATCACTAAACAATAGGTATGGTCATATTTCCTCACATAAAGCAAGCAACATGGATAATTAAATATGGTCAAAACTGAATTCTTCAACAATTAGGCTACTTTGTAAATTTGAACAGGTGGTGTAGCTAATCTCAGTGTGCTAGAACAGGATGGTAAAGATTGAACATAAATCTGTGTGTATAATTTAAAAGAAAAACTAATAAAAAGACTTAAAAACTTTGAGTTTTAACGATAAGGGCAAAATAAAGAGTAAAATAAATAGTACCATGATTAATTTTTTAGTGTAAAAATATGATTTTTCATTAACGTGAACAATACCAAGAGTTTTTCATTAAAGTTTTCTAATTTAAAAAGTTATAAAGTCGGTATCGGATAAAACATCTTTTGCTTTTCAAAGGGAGAAAGATAATGTCGTTTTCAGGAGCTAGCATCTTTTCGTAGAAAAAAGAACAACAAAACAAGAACAAGAGGACCAGTTTAGTGTGTGAATAATTAGATTTGGTGACTCGACATTACATTTTTAAACCTAAGGGTTCTGTCTCAGGGGGAGTCACCAAACAGGATGATTCAGATGACAACGACAACACATGTATATAAAACGATTTTTGTAAGATACATGTTTGTTTTCTTTTGGCCCTACCTTAACTACCATTTAACTGAAGTGCGACCTCACTGCAACCTAACTGATAGGTATCTATCTAATCATAATATATATTGTTTAACTTGATCTCTTTCATAAAAATATAATAAGACACTAATTAATTAGTATGTTTTCAACCAAAAAAAAAAATGAGAATACCCAGTGCAAATTAATACATGATCAAATATTTAAATTTTATGGAAAAATTCGAAGAGATGTAGCAGAAAGAATTAATTTTGTTAGCCAAGTGAAAATCGAATGACTAATCGAGAATTCTAATATGCTCCAGTGTATAGTACACTGAAATGACTATTAAATCTTTGATTAAAGATCTAATAGTTAAAATCTAACAACAAAACATCCCGAAGGATGCTAGAACTTTCGTGGGCGGCCTGAAAAGACAACCAAAGAGTTGAAGAATGTTTCTGAAAGCTTCATGGTTTGAAAGAGTAGGACACTTGTACGGTTGATCAGCCGATGCTTCTGAAGTACCCCACAATACACGTGAAACAACATGCATGCATGTAATAAAAATAGCATTGGTGGCTAGCTAATTAAATTACTAGGAGGGTCCGGCATGATGTTTGTTTTCTTTCATCTACCTACGACTACTACTGCTACAACTGAATCAACTAACACAATATCAATCAGGGAACATAATTTTTTCATTTTTTTAATAAAGTTCTGCAGATGACTAACCATAAAACTACTGTCTAGCTATGAACACTGCTAACTCAAAATTTACTCTGATACAACTTTAAAGTGAATCGAAAGAACAAATCAAACACAGTTTTTAATTTGCAAAATAAAAGAAAAAGGTCTTTCTGAAAAAATAACATAGGTTGTAACCTTGTAGGACGAGCTTCCCCATCCTATAAAACACCAATGAAACCATGACAGAAATTAAAGCAATGGAAAAATATTCTTAAACTTATATGGAAACTATGTAAACAAGCCATGTTGTATATTAATTCACATATTATTATAAGAATCGTGTCTAGGACATGATTAATAAGATTATTACCTAAAACAACAAATTAAATTAAGTAAAATAGACTAAATAGTAATTCTAAATGACGATGCTATCAATATATAATAATTTACTGTCAAATATGCTGGAGACACGTGTATTAAAATAGCCATAATTAACGTCTCATAAGTTTTGTTTCTTTGAGTCAATTGACCTGTCCTCAAGTTAAAAAAATTATCAAACAATTCTTTTCAGAAGAGAGAAAAAAAAAAAAAAAAGGTTGAACCCTTTTTTGGAAATATGGGGAAAGCTATGGAGGCAAAAGAAATAAACAAATATATCTAATATATATAATAAGTAAATAGTTAAAAACCATAGAAAAAGTGCTATAAAACGACTTTAACGTGTCGACTGGAGAAGTGGTGGATCGACAAGCTCTGTACGTTTTGGTTGTGCAGAGAGGACACGTCTAACCACAGATTGGAGTAGAGAGAATGGCAGTACAAGAATTAAGAACCACACAGCCGAATACGACGAACTGTCCAAGTCAAAAAAGAAAGTACCACGAAGTGAAATGAAAAAAGTGTTATAAATAATAATATTATCATATGCTGATTAGACGACAAAACCTCTGGTGTTGTGGAATAATGTCACTGTAATCAGAACACATACTAAAGTGAAAAGCTGGTCTGTTCGTAGGACTTTGTGTGTGCTTTTCGGGAAGGCCGTATGATTTACGTTTCTTTGTTTTGTATTCAGGAAATGAAAACCAATAATTGCACTTGGTTATATTATAAAATTAATTAACAATAAAACAAATAGTTTCAAGAAATTAAAAGTTATATGAAACGCTCGATAAGCACATTAAGGACCGACCGAACATAACTCTATGGTGAAATGCGTAGATCGGACCTTTCAAAGTATGTTTGAAAGAGAAAAGGGAGGGCTTCAAATAAAAAAAAATAAAAAGCAAGCACTTAGGACCCTACAGAAACAAATCTTGACAAAGTTGAAAAACTAATCATATCTTTATTTATGGTAATCGAATTGCATAAATCAGACAAAACCAACGACCGTATTAGAAGAAAATTAGTGTGTATAAAATGCTACAAGAGATTTGTAAAAATCACTTTCCCTTGCTAACTATCTTCTCAATATTTATAAATATAGTCACTTCAGTCTCCATTAACAGTGCTCAAGCACTCTTACACATCCCGAATACTTTTGAGACCTCAAATGAATAAGGTTCTAAAACTCTATAAAATAAAAATAAAAAATAAAAAACTGGGCTAAAACTCTTATCTTTTGCAGAATAATTTCCCCAAAAATCTTCCAAGATAACTTCCTCTATGATATAATAAATAGAAAATAGAAAACCATGAAACAAATTATGATTGTTCTAACAAAATCAAGATACAATAATACATGCAAGCATTTGTTTATGTAAATAATCTACCAATAGATATACATACATAACACAAAAATAAAATACGCATATTATACCATATTAAAACTTAAACAAAAGGAAAATATCATATAGTAGATGGGGCCATATTGCAAACAAATCCTTAGTTTTGCTTCAAACTTTTATATAAAGACCAATTTTTCTCAACCAACACCCTAAAAAATACCATTCTAACTCTCTCGCCAAACTAAACAAAAATAAAAATTATGAACAATTTAATAATTACCCGAAACATGAATTTTATTACCAGTATGGGGTACATACAGTTTGCTAGTATAAATTAAAAAATATATATGTGATTTATTTTCTAAATTATATCTTTTTAGCTTGAACACCAGCCTTAAAGCATAAAAAATGTTGCTCCTTTGTAACTGAAAATCATAAAATTCGAGCCGTGAAAATAACTTATTTGCAAAAAATAAGGATAAAATTTCCTACGATAGGTATTTTCTCGACCCTATTTACTTAAGGTCAACCTTTCTATATATGTTTTTTTAACTTCTCATACATTTTTTAGCCGTTAAATTGTGTAAATCAAACAAAAACCCTAGAGTGAATCCCTAGACCTTTTTATAAAAAACAAAACCTTTTAATCGGTGGACCAAAGACACCAACAAAGATTTAACTGTTTTTCAGGTATGAGTCATGTCATTGGTAAAGGGCAAAAGCACAGCCAAAGGGACCCACAGTAGCAGAACAAACGAGTCGGTGGTCTTTATAATCCGGACCGTACACGTGGCACCCCACCGACGACGTACTTTAGTCGATACAGCGGGTCTCCCATGCAAACGGTGACCTGGTTCCATACGTCAGGTGGGCCATTTGGCCCAGTCAACATGTGGGCCACATTTGAACACGTGTGCGCTGGACGAAGATTTCCAGGAGAGTTCCTAGCCGCAGAGAACGAAGACGAAGAAGAGTGGCGCGTGAGCGCCACGTTCATCACCTACGGCGCCCACGTGAGTTCAAGACGGCGACGGAGAGTCACCTGCTTGTGGGTCGCGTTTGATTACAGCGAATTGATTAGGAGGTCAAAGGAACAACCACCAACCGCTTTCTCGTTTCGGCCGCTGAGTTTTCCACTAATAAAAACCGTAAAACCGAATACTACGGTTGTAAACAAATAACTAAGAAAAAAAATATTAAAAAAAATTCAACTTCTACACACAAAAAAAAAAAAAATAAAATCAACGAGTAGATTATTCAAACCGATTCGAATTACAACATCTTACATCCTACGAAAATCAGAAACATACACGAAACAATATGAATGACAGATCTGATGTAAAAGTCTTCTAAGTCCCTACTCAGTTGATTAAAAGTATTCATCCTAAGTTCTTGAGTTCGATTTTATTTCTTAATAAAATGGCAAGAACAGAATAATGAATAATGAAATCAAATTAAGCAAATAGAGACGCACCTAATGAAATCTTGGTTGCCAATAGCTTGTGGTTTCCTAGCCTAGACAGTAAGGTGCTCCGATGGAGGTGAGAGAGAGGGGGAGGAGAGAGAGAGAGAGGTTGAGAGAGGTTTAATGTGAGAGAGAGGGAGGAGGGGGAGAGGATGAAGGGGAGGAGGGGGCTTTATTTATAGAGGAGGGAGAGGAGGAGGAGCGAGGGTTTTAATTGTAGAGACCAAAGGAGACGTGGATGTTTGCCACACGTGACATGCCCTACGTGGGTTAAGTCTCCCATTGCCCTGCACCTTCCTCCAACAAGAAGATTTACCCCTTAACCCCACTTTTTAACTCGAGGGAGTCTTCTAATTTGTTGGACTTAATTAACTGCATGCACCAAAATAGGCCCAAGTTGTTTCTTATATTTCCCAAGTTTTTTTACATTAATTAAATTACGGAAATTGAGACTTGAATCACAGTGCAAAGCACACCGACTTCTTAATATCATAACACGATCAATAGTATACTACGTGGTTTTGACTGTGGTTATTGTTGGGCTAGAAACAATATGTGGTTAATGTTCTTGATACCGGTAAATTTTTTCGAGAGCTATTAACCTAGACGCATATACAACTATCTACATATACAAAGAAAGTATAATAACCGTAATCTTCTTTTTTGTTATGTAATTAAATCGTAATCTTCTCTTATATGTGAGTATTAATTGTATTGAATAAAATACCATTTGATAGTAAAGTCTCATTACTCATCATGATTTCCCATATCGATAATTTTAAAGTCGTTTTGACTAGAAAAAAAAAAAAAGAAAGAAAAAGAAGAAGATAATTTTAAAGCCGTGATTGCCTAGAGTGATTGGTGCATATTAATGCCTCCACCATGATTCCAAGAATTCACTTTTTTTTGCCTTTTACTTATTTTAGACAAGGAGGATCTTACTGATTTAATTTAGGTACGCAAGGGTAAGGGTACAGCCAATACATCTGCATCTGCTCCCCCTCTTCCTCGTTGATCAAACTGCCGAACCACCTCTGAGGATCTTGCACTTGTCATCAAAGAAGTACTGCTATGAGTTACCTTTAACAAATGTCGAGTTTTCTTCTCTCAGTGCTATGTCATGGACACAAACCAATAGTTGAGTTACAAGAGTATTTAACGTTAATTGTTTGAGCTACAAACTTCTTATTTTGTAATTCCTATTTCGTCCGTGAATCCAACTAAGTTGTTCAGGATCAAAATATGTTCGACCATGACAAGGGAGAAAGAGATGGCAATGAAAAAAATATGCATCCACAACGATTATTTAATGTATGTTTTCATGATTTATGAAATATACAGGATTAATTTTGGCATTCATCGTGGGGGATTACTGTATGTCGACAGAAAAAGTTAAACAAAAAATTACAATAAAATTAGAAGTATCCAATCCAATATACATGACAAAATTACACAAACAGCCCTATATATTGCCCATGAGGTACTAGACCTAGCGTGTGTCTCCTAGAATGACCTAATACATTGACGTGGAAAAAATAAATTGATATCAAATTCATCATTTACGATAAAATAAATTGTAACAACGGTCTATTAACTTTAACTCAATTTGAATAATAATCTCTTAACTAAAAATTTATTACCATTGGTCCTTCAACTCATCAAAACATGCAGTTATTGTCCCTCAACTAAAAACACATTACCATTGGTCCTTCAATTTTAATTCAACTGGAGAAATGTTCCCTCAACTTTAACCCAATTGGAGCAATGATCCCTCAAACTTTAACTCAATTTTAGCAATGGTCCTTCCAACATGACTCATTTTGACAAAAATTTGATGACGTTGACGAAAATGATCATATCTACACATTTTGATGAGTTAAGGGACCCCGATTGTAGCAATGGTCATTCCAACATAACTTATTTTGATAAAATTCTAACGAAGTTGACAAAAAGGACCATAGCTACATATTTTGATGAGTTGAGGGACCAATGGTAATGACTTTTTAGTAAAGGACTATTGCTCCAATTTGATTAAAGTTGAGGAACCATTATTACAATTTACTTTTTACGATATTCGAATTTAAAACCTATAAGTGAATAAGAATATTATTAAACCATATTACAAATTGTCATATTGATGTATAATATGATTTTTGTTTTTGACAAAATATAGAATTTTATACTAAGCTACAAGAAATGAGATTCAAACTTGAGTTCGGACAAAAAAAAAAAAAAACTCAGCGTTCTAACCAACTTCACATAGTCAACGAATAAATTATGTGTAAGTAATTTGTTTTTTTTATTTTGTTTTTTGAAATGGGACTAGACTCACATATGCATTTTAACCTCTTCTTGGTCACCATCGTGTGATTCATCAACACCAAAAATCGAACTCAGGACGTACCATATGAAATAGAATCTGGAATTTATCTCTAACTACTCTGTCACCCCATCGTGGTTCCTTGAATGTGTAAGTAATTTGTTGAACGCCTCTAGTTTTTATTTGTTCAATTGTTTCTAGATGAGAATAAGCAAGTAGGAACTTCCTTGAATGTGAACCAAATAAATTATAATTGTATAAGATTCCGGTTCGACATGCTTGGTGGAATTTTCGTATGAACCTTCCTTAGACTTTTACAGTTTTCTCGAGCTGCGAGCATTTACATAGTCTTTGCCCACATGACATGACGAAGAAGACCAACACAGATGATGTTGGTCATAAATTATTCATATTGGTCGTCCTCCTCATCATGGAGTGGGATTCTCTTTCTTATTTTTTGTTTTTTTCTTTCTTCTTTTTTTATTTAAATATTACGATTAAATCACGTCAACGTCTTATATTAATTTTATATAAAAAAAGAGATAAAATAAAGAATATAAGAAGAGGGAAGGAAACCCCTCCGCATACATACACATATATATATATATATATATATATATTTATATATTCTTATAAGATTCTCCGTCTCATGCATTGCATTGTTGCATGAATGACTGTATCTACTGTAACTCTGCCGCGAAGACCCGCAATTTAGAGTCAAAGTCTTGTTCTTGAATCCTTATACAGAAAGACAAAATCCCTAATTAACCTTTTCTAAATCCGATTAAATGACTTCTGATTTAGTTGTATTTGTCTCCTTTTAGTTGAAGGAAGTCTTGGATTCGATTGACATGAAGGAGGAAAACGATACATAGAGAGATGAGTGCGGTAATTAATTGTGATTGTTCACACCTTTCGCCTTACGGCAATATAAACTACAACTTTGTTGTGACAGTAAGAATACATTGTGAAATCTTTGAGCTCGTTTGAAAGTACTTTTAAAATTGATACAAACACTTTTAGTGAAAATATTTTTGGATTCAATCATTGGTAAATATGGAAGTAAATCCTAAAAAAATATTTGAAATACTTTCTGCAAGAAGCACTTGTTATGCGCTTCTTGCAAAAGACACTTCAAGAAAGCACTTCAAGTGCTTTTAGAATCCAAGTATTTTTTCTAAAGCACTTTCAGTCATATTAAAATCAATTTCAAACTAGCCATTTACAAACATGTAATCGTCTATAAAAATATTGATATTTCCGATGAATCCAATAATATCATAGATCGTGTATGTGGACACACAGTCATGCACACGGCACACCAATTACATCAAAACTCTAAAGCACTTTCAATCATATTAAAATCACTTTCAAACGAACAATTTACAAACATGTAATCGTTTATAAAAATATTGACATTTCCGATGAATCCAATAATATCATAGATCATATGTGTGGACACACAGTCACGCACACGGCACATCAATTACATGCATTTGGTGGCAGATGCAAGTGTCTGCGTTTAATCAAAATGTAGGTTGTGTCAATTATATGGGATGGAATATTTTTTATTTTCCCCCCTTCCTTTTCTTTGACAAGTAGATCATTAAACTTCTATTATTGTACGTGTCCTTTGATGCTTGGCAGTTGACCTGGTCTCCTGATACCAAACAAATACATTTCACTTTGTCATGATTCAGGAAGATGATTTCCGCGCTCTCTTTTTTACTTCTACAAACATCTGTCTATTTGTTTATTGATTTCCTTTTAATTAATCCGTTGTAAACGGAATCTGCTAATCACAACAGACAAGTAAGGGACTGGCACGCTTCGAGGAACAAACCGTGTGAGAGAACCGATCACCGAACCAAGTAAACCGGCCGAGGCAACCGGATATCCAAGTCGGTTCGGCCGGTTTCTCGGTTTTTTTGGTAAGAATGCCCTAAGCTACAGGGAAGATGTATCTGTGAGCCAAATCATAGTTCACAGATGGAAAAGTAAATATTACTGCAGTAACCAGTACACTGAAGGATGTAAGTAAAAGTTAAACCCATGATGCCAAAGAACCTTATCTTTCAGAGAGATCAGGCATAAAAGTATACAAAAGTTTCCAACTTTACTAAAACCTAATCACCATCTGACCTTTCATGTTCCACAAAATGCAAAAAGAAAGATGGTACCACCACCACCACCACCTGCTAACCAATTGCTGCAAATAATGCAGCAACATGTACACTTGCAGCAGGCCTTACCAAAAACAAAAGGGGTTAGCAAAAACAAAAGGTCCAAACCTAGCTAGACCGGTATTATCTTCAGCAACGTCCATAATCTACGGGTGGGGCGCGCTTATGGCTTCAGTTTCCTTGGCCGACTTGGCATGTACCATTGTCGTCGGTCATCATTGGTAGAGGTTTCGGAATCTCTTCATTTGTTTTACCATCATTCTGTTTCACTGGTGCATCACGAGCTTCTGTTATAACTTGATAAAGCTCCGAAGGGAGAGCTGCTGGATCCAATTCCCAACAACCCTTTGGAGCATTATGAGCTTCTTCACCTGTAAGTAAGTGACTAGGGACCCGATGCGAGAAACGGAACATCTCCTCTTTAGGAATCCTTTTCACTTCCCTGGGGTCTGTGTGCTTACGAAACACTGTTTTAAAACCAGCGACCTTAGATAGAGGAGCGACAGACACACCGTGTTCCTCAGTAAAGCCGTCAAGCAGTTCCACCATGTCATATCTGTTGATTACTGCATCTGGGGTATGCTGACTCCAATCAGGGGACCAGTTCCTATATAGAGCCCAGATTTCGCCCCTTGTAGGAAATACGCGAATCATCCCTCGTGTGCCTTTTGTCCAATTAACCTTGCTTGAGAAAGAATTTAAAGTATCAGAAATTGCATATCTGCCAGGCCTGAAATCACCACAAGTTTTAGCAAAACCAGAACCTACCCAGTTCAGCGTACCCAATTCATTGTTGCTTCTCGAGTTAAGCCAACTGACCCGCATCTTAAACGGCTTCAAGGAGATCACCTTTTGAATTCGACCATAATAACGGGGCATGCCATCATTATCATATGCAGCCCAAACTTGGTCCTCTCCAAAGGATCTTTCAGTTCGATCCAAGTCAAAATTATGAAAATCGGGGTCTGGAACATTGATCGGCATTGGTGACTTATCCTCTACATCTGGATCACTGTTTGTGCTTGTGTCAACATTTACCACACTCTTCTGTTTCTTTTTTACTTTCACAGTTTCTTGCTTTTTGTTTGCCTGCTTTGCTTCAGTTGCTGAGCTCCGCGCAAGAAAATTGCGAATCGAAGTTAGTGCCGTCTCTATTAGAACTTTTCTTATTACCGGATATGGAACCTCTCTGAGGACCTTAGGTTTGTCCTGTGTACTAGAGAAATCATAAATTCTTTTTGTTCCAGCATTACCTTTACTCAACTCAGATATACCTCGCACGTCGGCTCCACCATTTCCCATGGACATTTGATTAGCCCTTTTTTTATCATACCCGTTCAAATGAGGATCATCCGTTCTTCTCTTTTTCAATGTAGGATTTCCCTTCAAATTTTGACTTCTTTCCCATTCAGCAATTGACTGTCTCCGCTCTGAATTTCTATTCATATTCTCACTTGCCTGCAGAACCGCATCCACAGCAGCGTGACCCGATGCAACTGTGCTACCGATACTTGTCACTTGGGTGGCAGAGCCCTGCTTTAAGTTTGTGTTGTTGTTTGAATTAGGACCTGAAGACCCCCCAGCTCCTACATTTTGAGCTGCAGCACAGTTTCTTGCAGAACTATTTGAGTTACCACCAGCCGCATAGTGTCTTGAATTCTGACGCTGCTGGGAAGAAGAGCTCTTGGACGACTTGAAAATCTCCGCAGGTGGAGCCTGTTCTACAGCCAAGAAAGTCTTCTTACAATTAGGACAGACAAGAAGATGATGTAGATACATTCTGACATACTGATAATGAGTTTTGCAATGGTTGCAGATGGTCCAAAATGTAGCAGCTTTTGCATATGAAGGTATATGGGTGGAACCACGCTGGGTCCTCGCATTCATAACATTCTGAAAGGTAGATGCACTAGGTTGCTGGGTACTCGCATCCGTAACATTCTGAAAGGTACTTGCACTAGGTTGAGTTGACGGACCTCCGCTACGGTGTGCAACTTCCTGTTGAGACGCTTTTACAGTCTTCCTGATACTATTCATACAATTTTGAAATGTGCTTGCACTATGTTGCACTGACGGACCCCCAGTACAGGACACTGCTTCCTGTTGAAACCCTTGTACATTCCTCTTGTGGTTATATGCTACCCTCTTGGCCTTGTCTGATAACAAAGTCCAGGCCTCTGAAACCAACTTAAATGCGCCTTCTGCACCAAAACACTTGTTTTTATCCGGATGAAGCATGAAAGCCAACTTTCTATACTCTTTCTTAATCGTCTCATCATCAGCACACGGAGTAACACTAAGTACTCCATACCAATCTGCTTCCCCATTAATTTTATTCTCCGAAGAGATGTAAACATCAAGTATAGTCAACATTTGGGAGAGACCCTCAAGCTCGGGACACAAAGTTAGAGCCTTCAAAACAAACTTCTTAGCACTAGCATAATTTTTTTCTGCAAACTTCCTCTCAGCAAGTTCCTTAGCCTTGACCGCATCATCTTTATTGCACTCCATTTTCCCTAACAGTCTCAATACACTTCCTCTGAGTCTTTACTTAACTGGAGCAGTAAGCATAATACGAGAAAAAGTATTACATTTGACAACCCCTAGCCATTTTTCCTTCCCAGAAAGCGGTCATGACTACGGATGTTAAATACCTGATCCAAAGAGAAAGCAAACAAATAGCATCAGATTATTTTACTTGTTAACTACAAAAACATTACCAAATTCAATTATGCTAACAACTTAAATTCCGACCTGATGCAGAAATAAAAAAAATTCATTTCAAAGCAAACATTGTTTAAATACAGAGTTTAAAACCCTCCTCCACCAACACCAAACGAAAGAAGCCGTTGCTATAAATCTAGAAACAATAAATTACATCACATTGAATAGAAACAAGTATCACTTTTATAGACAGAAACAGATGATGTACTAAGTTAACTACAAATCTACTATATGCAGTGTAGCAATGACTTCTTAAGTTAAGACGACAGAACTCAATCATCTCTCCTTTTCGACTTGAACCACAGACTTCCCCGTCAAAGGACAAAAGGGCTTCGCTTCATTACAAAGGGCTAGGCATGTGTTTTCATCAAACACTTGGAACTACACCAAGAGAACTCCTTAACACAGCATTTCCCCAACAATTTCCAACAGATCTAAGCAATTAAGAAAGCCAGATTTGGCATACCATTGCACACTCTTACAAGAAATTCAACAAAACATGACCTTAATCAAGCTTCCCCAATGCATACAATATGTCAAATCATAAACAAAATGCAACAAAACAAAAGCCATCTTTTCGAAAAAACCCTTCAAAAAAAATCCCAAAACCCACTTGGAGGAAATAGTCCCCAAGAAAATAATGATCAGAATTTACCAACTCAGAAAGCTCAAAGCTTTTTACTGAAAAACTACAAGATTTCTGTGTGAGTTCACAGAAACATAGCTTTTAGGGTTTCAATAACATCGTCTGAACTTCTGAGACAAACCTTCATTTTGTTGGGTGGGAAAGTTCTGAAACTTAGCACTTTCAAAATTTCAGAAAATTTCACAAACCCTAGCTCTGTGCCATTTCCCAAAATTGAACAAAACCAGAAAAGCACTTAAGCAAAAGCGGAAATTGCAGAGAAAAAGTGCTTACCCACAAAGAAGGAAGAGGAGTCTGGACTCTGACTGACTTGAAGGAGTTTGAATCTGAGACGACCATCACCACCACGTACACTGACCCATTAGCCCCTAGAGAAAATTCTTAATTGCAGACTTAAAAATTGAAAATTTTTAGGGAAAAAGTAAGAATGGGTTTTGGTGCCTCTAGGCTCTAGTATTGTATAGATTTATATATTGTTTGGTTTAATTTAACCCAAGAAGACTAACTAGGGTTAAGTTTTAACCTCCGCGTAGGATTTACGCTAGATAGACACCGAACATTCTAGATGGAAGAGTAATGTTACACCAGATGTAAGAGAACTGTTACGCCAGTTGGACAACGCACATTGTAGCAGTGAGAAAACTAAAAATATAATGAGAACGGATCCTGAGTTCGATTCACAATGCACACATTAACTTTAAAGAAACATATTGTCATTGACTAACTAGACTCAAGTTTTAACCTCTGCGTAGAGTTTACACTAGATGGACACTACACATTCCATATGTAACAAAACCGTTACGCCAAATGTACGTCGAGATTTTAAATGTGAGAAACTTAAATTATAGTGGGAACATATCATGAGTTCCATCCTCAACACATACATTAACTTTAAAGAAACGTATTGCGATTTATTTCGTTTATTGGATGTAATTTTAGTTTAATTAGGAAATATGCAACTACCATATTTGTTTATTTCTTTAATTTGTTGTCACAAATTTATCCTAGTAAGGCTCACGAGGAATTTAGGGACAATGTGGCAAGTTGGAGAGCCTTAGCGCTTATCTATGTCCTACATTCGAAACATTTCCATATTTTAAATAATTAAATTCTCTTTTTTCAATCGAAAAGTAAATTACATTTTTATAAGATATCGGTAAAACATTGATATTGAAACATATTATAATTTTTAAGTATATTAGTAGAGAGCACACACTTTGTGTGTATGAACAATTTATCTTAATAAGTGCATATTTTTTTAACATTACATAATTACTGTTTTGTCATCCTTATGTAAATATTGTGTATTAAAAGTAAGGGTAAAATTGAAAAAAAATAAGGATATGATTGTCATTTTATGAAAAAAGAGGGTAAAATATGAAAAATAGGGCTATGATTGTCATTTTGTCAAAAGGTACAAAATTACTATTTTACCCTCATTTTGTCTATAGTGTGTATAAAAAATGAAGGCAAAATAGGAAAAAAAAAGCAAAAAAAATTGACAAGGAGGGATCTCTTAATAGTATAGATATAATTAGACACCCTCTTTCACTTATATATCAAATTTCATTTTGCAAATGATTTGTAGATTAATTGATAAATTATAAACGATAAGTGTCAAACTTTATACAACGGTTCGATTGGACATAAATCAATCCATGTCGTCCAATAATCGTAGCATCCACCGAGTCGTATTATTAAGAAATTTTCGAAATGGGGCACCATATATTTGTGACCAAAAAACGAAATGAAAACAAAAAGGCCCAAGCCACGTACAACATCAACAGCACAGGGTACAAGCAGCTTCCTCAAAATTTGACCCCTATAAAAACACAAAAACTACAAAATACCACCTGAGAGTGTGACACAGTGAGTGAGATAATTGTAATAAAATTTCACACCGTTTCCCTTCCCACTTGGTTTTAAATTTCTCCTTCTTAAGCTCTGTTAACACCAACGTTTCACTAAACCTGCAGCCTACTTGCCTGCCTCTGGAAAACCCTAGCAGTAGCAGTAGCAGAAGCAGTCCTCCTCCTCCAAAGCCTTCCACTTTATGGTAACTCAAAACCCTTTCTCTTTCTTCCGCCTGCCACACGATTTTGTATTTTCTGGGTTATTTTTCTGCTTGTTTTTGCTTCAAGATGCTTCCTTTCAGCTTTCTTCTCATAAAGTTTGATGCTTGTTTGGTTGCTGAGAAAAGGGTACAGAGAAAGGAAGAGAATTGAGCTGAAGATTTGGGTTTGGGGATGAGGTGTTGTTTTCTTTTCTTTCTTTCTTGGATTTTCTTGGCAACCAAACAAGGGGTCAGGGGAAAGTGATCACTGGGTGTTGGTATTCTGAGATTTATGGTCTGTTTAGATGCCGAGAGTCGTCGATGGGAAAACGATAAGGAATTGTAAATTTATCAATCAATTGCAGAAACAGAAAAACAAAGTTGTTCCTTTTACATAATTGGATGGTTGGAAGTGGTGAAATCAATCCATTTCCTTGTTTGGCATGTTACACTAATGTCATTAGATGTAAATTCACCCGTCTTGCATATTCGGCATTCAAATTGTCTTATCATTTGATGTTGTGAGGAATTCTATGTGCATCTGGTGTTCAATGGAGGTAAACTAATGCTTCGATATGCTACCTGTTTGGTTTACATCAAATAATTACGCGTATTTTGGTTTGAGGTATTGAATTTACTAATACTTCAATTGTCTACTTTGTCTTCTTCGCGATTTCATTTTTTTTGGGATATCTTCAATAAATTTAATACTATAATATGTAGCTGCATTTAGGGCTTAGTTGAATGAGTGGTAGTGTATTTACGCCGTGTTTTGTGTTTGAAAGCTATTTTGACATCCAAACGCTTGAACAACATGCTATTCCAATTGTTCATCCTTTTTTAAACAATTTTTATGATATTTCAGGTTGTAATTGGTTTTATTGGTCTCTCTGATTTAGCCATCATAGAAAGTTGAAGGGAAGATCTCGAGCCAAACAAAAGCTCAGAGTTTTGGTGCATTGAAGTGAAATGAAGATATTGCAGGTTTTAGCATCATTTACTTGTATTCTCAATCTGCGAGTCATCGTTGATTTTATTAATGTGACAGACAATGATAGCACCCGAATTTCTCTAACCCAGTGCTGTTGTATGAAAAACTCTTGGCTGTCTGTTTTTCCTAAGTCATTTCTGTTTGGCCTATGTCGAAAGAAGGAAAAAGAGTAGCCATGCCATAAACCATACAACTTAATTATTTCCCCCTCCTAGCTAGCCTCACATTTTGATGAGTTCAAAACAGTACATTTATTTCGTAAGTCTTGGTTACTTCTTTGAGTTTCGTATCACTAAGCAAGAGGACTTTCACAGGATAAACAGAAATCAACAGAAAAGCAATTTCCGCATAATGACCGACAAAATGGCGTTAGTGAGGTCCCTACGCTGGACTCTGGTTCAGTAACTATTTCCAGCAACAAGAGCACAAAGGTCACACGTGAAGATATTGAAGTTGTAAGACATTTTTTTACTTGTTTGAGCTTGAGTGTGATTTTGTTCCAAGGATGAAACTTAATTGCATTAGTTTGTTCGGTATTCTAATGAACATTGTAGGTCCAGAATTTGATTGAAAGGTGTCTGCGGTTGTATATGAACAAAAATGAAGTCGTCGATACCCTGTTAGATCGTGCTAGGATTGAGCCTGGCTTTACAAGCTTGGGTATGCCACTACATTATACCACATAATTTCCTTTGTTTCATCTTCACTTTTCTTCATTGTTCGCAATGCATAAGTATCACTAGTTGATGGTGCATTAGAAGGTTTTGTATTCGTAGTTATATTGCTGCTATATTTTCCGAATTGATCTAATTGTCATATTTTTTGTTTGTTTAGTACTGCAGAAATTGGAAGTAGAAAATGCAGAATTTTTCAAGGCTTACTACACGAGGCTAAAGCTGAAAAATCAAATTGTTATGTACAACCGTTTGCTTGAGCAACAATACCAGCTGATGAAACAGCAAGAGCCTCCAGAGGTTCCATTGCCTCCTATGCATAATGGAATGCATTACACGCCTGGTATTTTCTTCTCAAGAGAACCTGAATGTTTAGGCACACGTCGGCGTTTTAAATTTTTGTTCAAGAAAAGACTAGACGCTGCGTTGCATTTTCTATTGCTAATTGAAGTCTATGCCATAAATCTCACTGTAATGTGATACCTTATTCCTCTTTTGTTTATATTTCGTGCAGTTAACAATTTACCTATGGGATACCCCGTCATGCAGCAGCCTCCATTTCCGTCTAAGGGTCATCACCAAATCAATTCCATGGGCACTATAGCGAGTTGTCATTTGGTCAATGGAATCCCTGCTCAAGGAAATTTCCACCATATGCCACTAAACTTATGTCAAGAGTGAGGATGCTATCTCACCACTTTTTTCTGTACTTTCAATTTGTTCTTGCCAATGTTTGACATTCTTATACTTTGTCTGATTCATTTAAACTTGAATCGAGGATTCATGTACATCCGTATTCAGTAAAGTTTACGTCTGTCCATACAACGCGCTCACAGCTACCTTCATTTCTGATATGTTCTTGATCATCCTTGACACAGTGGTATCAAGACGGAGTTGGTTTCAAGTCCAGTATCAGTGTCCAATGGCCAGTTTCCTTACACTCCATCAGAAATATCAGGGCAAGGTGCAGACACATCGGTGCTTGACTCTGCATTTACTTCTCATTTCACAAATTTGGAGAGGTTCGGTATTGGAACAGATGGTGGAAAGTTATCGGGGCAGGCTCCTTGGAATTCCGGGCTTTTTGATACTGCTGGATGGCCAAACTTACCAGGTAATAATTCTAGAAACAGGAAGCAGTGCAGTAACTAATTAGAGTTGTTAATAAGTTTCATGGAAACCTTCTCGGGTTGTGAAGCCGTTATGTGCTTGTTAACCATTTCCTCTTCTATTGATGGATTCTTCTTTCGCTTATTGCATGGACAGATCTTGGAGCACTTGGAAACTATGCGGGTTCACCCTTTCTGCCTTCCGACTCGGACCTTATGCTTGATTCTCCACAGCAAAATGACATGGGTAAAACCGCATTACTCTTAAACGCTTAGTCACTCGATATTTCCATTTAAGCATTGTTCAGTTCTTCCCAGTTTGATTGCATCTATGAATAAGTTAGTGAATTTGGCTCCATGGTTCTTTCATATGGAGAGAACAAAAAACTAAAATTACGCGTTGTTTTCGCAGTGGAAGAGTTCTTTGTCGACCCTGGGCAAGGCTCTCAATCGGAGTAAACTTTCTTGCGCGCCAAGGCACAACGTCTTGTGTATTTTGGTTATATCAGACAGGCTTTAGGTCGAACTCCTGATCATCAAGGAACATATGCTATTCTTGAGCAATCGTTTTCTTACATACGTCTATGGGTTTGACTACCGATTTCGCATGTTCAATAATTTAGGGATTGTGCCCTAAAACATGAAGAGCTCCATTCTCAAATGACAAGGATTTGAACTATCAGAAGATCAAAACACCCGAACCGACATCTTTACAGCTACGCAGAAAGGGTATACAATACATAGACAGATACGGAAGCGGAACGGGTCGAAAAGCCCGTCTTCTCCGTACAAAAACGAAATGTTACGATACAAAACCAACGAATAAACAAATTGCTATCATTTCCATAAGCACATTCGGCCATTTGCATGTGCAAATTTAATATGGTTTTCTTAAAAATATTAAAAATCCACACATGCAGTATGCAAAGTTTCTAATCCTGGTGAGGACTGGCTGGCCCTGCTTTGTCATGCTGGAACTTCACCACAATGCATGTTATGTTGTCTGCACTGCCACGGGAAAAGGCAACCGCCGTTAACTTTCGAGCTGCTGCCTCGGGTTCTTCTTCTGTTTTGGCAACTTCAACGGCAACCTGACACGCATAGATACGCAGGGAGCCAGGGTTTAACCAAACCAATAATCCGAGGCCAAGAAAACGAGATCTTATCATTACACATACGTACGCAAAAGAACTGCTCATCCCACTGTCCGACGGTGAAAGGACAGGTGAATGGCCGGGGTAGAATTTACCTCATTTGGTAGCACGTCCCATACCCCATCGCTAGCAAGCACTAGAAACTCAAAATCTTCATCCACCACTAGGTCCTGAAATAGAATGAAAAAAACTACTGAAAACTTTCCTTTAACTTCCGATCTGTGGTCGTTTTAGTTTTAGACATTTGGAATGAAAAATCTTCGAATCTAGGGGATACAAATCAATGTAACATCCATGATGAAACAAGTAATTTGTGATTTTTCTACCAAAATAAGACTCCTCGGATACAACAATTACTAGGAAATTACTATTTACTATTCAAAACTCGGCTCCTAGACCAGATTGTAGAAAGAGTAAAGACCGGTTCAACGCATGGACAGATTAAATCCACAGAAAACAAATAAAGGAATAAGTTAATCCAGTATCAAACAGTAAGAATTTCGATGATCACCTGGATCTCAGGTTCTGCAACAACATATTGCTTCAACATGCGGTTCCCAAAAGCCCGAGACATGGCCAGCACACCGCCTACTCTCCAAGTGCCTGAGAATATAACAGAAAAGTAGGTGAGTTAGAGTTACCTTGCTGATTTATCATAATTGTCAAAAGAGTAAAACAAGCAGCTCTACAACTGTTATTGGATGGCCGGAAACTGTGTAGAAATTTCAAAGCCCATAAATGAACTCTCAAGAATAGGCACCACATAAGAAAAACTAGGAGAAACAACCGATGCATGAATAACACATTATTTGTTCGTATAAATATATAATGACAGCCAACATATAGAGATTATAGTTTCTTGCGTCAATCAGAAACTTTGAAGTCTTACCTGTCCACATTACAAAACCCCCGGCACTCTCAATTCTCTTCCTTTCATCACTTCGATTTGGTTTATGATCCTCGGATAAAGCAATAGCTGTCCAAAATGGGAAAAACGAAAACTACTTTTAGAAATCCAGCATATCAATAAAATATTAAATTCTTACATTCTATATGATTACATTCAACATTTTCAGCATGGAAAGGTGTCCAATATACTTCATGATGAATTCAGTTACGTATCATAAAATTTTAACCACTTTTCAATAACTAATGATTCAATTAATACCTTTTCCTGCCTTTGATATTACTGTACGTGAATCTCCAACATTAGCAACATATAGATGGTTACCAACCAAGACTGCTGTTGAAGCAGTAGAACCATCATCCCGGTATATATCTCTTTCAGAATCCAAAAAGTCTGCATCGGTCTGTTGATACGATTCACCTGCAAGGTCACCCAAGTTACCCAGAAGAACCAAACAGACCTATGTCACAGGGTAAAAAAGTGTTCCATGCAGAACCCCACAGCTTGATGAAATGACAGGGATAAAAACATTTTATCTCTTTCCACCTGACCTAAGAGGACACATAACTAAATAATTCCACCCGTATGGGATGAGGATCCTGTGTCAGAACAATGGACATGCTACAACCATGCCACCCTAACGTTTTAATGTAAGTGCTGCACAAATTTAGGTATAAAGGAACTTGGACGCACTAATAGCTAACTTAGTGTCTGTCATGAATTGTGGATGCTTCATGAGATTCCCAAATAGATGCTCCTTCAAATACTGAGCAGCACGAGAACCGCCGTGACCTGTAAAGATAGACGAGAAATTAGAAAACCTTTTATCATACACAGGACAAGTACTTTCTACTTCAGCCAAGAGGTAAAATGCTTATATTTGACTGAAATCTCAGGACAATTACATCTTAGGAATAAGGTCAAAGTTGTGTAGCAGAAACCTCAGATATATGCGAGTAATATCAACCAACCGGCTCGATGATTAAATTGATAATTTCTTTCATTATTTCCTTTATGTGGAAAGTAACCGCGTGGGATCTAAAGTAGCAAAAGTTATCAGATTCGCCCAACCTTTTGCCACTGCAGTTTCCTAAGGGTTCAGCCACTAAATGGTTGCGACTATGTTCGAAAAACCTAAATTCATTCCATGTGTCCAAACACTCTGGATTCTTATGTGGACAGCATTTCATAGACATTGTGACGAATGATTTTTAGCCCTACATTTAAGACTTTTAGTAATCAGAACATATTCCGTTATCTAAAATAAAAGAAGAAGATAAAGAGAATCTAACCATCGAAAATTCCAAACAGGCAGACCGTTTGCCCTTCAATTTTGGACATTTTAACATCATAAAAATCCTCCATAGTTGCTCTTTTTCCCCTGAAACTCGAATAACCGCAACTCAGTTCTCCACCTTCGCTGTCAACGAGACATAAAAGGAACACGAAGTTAAGTCCAAAGATTAATTCTTTGACAGCCAGCACCAGTTATATCATTTAATATTCGAACGGGTCTGCTCACAGTTGAACAAGGATATCTATTTTGCCTATTAGTTTCACACAAAAATAAAGACAGATACGGATAATCGATATAAACCTTTTGCACCCTCCACTGGTATATTCACCATCCTCATCTTTGTCAGGCAGCACATCAAAAACGGATCCCTGTTCATCCGTCGCACCTGTATCAACCATCATCCTCAAACTCGACCTAAATGCTCGGTTCCACGAATTGGCAAGCGCGCAAATTCTATCAGTATTGTTGAAATGCACCCTTGCCTTCGTAGACGTTACGATATTCCAGGCTTGAACAATCACACTCCTAATGTAACTTTTGCAGATCATCCAAACATAAACCGGTCTGGCCGCAAGCACCAGATCTTCTGCAATCGCATTGAACAAATCAAAAACCACTAAAAGATGCCAATGTAACTACAAAATAATCCATTTCTTTATAGCATCAAACTTCCAGTAAACCGATTAACGGAGATTAACGCAATTGAGGTAAAGTTAATCTCATAACTAAACTAAACAACGAAATGATGAAATTCAAAAACAACATTTCTAGTTTCTATGACTTTCCTCAGCTTTCTCGGCAACCAAACAGGAAAATAATTGACAAGTCCACTAGCAGAAAACACATACGCAAATGCAAATGCAACCAAGAGATAGATTCGAACAAATTTGGTGATGAAATTGAAGAGAAGAAGTTGAATTTATTACAGAATTGTGGCTGAAATCTTCGAGTTCGAGCACCGAGTCGGATCGGATCCGACTGAATATACCGGGCGCAGACGGCGAGGTTCCGACTCTAAAAGTGTGATCCAATCAGCTCCATGCGTGCACAGGTATGTGTAAAAGTACGGTTTTCTCACTCTAAAAACCTGATAGAATCTAAAATCCTAGAGAGAGAAAATAAGAGAGAGAGAAAGAGGGACTGAGTGAGTGAGATTCAGGTGGTGGATAAATATAGTGAGACAGTACACGAAGTAGCCAGAGGGGGGGGAGAGAGAGAGAGAGAGAGAGAGAGAGAGAGAGAGAGAGAGAGAGAGGCTTTTTGTTGGATTTAACTTCGCTGCTGCTGGAAGAATCAGCACCTCTCCTGCTAAAAGCCTATTATGACGCGATATGTGTTCAAATTATGATTAAAAAATCACAGTTTAAATATATGTTCAGTCATGATTGACTCTCAGCAGGAAGGGCCGCTAATTCTTTAGCAGCCAAGTCTTGTTCTAGTTGATTGCAGTGAATAGAGGTGCCAACGTGTCGCCTTTCATGCATCCACTTGAGGAGTAATATGGTGCAGCCGCATCCACGAGGAGTTTTGAGAGAGAATGAGAGAGAGAGAGAGAGATTCAGGTGGTGGATAAATATAATGGGACAGTACACGAAGTAGCCAGAGGAGAGAGAGAAAGGCCTTTTGTTGGATTTAACTTTAGAAGAATCAGTAGCCCCTCTTACTGAAATCACGACGTGATATGTATTCAAATTATGATTAAAAAATTACAACTTAAATACATGTTCAGTCGTTATTGGCTCTCAGCAAGAGGGGCTACTGATTCTTCAGATACCAAGTCTTGTTCTGATTGCTTGTCAGTGAATAGAGGTGCCAACGTGTCGCCTTTCATGCATCCACTTAAGGAGTAATATGGTGCAGCCACATCCATGAGGGTTTTTAGAGAAAATGAGAGAGACTGAGTGAGTGAGATTCAGATGGTGGATAAATATAGCGGGACAGTACACGAAGTAGCCAGAGGAGAGAGAGAGAGAGAGGCTTTTTGTTGGATTTAACTTCAGAAGAATCAGCAGCCTTTCCTATTGAAATCACGACGTGACACGTATTTAAATTATGTTTAAAAAATCATAACTCGAATACATATTCAGTCGTTATTGGCTCTCAACAAGAGGGGCTGCTGATTCTTCAGCTGCCAAGTCTTGTTCTGGTTGCTTGTCAGTGAATAGAGGTGCCAACGTGTCGCCTTTCATGCATCCACTTGAGGAGTAATATGGTGCAGCCGCATCCACGAGGGGTTTTGAGAGTCCTAGTACTAGTACCCCACGTGTTACCCTTTCTCTGCTTTTAGTGGGTTACAATTCTAGTGCTTTAATCCCTACCCTTAAACCCTTAAGCGATGGTGATGTCACCATTGAACGTCTGATCTAAAATCATCAAGATGGAAGCACATAGAACAGTGATTAGCATCTATCCTAAAACAAATTAGAACCTTAATCATTTAATATCCGATTAATTAATAATCTCGGTTAAATATTATTTTGGTGAATCCCAACTTGAAAATAACGTGTTAAATATTAATTCGTAAAATTTATAATATATAAATTAACAACCAAAATTAATCATGTTCTCAACGTGCAATCTCTATTAGTCATTTTAAGAAAAATACCCTCAATATTACATCCATATTCTATTAATATTGTGTTAGTAATGCAGAAATTTTTGTCAAGAGTAATTTTAGAGAGACTAAATTTTAAAACCAAATTTTGTAAACCAAATGATGTAAATGTTAATGTTTGAATTATTACTTAAGTGTCGTATTGATAACACCTTATTTGATTTGCAATTTTGGTTTAGAAATTTGATCTCCTTAACATTACTCTTTTACCAGAGAGGGTTAGTAGATACTAAATCTTTATAGCATGACTATCTTCTGGTTTAAAGCCACCAGGATTTAGAGACTACCGTCTTCAACTGCTGCACCCTTTGAACACACACTTCAACTTCTGTTTGCGCATTGACAGTTTCAGTTGGCAAGGTGAAGTTGAATAAGGCGGCACAGTTGATCAGCACCCGATCGAAAACCTCTTCTCCGCAGAAGTCACTTCGCCAAGAAAGCTTACCCTAGCAGTAGCTGAGGCAGTGTAACTCAATAGCTTACCACGCGTGACGGAAGATCGAGCACCTCAGCAAGCGGCTTTCCCTCGTGAAAAATGATGTCGTTCTTCGCGTCCAGCACCGGTGTGAGATGTTTGCAAATGGCGCCCAACAGTTGCTCGTCCATGTTTTGAAGTATCGGCACTTATCTGAGTGTCAATACTCGAAGAATGTGAAGAAAATTCTCCACGTCAATGCATGCGTATGTTTTCTTTCAGTTTGTGCTTCATAGATTGCCGAGTCCGCACCTCAAACTTCCGAGGAAGTGAATGGAAATACATCCGCAATTCCATTTCTTGTTCCTTCAATCTCATTTGCTCCGATCTCGCAACTTTTGACAGCAAATATTTCTGTTTGACAAGTTGACAACAAAAGACGGCTCATCAGGTTCGCAGTGGTGTAGCCTGAGTTATACAACATGTTACAAACAGAAATTGGCTTTAAACTTTTTCCCTAAAATTTCAAAATGGCAAACATAAGGATTGTATGGAAATGTTTTTAAAATGACCGAAACCACTTTTAGTGAAAATAAATGTTTTTGAGACCAATCCTTATGAAAATGCAACTGAATTAAAGTTATTTTTTATAAGAAACACATAACTGATGTTTCTTTTGCATAAAACACTTCAAGTGCTTTGGAACCCAAAAATTGAATCTCCATTAGTATTTGCCAGTACCATAAAAACGTTTTTAGTTATTTTAAAAAAAATGCAGGAAGCAGCAATGACGACCCTAAAAAGTGCGAAAGTCGATAGGTCCGTCAAGTCAACAGAAGCAACCAAGACCATGGATGGATCGAACTCTTACACGCATTGTCAAAGAAGTTTCTAGGACATTTCACTCATCACAAGTCAACCAATCAAATTCTAATGACTTTGGGCTTTTGCTTCTCTTTGTACGCCCTCTCCTTGGTTGCCAATTTATAATTGACCTCGATTGAGTACTTAAATATTATCTGTAAAACCGATTCGGTTTTATTTAGGTTTTAAAACATAAATTTCAAATTTTTTAGTAATTTAAGAACAACTGATTCACTTTAAGAGTGAGCAAAAATGCATTCTTTATTATATGTATTTATTTATCATATGTAAAATGTTATTTAGCGAGATTATGAGAATTGTATTATACACATGTAAGTTTAACTAAGTTGATTAAATTAGTATACAATTTTCTTTACGAAAACCCAAATTTTGAGATTTTGTTAACGTGTTAGTGAGTTGTGATTTTCTCTTGGACACATTGCCGATAGTTCCAACCAAAAAAATGCTATAAGATGATTAATATCGACTAATCCTCCTCAGCAAGCGGCTTTCCCTCGTGAAAAATGATGTCGTTCTTCGCGTACAGCACCGGTGTGAGATGTTTGCAGATGGCGTCCAACAGTTGCTCGTCCATTTTCTGAAGTATCGCCACTTATTTGAGTGTCAATACTTGAAGAATGTGAAGAAAATTCTCCACGTCAATGCATGCGTATGTTTTCTTTCAGTTTGTGCTTCATAGATTGCCAAATCCGCACCTCAAAATTCCGAGGAAGTGAGTGGAAATGCATCCGCAATTCAATATCTTGTTCCTTCAATCTCATTTCCTCCGATCTCACAACTTTTGACAGCAAATATTTCTGTTTGACAAGTTGACAACAAAAGACGGTTCATCAGGTTCGCAGTGGTGTAGCCTGAGTTATACAACATGTTACAAACAGAAATTGGCTTTAAACTTTTTCCCTAAAATTTCAAAATGGCAAACATAGGGATTGTATGGAAATACTTTTAAAATGATCGAAACCACTTTTAGTGAAAATAAATGTTTTTGAGACCAATCCTTATGAAAATGCAAGTGAATTAAAGTTATTTTTACAAGAAACACATAACTAGTGCTTCTTTTGCATAAAACAGTTCAAGTGCTTTGGAACCTAAAAATTGAATCTCCATTACCATTTGCCAATACCATAAAAACGTTTTCAGTTATTTAAAAAAATGCAGAAAGCAGAAATGGTGACCTTAAAAAGTGCGAAAGTCGATAGGTCCGTCAAGTCAACAGAAGCAACCAAGGCCATGGATGGATCGAGCTCTCATACGCATTGTCAAAGAAGTTTCCAGGAAATTTCACTCATCACGAGTCAACCAATCAAATTCTGATGACTTTGGGCTTTTGCTCTCCTTGGTTGCCAATTTAGAATTGACCTCGATTGAGTACTTAAATATTATCTGTAAAACCGATTCAGTTTTATTTAGGTTTTAAAACATAAATTTCAATTTTTTTTAGTAATTTAAGAACAACTAATTCACTTTAAGGGTGAGCAAAAATACACTCTTTATTATATGTATTTATTTATCATATGTAAAATGTTATTTAGTGAGATTATGAGAATTGTATTGTACACATGTAAGTTTAACTAAGTTGATTAAATCACTGTACAATTTTCTTTACGAAAACCTGAATTTTGAGTTTTTGTTGACGTGTTAGTGAGTTGTGATTTTCTCTTGGACACATTGCCGATAGTTCCAACCAAAAAATGCTATAATATGATTAATATCGACTAATCCTCCTCGTTGCTCACTCAATACATTTCATGTGGGATTTAAAATACAATATATATTTGTAATGCTTTTCTTTCATTTTTTGTTGGTCCAATTTGCAATGTTTTTTCATGTGGGACTTAAAATACTAAAAAAATGGGGTAAAAATGAAAACTAAAAAGACAAAAGCGGTAAAACTGAAAATAAAAAAGACAAAAAGATACCATAGACCCGGGAAGCACGCGGGCACAAATGTACTTTTTCACGTCGGCGAGCGTACGCACCGTATCGGGTAATAACTGCACACAGAGAGAGAGAGAGAGAGAGAGAGAGCGCAAATTATTTAAAAACAAATTGTTTTTATTTCACGGGGGTGGGACCCAGGCCAGAAGACTTTGTTACTTTGCCATATCACAGTCGTCAAAATAATTGACCAAAAAATAATAAATCACAGTCGTCAAAATTGCAAACTTTGTTGGACTCTCTCTCTCTCTCTCTCTCCCTCTCCCCGGACGCCTCTGTTACAAAATCTATAATTTAATCTCGGCGAGGAGAGAGCGGGCCGACTCGGAGACTCGCTGACTCACTGCGCATTTCCCCGAACCCCCTTCTTCTTCTTCTTCTTCTCTAATCTCTCTCTTTCTCTGTCACTGATTGAATATCGAGCACAAAAAGCTACCTGGGTCTTGGAGATAATCACAAGGAAAAGTTTCAGTTTCGGTTCTTCCGCCATGGATAATCTCTTCTCTTAGGCGCTCTCGGACTTTATTTCTTGGTGAGTTAACATATTTCATCCGTTTTTGTTGTTGGGTTTTCTTCAATTTGATATTTTTGGTCTGTTTTTTTTCGGTTTTTCTTTGGTTTCAGTGACATGGTTTTTCCCCCAAAGATTGGATTTTTAGTTTTTGAATTTTGGGTTTTGATCTTTACTGGATAGGATGTGAAATTGGAAATCCAAAATATCTAATTTGTTGGAATTATTTGACTTTTGGTTCAAAATTTTGAATGGAAGAGGTCCCGTTGGTCCATTTTTGACCAAATTTTTATGTTTTGATTAAGTTTTGTTGTTAGCGATGAATTTATGGATGTATAAAACAAATGTACGCTAAATTTAGGGGGATATTTGCTCAAATGAAGATTTTTTTGTATGGATATTTAGTGTTAGTGCAATTTCTGCTTTTGGAATTGGGGCAAATAGCACTTTTTTATTAACTCGTAGGCGAGTAATTTAAACATCTTGTGATATTATGGAAGTTTTTATGTTGAACTCTCTTCATTTCACTTTGAATCTTTGTCTAGGCACTGATTCCGGGAACTTGGAGGTGCATGAGGGAGTTCTTTCGGTTGTTGAAACGTTCGGAGGTTGAATTTCCGGTGGAGATTCTATCGAAAACAAGTTGTAGTCATGAATTTTCAGCAAGAGAAGTTCGTCAGGTTAGTTTGACAATTAGTACTTATAACATTAGATACATGATATCATGTTGACTAGTTTGCAACTATATAACACTTTTCTCGCTTTCAGAACCAAATAAGTTTGGATTTTTGATGTTTCGTTGTTCTGCTACTACGAAGTACTTGCCTGAATTTTTACATCAGTGTCAATGGGATGATATAATGTGCCATTAGTGTTGCTAATTTCACTTCTTTCACTGGTTCCGTCCTCATCTGAGCTCTTTGTTTGTTGCTAGGCTACTAGCTTTGGCACATAATTACACCATCCTGTCCCTGTCCTTTCGTTTCAGAGATATGTTATAACTTTTGTATGTAATGCTAGATGCTTGGAAATCTCCTTATGTGTAATTTATATTGGAATATCCATACCGTCTTATTTCAGGTTTCAGGACTGGACTGCAGAGAAAAATGTTGAGCCATTATATTCTCCAGATGATGATATGCCACCAGGGAAGTTCAGAAGAACGATTAACTCGGTCTCAGCCAAATTCCAAAGACGCTTGGAATCTGGTTCTGAGCGGATTAAAAAGTCATGGAAATCTTATTCAATTGACAGTGTTGTCGCCAACAGCTTTGGTGGTAGAATTCTTGATCCTCAAGGGCCATTCCTTCAGAAGTGGAATAAGATATTTGTATTGGCATGTATTTTTGCTGTCTCCCTTGATCCCTTGTTCTTTTACATCCCGGTGATTGATGATGAGAACAAGTGCCTTGGTTTGGACAGGAAGATGGAGATAACAGCTAGTGTTTTGCGTTCATTCACAGATATATTTTATATTGTTCACATAATTTTCCAGTTTCGTACTGGATTTATTGCTCCTTCTTCTCGAGTGTTTGGAAGAGGTGTTTTAGTTCAAGATGCTTGGGCCATTGCAAGGAGGTATCTCTCATCATACTTCGTAATTGACATTCTTGCAGTCCTGCCTCTCCCACAAGTAAGCTAACCCTTCCTACTTTGTATGAGGTGCATTAATATTTTGTTTGGTTACCCATCTAATATGGTGGGTTGAGGAGTATCTTTATGCACAATCTGTACTCTCTCTGCATAGGATGGGTAATCGTTTTTGCCCAATATTGTGCTTACTCTTGGTGTTGCAAGTGTTACTAAGTCATATGTCGTATCTGCTAGTCATATGTCGTATCTGCTACTTTAAATTCGGCATATAGTGTGGTTAGTTGTAGTCGATGTCTTGTTTAGATTGGAATGTTTGTGCAGTATTTTGATTCTACTTTGGATCACTAATAATACTATGAAATATGTCCAGGTGGTTATTCTAATTTTCATTCCAAGATTGGCAGGCTCGAGAACGTTGAATACAAAGAATTTGTTGAAGTTTGTGGTTTTGTTCCAGTATTTTCCAAGGTTTATACGAATATATCCATTGTATAGAGAAGTCACAAGGGCATCTGGTATACTTACTGAAACTGCTTGGGCAGGAGCTGCATTTAATCTTTTTCTTTACATGCTTGCCAGTCATGTAAGTTTGATCATGATATTCATTGCTACAATATAATTGCTCATCTTTTTTAAATCTTCTGATTTTCAAGTGATTTGCTGTTCTTAGGTACTGGGAGCCTTTTGGTACTTGGTCTCTATAGAACGCGAAACCACGTGCTGGAAAGCAGCATGTGGGAACAATGCAACCATATGCTTGGGCAAGGATTTAAACTGTGATACCGCGAGCTTGAATACTTCTAGCAAGACCACATTCTTAAATTCTTCCTGCCCAATACAAGATGAAGACAAATTAAAGTTCGATTTTGGAATATTCCTTGATGCCCTTCAATCTGGTATTGTTGAGTCAAGCACAGATTTTCCTCAGAAATTCTTTTACTGCTTTTGGTGGGGCCTACGGAATTTGAGGTGTGCCTATACAACTTGTCTTAGTCTGCATTCTTAGGGTTTTCTGACGGTGATCTCAGTAGAGTTAACTTTTAAAACGAGTATTTTATATTTGGCCCAGCATCTTTATTTGGTATTGATTCTCGATATTCTCATTTTGCAGTTCACTTGGTCAGAACCTTGCAACCAGTACATATGTATGGGAAATCTGCTTTGCAATCTCCATTTCCATTGCTGGATTGGTGCTATTTTCATTTCTCATCGGAAATATGCAGGTTGGTACTTAGTGTTGTGCATGTAGTTTTTGCAGGATTGAAGTATCGTTTCTATTTCTGTCGTGAGGTCCTGATGAACTTTAAATTGTTGAAACAGACATATTTGCAGTCTACAACCACGAGATTGGAGGAAATGAGAGTGAAAAGGAGAGATGCAGAACAATGGATGTCCCACCGCTTGCTACCCGATAATTTGAGAGAGCGCATCAGGCGGTACGAACAATATAAATGGCAAGAAACCAGAGGCGTTGATGAACAGAATTTGATATGTAATCTTCCGAAGGATCTTAGAAGGGACATAAAGCGCCATCTCTGTTTGGCTCTGCTTATGAGAGTGAGTTTCTCCACCATTAAGTTATTGTCATCTTAGTGTGCCTTTCAAACCGCTAGATATTGATTCTTACTTTTTCCTTGACTGCATTAAAGGTGCCAATGTTCGAGAAAATGGATGACCAACTGCTCGATGCAATGTGTGACTGTCTCAAGCCGGTACTATATACAGAGGCGAGCTATATCGTTCGGGAGGGAGACCCAGTCGACGAAATGCTCTTTATTATGCGGGGCAGGCTATTGACTATGACCACAAATGGTGGAAGAACCGGTTTCTTCAACTCAGAGTATCTCAAGGCCGGTGACTTTTGTGGCGAAGAACTTTTGACATGGGCTCTTGATCCCCACCCATCAGCTAATCTTCCCATCTCGACCAGAACTGTCCAAGCCCTTAGTGAAGTTGAAGCCTTTGCTTTAAAAGCGGATGACTTGAAGTTTGTAGCCTCTCAGTTCAGGCGACTCCACAGCAAGCAGCTCCGGCACACATTCAGGTTCTACTCACAACAGTGGAGGACTTGGGCAGCCACTTTTATACAAGCAGCGTGGCGCCGCCATATGAAGAAGAAGCTAGAAGAGTCTCTGCAGGAAGAGGAGAATAGGCTGCAAGATGCATTGGCCAAGGCCGAGGCCAGCTCCCCAAGTCTAGGCGCCACCATTTATGCCTCCCGTTTTGCTGCTAATATACTGCGTACTTTACGGCGCAGTGGTACACGGAAGGCAAGGGTGCCAGAGAGACTACCGGCCATGCTACTTCAGAAACCGGCGGAGCCTGATTTTACTGCTGAAGAACAATAATCGTAGGTATATGGAGGTTTTGATTGAGTTATATGATTGCTCGTCTTCTTGTAAAATGTAAGTGTGAAACGGTTTAACCGATAAAAACGTAGAAAGGTGCAACTGCATAATGGTAGGGAGCCACTTTATGTTTATGTGTGGTTTTTTCTCTCCACCCTTCCTACCGCTCACCATTTTATTTATCGTCGTTTAATGAGTTTAAATTTTGAGATTGTGTATACTTGTTACACGTATCTCAAAATTTAAACTTATTTAACGGTAATGAATAGCATGGTGAGTATCACAATCATTTGAGGCAATGTTTGATTGAGGAGCAAGGCTTGCCTGTGCATTAACTTGGAAAAAGTAAAGGTTGAGATTTAACTATAGCTTATTTAGTTGAATCTCAACCGCTCATTGGTGACTAAAAATGTGTGGAAGAAACTAAACTTTTCATAGACAAGAGGGGGGGGGGGTGTAGTGCACTGGTTAAATGAAAAATTAGAAGTGGAAAAAAACCTCCAATAAATTGGGATTTTTAAGGTCTCTCTCTTCTCTGAATTCTAATCTTTTGCACTTATTTTGTGTGAGGTCTTTATGTAACACACGTCGCTCATTGTCCTAGTTGTTGCTTTCCTCTTAGAGAAATGTTATTTAACGTCGTTTTCGTAAATTTTCGTGCTAAAATTATAAAACGTATGCCAAAATATAATGTGGTAGAGAGTCTTCACTTTAAAAGAGAGGATTTTTATTCCTCTTAATCACAAACTACCGTAATTAATTAAGAGATGAGAATATTTAGTAGAGTAATGCGTAAAATGATTATTCTTACACTGTTACCGTAGAATCGTAATTAAGCAAATTTTAATGTGAATTTATGTCCACTACATCGTTAATCGTTCAGTAACCTCCTATCCTATCCTAACCTCTAGTCAAGTTTTCTGTTTTTTTGCGCCATGTTCATACATTTATTTGTGCATGCATTGTAAAATTGTTATCCTATCATTCGTTATTTTCACCATTATTCTTAACTAGGAAAAAAAATCCTCCCTAATATTCATAAAAAAAGATTAAAAAGCAGATGACGTTTTATCATGACGGCGAAAAACATAAAAGCCTATGCATCTTGGTGTAGCATCAATCCTCACTGATGCTATCGTTATTTTTTGAATTCGAACTTAAGATCTCCCACTTACAAGTAAAGATGAATATTACTAGACCGTAATTCTAAACGACATAATTAATATATATATATACACACACACACATTAATATATGCATTATACGTATACATACATATCTTGCAAAAGTAATTTTCTTTACCGCACACCTCTTTTATCTATTATTCAAAAAATACTATAAAATAGATTTTTTGAATAAATAATACTCGATTTTTGACAAATAATAAACGAATTTCCCATGTATACTTTTCTCATCTTGTATCTCATTGACTATTATTAAACAAATTATTAAATTTGTTTCCATCTACTTCACATATTTCGAAATTTAAACTCATCTAACAGTAATAAATAGGATGGTGACTGATAAACATCATCATCACTTGAAGGTGGTGAGCAAAAAAATTTCCGTAAATTTGTGGGTGATAAATTAATTTTAAAGCCATATTCAAGTCAATTATTCTTAAACATTAAAATCATAATTAAGGCATGGTCCAGCCTCCTTTTGTGATTGGTAATTGTTCACAAATTAAATGTCCGATGTAGTAAGTGCCAAACAGGAACCGTAACCCCTTTGAGAGCGTCGGCACGAACTCTCTCATCCCATCAATCTCCTTCCCGACCCAGTCAAATTTATACTGCTTAATTCCTCCACCCTCTCTGATAGTTCTCCAAGCTTTCCAAAACTTTCCAATGGCAGATTCCATTTCCTCCCAACTTCTGTTTCCAAAAATTGAGACCGACCCACATGAGTTTAACTCCTCCATACAGTAAGATGATCGAAAAATTTGTACTTCTTGCTTTTTTTCCCCCTGTTAATCTTCCATTTATTTGTTCAAACATCTCAAGAACTGAAGAAGGCTGTATATATATGTGTTTGTGTATGTATATGTTTTATGATTTTTACATGAATTTTAGTACATGGGTTACTTTACTTTTGCAGTGCTGCTGCATTAGAAAGTCTGCACCTTGAAAATTTCAATGGTTTCGATTCACCGCCATTGCCATTGGGATGCAAGTCCAACCAGCTTCCACAAATGGGTTCTCAAGATTTTGAGGATTCGGGCATCTGGGACTACATTTTGAACGACGCTGCTTTTCGATCACCTTTTGGTTACGAGGTGGTTGATGAAAAGCCCCTGACAACAATGGCGGAATCCGTTGACTGTTCGAACAGTGTTTCGGGTGATTCGGACGATGTTTTGAGGACGATCGAGTGGGGGATGAAGATTTGGGGCAAAGATGAAGATGAAAGCAGGACAAAAAATGAGAGTTGTTGCAAGAAGAGGTGTGGCACTCCATTGGAACTGGACGAGATTCAGAAGTATTTCGACGTGCCGATAACTCAGGCGGCCAAGGAGTTGAAGGTGGGATTGACGGTTTTGAAGAGGAGGTGCAGGGAACTGAACATCATGAGATGGCCGCACAGAAAGATCAAGAGCTTGAATGCTCTCATTGAAAATGTTAAGGTACGTAATTTTCATGTTCATGTGTTGTCAACTTGTCATATGATCTTTAGTGCTTATTTTGTCCGATGCCATTGGTTCCCCTCGAAACGAGAAAGATTTCGGTGTCATGGGAGTATACTTTCACGTTAGTATATCTTTCTTATCACGTGACCAGAGATATACTACTGAGAATTTTTCTTAGTTCTTTTCTTACACGGAGACTACTTAGGATGCAATTGCAAGACTACTTAGTTTATTGTCAGGCCCATTACTATTGTTCTAAATTCTGACCAAGGACGAAGGATGACTACTTAGTTTATGGATCAAAAATTAAAAGAGGGTTGGAAAGCAATCTTCAACTCTTGAAATATCTTCGAAATAACCTACATATTGGTAAACACGTGTTGCAATGAAAACGACTTTAAATAAGGTCATGATGTGCCATGAATTTATTATATATATATACTTTAGGTAAACTATCGTTTGTTCAAGGATTATCTTAGTTGAATTGACCACCTAAATTATTTTTTGGTAAATTAACTCCGGAATGATTTGAAATTAATCAATTAACCCTCTCACTGTTAGATTCTATGAAATTTTATCCACTTTATCGTCAAATAGTGGCACGACTTTATCCTCAAAAGTGAATAATGTGCTGGTCACGTGCCAGTATTTGACGGCACAATGAATGAAATTTCATCAAATATGACGGTAAGGGGTTAATTGACAATGAGCTTTGCTTTTGGAAAGTCGTAATTAGTAATGTAGGGATTGACTGTTGAAAATTGAAATATTGCAGGGGATGGGATTGACGAATGATGTGATGATGCTGGAGGAGCACAAGAGGGTTCTACAGCAGATGCCGGACATGGAGTTGCCGGAGAGAGCCAAGAGGCTGAGGCAGGCTTGCTTCAAAACCAACTACAAGAAGAAGAGGGCTTTGTGTTTGACTGCTCTGCCGGTCCAAGATTTAGTCTAGCTACCTTATATGCGCAAAATTATAGAATAGATAAGAAAATCATGACATGTTATATGGATAGGACGTGTTGAGCGGATGAAGTTCACATCTTTGGAACAATTGGCAAGATTGGTATATTTTCGATTCAAAAATGTCGAAGGCTTGATTCGTCAGGTTGATATGACCTTGAACTTTGTATCTAACTATTTTCATCGATTACCCGTTTCCTTGCTTGATATTGTGATCTAGAATTTGCATTTCATTCACATGCAAGACACATAGTTCTATCATATATTATTGGAGTTTATGACTGTTTTTGTACCATTAGATGTGACGGACTTACCATTTCCTTTTAAGATGTAAAAATGCATGACATACACGATAATTCGTTGCTTTTGTCTGATCATGTCATTCATTCCTAAGTTTGAACTGAATTTCCTACATAAAATTGATATCGCAGTCTTTAACTTACTCATCTCTTGTTGCAGTATACCATTTTCTCTCTCACGTGAGGTGTTAGAGAAGTTTCTCTCCTAAAATAACAAGAAATTTACGATAAGATAAGGTTAATTAATTAATCTAATAAAAAAAAATCAGAGTAGATGCTCAGAAATTTAGATAAAGGGGGCAACTTGTTGGTACACTGAGGAATTATAGAGGGTTTATAAAAAGGAAAGGGATCATCTTCGGATTCATTTCCACCAAATCCATCTAGTTCAGGATTCGGCCGTTAAAATTTGATCCAACGGTTTCAAACAGAAAGTCTCTTTAAAAGTTATAATAACTGTAGCCATTAGATCAAATTTCAACAGTCCGGATCCCGTGAATTTGGTGGAAAGGGATTTCCTTATAAAAGTGAAGCTCATGAATTTTAGACTAATTAAACTATTTTTAATTTTCTGATATATTTACACATATTCTTCAACAAGTTGGAAATGGAGCGTCAGATGGGGTTGATCCAACGGTTGGAAGACTTTAGGAGGTCATATTTCTCAGTTTTTCTTGCTTGCGTCTCCATGGAACGGGGACCACCTGCTTAAAGCTTTCGCAAATGCTTGCCTGCAATGATAAAAAAATTAATACTAATTAACTATTCATTTGGCAAAATACTAATTAAGTATTTGTGAGTTGAGAAATTATGTCACAAATAATCACATTAGGTAACTGATTAGAAGATACCAAATATGATTATGTTGTAATCAATTAAACAAATAAAAAAAAAAGAAACTGATTATAAAATAATCACATTTGGTATCCAAGAGAAGTCCAATAATTATTAGTGGCATTAATTTAGCAGAAAATGGGAAGATAATGCGCACAATGCCAACATTTGACAAGCAATTTTAAAGTCTTGTGAAGAAATTAAAAATAAAGAGTGTGGCATCAAATATTTTGTCCACAGAGTGATAATTATTATTATTTTTATTATTTATAAAAAAATCAGCTGGTGATTTTGTCATGGTAGTCTAATCTTTCAAAAGTTGAAAAGACTTATATAGACATTTTAGCATTCTTTTAACGATTATCGTAAGATTAACCATTGATAAGAATCGAACTAAAACATGCCATGTGGGTCTAGAATTCGTCTCAAATCACTAGACGATCCTATGATGCTTATTATAGTAGGTGAATATGTTATATTTTGACCTAAAATTTTCAATACTTAAATATGACTCGTCCGGTTTAGCCAAAATTTTCAATATTATTATATAAAATTACATCGTTTTTGGTTGATTATTAGTCCTCCTTAATACAATTTTCAAGCAAAAACTTAATTAAATTTGCTAATTGAGCGTTAGGGGAGATAGTAAATAATTGAGATTTGGTTACCTCGTACTTACCCACATACGTGACCTTGTGTTGGAAGAATTCAAGAAGCTAGCTGTCCTCCTAACTCTTGTGATCTTCACCTTCGTTTCACCGCCGCCACTAGCCGGAGGCAAAAAGTCAAAGCCGCCGTGGTCAACAACCTCCTTGTTCTTCCTGAAACTTGCCCACCTCATAGACCCAAAACCGCCACCGCCACCGCCGCCGCCGACGCTCCTACAACTCTCCTTGCTCAACCTCTTACTCCCAAGAGCACCAGGGCTCCTATCTCTGAACGAAAACGACATAGTCCGCTCGTCGTCAGGCCCGTCCAACACGGTGGTCGGGGAGGTCGTGTTGGTAATTTTGGCCGCCTCGCTCTGCAACCTCGGAGGCAACTCCAAGGATCTCGCGCACTTGGGTTTGGATTCTGCGCTGCCGCCGCAGTCCCTCGGCTTTCCTGGAGCTTCCTCCCACTTGAATGGAACCGAGGCGGTGGTTTGGAGCGGCGGTGTTAACATCCCCTGCGGCTCCGGCGGCTGGGAAGGAAGCGAGAACAAAGACAGCTTCGGTGTTCTACTTGGTTCCGACGCCATTGATTCTTTTTATCGATTCTCTCTAGAACAATTTCTAAAAACTCTTTCGAAAAAACAGTGAAAGTAGAGGATTCTCGAAAAAAACAGAGTAAGCTTCGTTTCTAGTCGGTTGGTGAGACGGGAAGTGTGAGTTTTTATAGAGAGAGAGAGAGAGAGAGAGAGAGTATTTGAGGGGTTTTTAGAGAGAGAAAGAGAGAGGAGAGGGAGAGGGAGAGGGGGTTGGGAGGCGGTGGAGGAAGGTGAATTGTTGTGAGGGGCAGAGAGCAAACGCTCCTGGCGCTTCTTCTTCACGAGAAAATGCCAGTTTCCTATAGTTTTTCTTACGTGCTGTTAGACCTAAATGCCCTTTAGTCAATGAGGTTTGGGGTCCCACCCTGGAAACTCTTGGTGTTTTAGACTGACGTGGATAACGACCATCAATTCAATTGTAGTCCGTCAATTGGGTCGTGGAAAAAGTCTTAGTTAACGTGTAAACTATTACTTTAACCATTGATTTTTCTAAACACGCGTATTCCTAAGTAAACACGTCGGTATGGTCAGTACTATAATCTGGTCTTATCCATCTTTATTTAAAAATAAGAGATCTTAAGTTTGCATAATAAATTCGATACCAAATTAGACTGCTTATTATGTGACTTTGCCGAACTCTTTCTCGTCTTAATGTAAAAATATCAATGTACTCAAAAAACATGTCGGTGTATGGACCCAGGTGAGAAAAATGATAAAAGACATTAAATTTGAGTGGTATTTTTCTTAAATCTTATGTTCGAAACTCGTGTGTATCAAATTCAAAATTAATTAAAGACTCGTATTTTTTTGGTTCTAAGTAAACACATCAGTGTATAAACTCGGATGCGGAGTAAGTAAAACGATGGGATGGTTATGATGGCAAATGGTAGAATTTGTAAAGATCAAAGTTTTAGCACACAAGTGCACACCATATAAGAAATTTTTAAGTGCATCCCGAATACTAGGCGAAACACCACATGTCGTCATATAATTGGAGGAAAGTTTTTTATATGTTATTCAAATTATATAATGACATGTAATGTTTGTTACGTGTTTTGAGTATACTGAATTTTTTTTCTACAACATAGATTAAAAGAGCCGGCTAACTGCGGCACATATTTTTTAACAACTTTTCCTTGGAATCATCTTCTTCCACTTTTTTTGTCACACACAAAACAAAATGAAAAAATGGTGCTAAAATTTAAATTGAACAAATTTGAGTGGGAATTATTATTCTCTTCTCCTTTTAGTCAGTTTTGTGACATGAAATTTGAAATATTTGGAAGATAGAGAGCTCTTTATCGGCATTCTTACAAGCTTTAACCAGTCAAAAGTTGCACAAAGGTGGCACATGTGCATGCCATGAAACTTTATTTTCTAAAATGTTGGGGCGGAGAAACGAAAAAGAAATAAAAAGAAGAAAAGAAACACTGAAAATTATTGTTTATTAGCAAAAAATTATTACGTATGTCAGTGTAATTACATGATAAGCGAGATAATGTTATGAGACTACGAGAGAGATATACGACATATGATCAGTCGTGCACGAGGCTTTTGCTATAACGACTGCATATATCTGCTCCTCATTTATACACTCCAACCGACGTATTATACAATGGCAGTGTAGAAAGTTAGGGTAAAACACGCAACAGAAACATTGCCAATTTATTTGGTCACTTGTTTCTGCATTATTATTGGTTGAGGAAAATAAATAACTTCTTGCTAGCTGGCTCTCAAGTTCAAGTAACAAGTTTTTTTTAAGAAGGCTTAGGGCCCCAAATAAAGTCCCATTCCTCTCTCAACACTTGGCACAATGATTTACGAACTCTTGTGTTCTTTTTCTCCACTCGTTCTCTTGTTTTTGTCTTTCGATTCATCTTTGATACATTCAGTATACAAAAACTAAACAAATTAGCAGTGTTGGCGACAGAGGCGGATCCACCTTGGGATAAGATGGGTCAGCTGACCGCCAAACTCATAAATTCTTCATGGAAGAACTTGTGTTGCCCTTAGAAAACATGAAATGCCTTTGAAAGTTGCACTCTAACTGTTCGACGAATTACCTCTATCGACACTAGGCAGGGTAGATGCTAGCCTCATCTCTTTGTATGGTTTGTTAATTGCTATGAGCATCTTTAGACAGACTCACTCGATATAAGTTTACATCTGTCGCCATACGCACTCAAAAGTTATTAACATAAATTGACATACTCGTTCGAAGATTATTAACATTTGTCGACAAACGTGTAATATAACTTGGCAAATTACCTTTCAACTCCAAAATGCCAAGTCAGTACCAGCCATGATAGAGTGACAATTACACATGATCTCTCTTTTCTTGGTATGAAAGTGTTGGACTTTAGATTTTTAGATACATAGTTGTATCCACTACCTGCCCATTAGGTCTTTAATTTCATTTTTAGTTTTCCAATTGTCCAAGGAGGCAAGGATGCTTCTAGTGCTTCAATTTATTAAATTGTTTATTTTATTTTACAGACATTAACAGAATTAAGATGGTATAACAATGTGCTCACATTATGCAGTTATGTTCAAATTCTCCTTCTTATAATTAGATTAAATTAGAATATCGCTCGAACCAAAAAAAAAAATTGTACCCCCGAAAATCACATTGATAGCTTTTACTCGTGTCGTAGCTCATCTGAGAGCTAAATTTGCCTCAATTGTAAACTACATTTGGACACTAGTTTTATGATCAAATTTTACTTCAGGTGGAGGTTTCTATACCTAGCTACTCAAATCATTGGCTCCCTAAACGACAAAGCAACAACAAGAACATGTGCTTACTATTTTGGAACAGAATAATAATATGCATCATGAAAAATATTTATTAAAAAAGAGTATAAGTTAGTGGCTTTATTATGGTAATTCATCATTATGGAAATCAGGAAGACTCACATAAACATTTCAGGCTTTCTTCGCCATCATCGTATGTCCACCAACATCAAAAATCAAGTTTAAAAAGTGCCGTACAAAATACGAACTTGAAATCGTCTCTGATCACTAGCCACCCGTGGTGTTTAAAAATGTTTTTGATGAGGAATACAATTCAACAGAGAGAGAGAGAAAGAGAGCAATAATAGCACCTAATTGACAAGAAAGCAACCTTCTCCTTGACAAGAACGGTTGATGACCAAAGTTTTTAATCAGCAGAGCCCCAACACAACCACCCCAATTCAAAACTGTAGTGCAAATTGGGAACACTTGCAGATGTTGAGCCATTCAACCTGACTGAGACATCCTCAAGCCCCATCCTCCCCATTAATGGCCGCCTCTCTAATTTCTACCAGTGACTGAGAACTGTGAGCCTTTACTTTTCCGTCCAGGAAAAAGAACATGGGATTGAAACCCTAACAAGTTCATCCCAAAGCTCCATCTGGAGCTCTCACATTGAGCTTTTGACCTCAACTTTTCAAATTCTAATCACCAAGTTTTCTCTTCGTTTGTTATTAGCTCAGTGTTGTTTGAAATTGGTTATGAAATGGCCAAAAGCACTTTCTGAAAACTTAAAAGTGTTTATTGGTCGTAGAAGTGCTTTAAAGAATCACTTGTCAAATGTTTTTTTATAAAGCTATTTCAAGTATCTTTTTTTCATTAAAACACTTGAATGCTTAACAAAAATTTAAACGTTTTTCTGATGAAAGCACTTGTATATGAGCAAAATTGTTTTCTACAAGAGCAGTATCTAAACCGCTCTTAATGTGTTGTGACAACTACCGTTTTCTTGTAACTTGTTAGCTTTATAGTACAATTAAAGGTCGGCAAGTATTGGATTCGATCGACGCCCGAATGAATGAACACAATGACCAAAATTTGTTGGGACAAATAGTAGGCATCAAAACCCAACAAAACTAGTCCATTAATTTGAAACACAAACATTTTTTTGTTATCACGACGCTTAACCGATTTGGGGAGCTCTTCAAGGTCCCATGATTGAACTTTGAAGGAGACAAGCTATGGAGTTTGGAGAGTGATCAATGTTTAGACAAGTTAATTAGTAAATTTAGACGATAAATAGCCAGTTATCAGAGTTTAATGGAAATAATTAGAGGTGGAGCCATGAAGGGACAAGATGGGCCCAGGCTCATTCTGACATTTTTTTCACATAAAAAAATGTAGTGTTATGCTTATGATTTTCAAGGTTTTCCGTAGGCTCAAAACCTCAACCCGACATTTTTGTTTTAATTTCTTTCATTAGGTTTGATTTGAGGTTGGTAGCTCCTATGGAGTTCAGACAATTCATTGCTTTGAGCTTTGAGGAGGGCTTTGGTCTAGAGATCAGTGGAGGTAGAGAGGGCGAGAGGGAGAGAGGAAGAAAGTCAAAGAGGCTTGAGATTTAGGTTTAATGAAGAGGATGATGAGGATGGCACAGTACCAAACCCAAACAATGTTGGTCAGTTGCTCACCACATGGCAGAGTAAATTTTGTAAGATTATGAGAGCATTTCAGATTGAGACACTTGAGCTGACTCCGCCACTGGTAATAATCCTGTGTGTTCATCACCCCTTTATTCATCAAAAACTTGACATGCAGAGATGATTTGCTCAATCAAAAGTATAGTACATGAAAGTTAAGTTCTTAGCATTCCTTCTGCATTAAAATTATATATGTTATTTGCCTATACCTCTCTATACAAATCTGAGTATATAAATCAGTCGAAACTACCGTTATTGATCGAACTCCTTGCGTTTTTTCATCACTATCTCCTCAAATTTATCATCCCATCACAAGCCAAGGTCCCCTCAAGATCTCCAATGATTCGCGCTATCCGAACTTCCAGACCTCTTTGAACTTCCTGGAAGAGAGTTCTAATGAAATCGGTGAAGCGCTTCATGTCGAAGCTTGCACACGTCTCTAGCTCTTCCGCAACCCCAACGAGTCCAGAAGCAATCTTGGGTTGGATTTCCATTAGTTTCTGCCCTGTTGCAACCATATATCTCTGCAGCTGAAACGTTTCATCAAGATGGCGCTCTAGTGTCTTTATCTTGTCCTTTGTTCTTGCTGTATTTGAATCTCCATGTCTACCATTTAGATCGAGATCATTGTCATGCTGAAAATCATAAGGAATTCAAAAACAACTTACGTGTCATTATTGTATAGTGAAGCTAGTAACAATGTGCTAGTTTCAATATTAACTTCAGTTTTCGAACTTTTTGGTCACCGTTAGATCCTAAATTTTCATAGAACTACAGCTAGATGGTATAGTTTTTTTTGTAGGAAACTGTTGTGAAGGTCGTATGCTTGCTGACAATTCACTAACAAGATTAAGAATCGAAGCTTACCATCCGTTGGCAGAGGTCATCAACCTTCCCTTGGAGGGACTGATACCGGCCAACTTGCTTATTCAGCAACAACATCAGCATGAGAAAGCCTTTAATCCCACTTTGCCCATCATCATTGCTTTCGGTATGACTTTCACCGGCTTCTTGCTTTCCTGAAAACCTTTCAAGCATAATAAGCTGCTGCTTCAGCCTCTTGATCTTGTAAGAAACACCAAGAGCTTGAAGATCCATCCTCCACGGCGAAGTATTTGTACTTGAGGCCTGGCTTGGTGATGCTAACTTTTCAGCACCGTCAACTTCTACTGGACTCGCACTTCCCGCTTGACTTGTACCCTCGTGGGAAGTATCCTTCTCACCTTCAAACTCTTTGTCAGGAGATTTCACAGCTGCAGCATTGAACTGGCTAGAAGATGGAGTTTCCTCTTCTTTCTTACCACCTTCCTCTTCGCATGGTTCCACCGAACTTGTCTTTCTTTTTGGATCTTCCGTCTTCATTTTCATACTTATGATATTTAAGTTGTTTGTCTGGCAGTTTAGAAACCGTGACTGTGATGCAAACTGCTCTTTTAGGGAAGTTAGTTCATCTTCCCGCTCCAATAACAAGGCTTCCAACTTCGTATTATCGTGTCTGAGACGCGATATATCTTTGTTCAGTCCCTCAACATGAGATTCTAGCCGCTTAGATTCTAATTCCATGCTCATCAAACGCCATCGATAAGTTTCTAATTTCTCATCTTTAAGTCTCAATTGTTCAACAAAAGCATCCATTTCTAGGTGATGCCTTTGCTCAATTAGCGCTGCATACCTCTCTGCTTCGGAGCGAACCCAACCTTCCAACTGCTTTATATCAGCTGCGATCAATCATAGAACAAGGTTAAATCAAGAAACTGAAAGTGGTTAAGCGGAGGAACCATATATGTTAAATCAAAAGGATAATTAATAATTCATTCTCACCTAGGTCCTTTGCCTCAAACGAGTGCCCATCAGAATCGTCTCTAAATTCAGAATGTTCATAGCCAAGAAGAGCATTGATTGGCTGTGGTCTTGTCTTTCCATTTTGTAAATGAGATGTACCTGTTGCACTGGAATTCACCCCTCTTTCATTTAAAGCAATTTCAAACCTAGAATTCGCTTTCACCAACATACTTTTCAATGAATGCCTCTCATGTCTAGACTCCGAGGAGACTACCTTCCATCGTTCTGTTTCAAGCTCAGCTTGCTTCCTCTTTGCCTTTGATAATTTCATCTCCTTTAGAAGCATGTGCTTCTCTGTTGTGTCTAACTTGGATTTTCTAAGCATCGCTGACAAAATCTTGTCTTTCTGTTCCAAATCCGTATGCATCTTTACAATCTCCGCAGATATTTTCTGAACCATCAAAACCGACTCCTCCTTTTGATCTAAGACGACATTCAACTCTCGCTTAGTAGCTTCTACTTGCCTAAGTGCTCGACCCATATCAGCATCAAGCTGCCGTTGGCTTGAAACAAGCTCCAAACGTGCAGTTTTGTGCTTCATAAGCTCAGAAGAATGTTCTTGGGCTGCACGCTTAGCACTTTCTCTCAATTCTTCCGCCACACTTTCAGCCTTTGTTAGCTTCTCTTCCAATTCTTTCAACTTCTGCTCCAATTCCCCCATTGCCTTATCCTTAGATTGCACCAAAAGCTTCACATCCTTCATTCTATCATTCATTGCAGAAATTGCTTCATCCTGCTTTTTCTCACGAACCTTCAATGCATTTATTAGCATCCCAATATGCTGCCGCAGTTTCTTTCGTTCGTTCAACCAGCTCTGCTCCTGTGCAGCAAAGATGCTCACGACTTTCTCGTTGGCTTTTGCATCTTCATGCCTCAGTCTCTTCAACTCTCTGATCTCTTTTTCTGCATCCTCAAGTTTATGGAGAAGTGCGGAATCTTGCACACTTCTTCCTTCTTTCTGAACTCTCCATACAAGCAATCCCAACAGTTGCGCACTTCCTCGAAGCATTTTCTCCCGCACTTCAGACAACCTCTCATCTTGCATATCAGGCATTGACAGGAGCCGCAGAGCAAAGAATGCACACGACACACCAAAATACGTAGGATACAAACTATCACTCTTATCTTCAAAGACAAATAAATTTGAATTGGAGACCACTTTCTCTTCCATTACTCAGAAATTTTCTTCCTTTCGTCTGGGAAAACATAAAACCGGAAAACAAAAGATTAGAATTCGATCAGGAAACTGAAAATCTAAGCATACACAAAAATCCATTTCGAGAAAAGAGGAAAGATAATCGACTATAATTTCTATTAAGATATAAACATCTCACTTAGTGCAGTACTAGAAAACAGAAAGAAACCGTTTCATCAATGAGTTTCATGAATTGTAGTTGAACTTACAGAAAGAAGGAACTTATGATTGCTTGCAGCTCAAAACCACAGAGCGAAGCTTATAGCGGAGTAAAAGTGTAGCTCGGAAATAGCAATGCTTCAATGGAGATCCTGAAGCATCAACCACACCAAACAGCATTCACCTTCTACCACACAAGTTATGTGACAACAAACGCGTTACTTGTGCCTGGTACTGCAAAATCAGTTAAATCGAGATGTATTCAAAACGGAAATGAAAAACGAAACAGAATTTAAAGAATCCCCTGGATTTCAGTGAAAGACTGACCTAGCAAAGCATATTTGCATATGCTTTTATCCTCCTTTTGCTCTTCAGCACAGGTCAGTAGTCATGAGTAATTGCTGCCATTGGAAGCAAAAGCACCAGATTCCTGGGTTGTTTGTCACCATTACTGATCAGACAGTGGACTCCAACAAAACAATAAACATATCTCAACCAAACACTTCTCCCTATAAATATTGTATATTTCCAGAGTGGCTTAACTGGATTAAAACTACACTGCATAAAATAATTTGTAAAAGCATATAGACAAAAGGGACCCCAAAAGACTACAAAATCAAAAGCACTTTTCAGTAATCAGAAAGTTTGTGCTTCTTCCTTTTTTTCTAATTTTATCTACTAAAACAAGCTCAAAAGATGTTCTTGCACTGTTTGGGTGGACTCAAAATATCAGTGCAATAATAAACAAGCTCATTAACTCAAATCTCCGAGAAATGATTTATACACACTTTTACTGCAAACCCGCATTAAATTAAACATGAATGTGCAGAGAAAGAAAATAGCGCGTGAAAATCATTTCTCTATCTCACTAAAAACCCAATTAGGATTAGAAAACCCCATTAGTTGCACTGAAAAGTAAAAACCCATGATTAAATTTTCAACATGCACCAAGAAATCCAATTGACTTCAGTAACAGTTATTTTGCCCCCAAAAAAAAAAAAAAAAACCAATTCTTCAGTTTCTTATTCACAGCAATAGCAAACCAATAAGATATAACAACCACCACCAAGTATTATCCCACTAAGTAGGATTCGCTCAGTTGTATGAATTCTATAATGCCGCTGCCACTAAGTGGGATCGGCTTGTTATATGAATCCTAAAATCCCATTGCGCTCGATTTTTCATCATATACTCCGTTAGCAAACCAATAAGATATGCATTGCAAAGTAAAAAAGAAGTAGAAATACATGAGTTTCACCAGTGAACGGTCCAAGTGAGCTGCAACTGAGCAGGAGCATCTCTTGCAAATGATGAGAGCAAGCAAGGCAAGAAGGTCATGGGTCCACAGAGAGAGAGAGAGAGGGAGGGAGGTGGGCTTCCTCTCAAGTTCCTTGCTTTGCCTCTGAGACCTGTAAAGCAGGAAACTTGTTCATGAAACACTACACTGCAAATCCATTGCACTTGAAAGAGCAGCATCATATTTACTAATTAATTATTGGTTAGAGAAATAATCACCTTAAATTTTTATTTAAATTTTCCTTGATCTGCCCTTGGAATCTGGGGTTGGTAATGCTGGATTCATTTGATTATCTCCATTCTCCAAGCAATCTCTCTCTCCTCTCTCTCTCTCTCTCTCTTGCATAACATATCTCAAATCAAATAAATAAAAAAGAAAAAACAATTAGAAGGTACAAAAGAAACGAGGGTCACAGTCAAGTCTGGGCATTTGGGATCACAGCCCATGTTCCCAGCTCCCACCATGGCATTGTATTAAATTATTGTGCCTTTCTTGGGTCCCAGCAGGATAATGTGTACTGCTGCACAATGCTTCAAAAATTTAGCTTCATAATAAAGTTTTAATCTTTCATTTAAAGAACACGAATACGAAATGGTTTGACATTTTCTCTTCAATTTTAGTGCTTTCACACACGATGAGCCTCATATATACAAAATTTGCGATGTAACTGATTGTATATTCCGTGCACATGAAACAAAAATAATATTAATTAAAAACATACAATTATTGTTATAATTAATATTTAATAATGTGTAATTGTGTAAATTATAAGTTAAGAATCTTTAGAAATCTAGAATATCATTCCTATTAAACTTTATTTTACTTGGAGAACAAGTTATTTTCTTCTTATTACTACTAGCATTTGCCTATATACTTTATGTGTATGAACACAATTTTTTAGAAAATAAGAACGAGAGAGGGAGAGGGAGAGAGGGAGAACCTGGGGGAAGTGGGAGGTGTTTGTTTTTGGTTTTTTTATTTTTTTATTTATTTTATTTTATTTATAGTGGAGGAATTTTAACATCACTTGTAAGTGAGATTTCAATAAAAAATAGTAATTTGGACATGTGAAATTACATTATTGCCCATCATTTTTTTTTTTGTGATAGAAAACTAATTTGTCTTTTTACCTTTTTTTGGTTGACAAATAGGGTTTCATTAATTAGTAGAGATAAACTAGGCATAAGGAATAGCATTACAGGATTCCTCAAGCCTTTCTACATGTGACATCCCACATCGCCCAGGGGAGTGATCCTTAAATGTATATTCTCATCCCTACCTAGCACGAGGTCTTTTGGGAGCTCACTGGCTTCGGGTTCCGTAGGAACTCCGAAGTTAAGCGAGAAGGGGGCTAGAGCAATCCTATGATGGGTGATCCACTGTGAAGTTGCTTGTGAGTTCCCAAAAACAAAACCGTGAGGGAATGGTAAGCGCAAAGCGGATAATATCGTGCTACGGTGGTGGAACGGGCCCGTCCGCCCCGGGCCGGGATGTGACAGTTTATTGTCACATCCCGGCCCGGGGTGAATCACTTCCCGGGCCCAACTCCACCACCGTAGCATGATATTGTTCGCTTTGTGCTTACCATTCCCTCACGGTTTTGTTTTTGGGAACTCACGAGCAACTTCCCAGTGGGTCACCCATCATGGGATTGCTCTAGCCCCCTTCTCGCTTAACTTCAGAGTTCCTACGGAACCCGAAGCCAGTGAACTCCCAAAAGGCCTCGTGCTAGATAGGGATGAGAATATACATTTAAGGATCACTCCTCTGGGCGATGTGGGATGTCACACTACATCTCTCTCTGTTGCACCCTCTCTCACAAATAGGCCACAACAACGAGTTATATATTAAAATTCAAGTTAAGTATGGATAACCACTCAAATTTTAGGAGTGATTCCAAACTGATCCTAACATATTAAAACATTCTTAATAACTACCTAAAGTTTTAAAGGAAGGACATATATTAGGTTCACTAATATTTAGTGATGACATGGCAAATATTAAGCGGTGTTTTAACTCTCAAGTCATCTATGGTGATTTGAATTTCCAAATTGATGCCATTTAGCTTAAGCAAATTTGTGGTTAACTTGCCTAAAATGGGGCAATTTGACAAATTAGAACTCCAAAGATGTCGATTAGTGAAAATCAATTTTAGTATTTGTCCACCTCATCATTTAATGCTAATAACGTCATTACTTAATGTTGGTGAAGTTTGTGATAACTTACCAGATGTCTAGTTTTCAAACGTTAGGTAATTATTTTCATATTCAGTATCACTCTCTATATTGGCATACTGAATAATTGAGTCATCAATCATTCACAAACACACCCTTCCAAAGAACTTGATTAAGACTTTTCACCAAAACTTGTTAACTCCATTGAGATTTTTCCCTTTTGGTTCAAAAACTCCATTGACATCAAATCGTCAAATTTAAAAAAGAAATTGATGTATGTCAAATGAAAAAAAAATAATAATAATAACATCGTGAGCTTGAATGAGTTAAATAAGAGTTTCCTTTCGCATTTAAGGTTTGAAATTTGAATTTTCTATATTGTTTGTATCTGACATGTTGCAAAATATCGAAAAACAGCACACATAGCAGTGCAAAGGTACTATTGCTGTGAAATTGGAGAAATTTTTTAGTGTGTCAAGAACACGGCTTAGTATACAAGTGTAATAATACAATTAGTTGGAAACTTAAAAAACAAAATTTCCAACTAATTGTAATATGATACTTAATGTGCAGTACCGTGTTCACAACATACAGAAAATTTTATGGTGGAATTGGATGATCGAAATGAATGGTGAAAACTCAATAATACCCTACCTACTCTTCATAATTCACAAGCGGAAAACAAAACTATATGTTTTTTGAATTCAACAGATTTGACCCCAACGTCGACAAGAGAAATTGACTCAAATGATGAAAATACAAATTCCAACTGCTGCAATAATATCTTGTCAAGATTTTATTGATTTGTCATCATTATTTGACCCGTATCATTACTATTTGATTTTGATCATTTAACCAAACAAAATTTGTAAAATCGTCGTTTCACCCAGATTTCTCAAAATAAAACGATTAACTACAAAAAAATTTATTCAAAAATTAAAAATTAAAAAATTAAAAATCGAAAACTAAAATGATTGCCGAACAAATCCCTTATATTTAATAATTAGAGCAGAAAGCAACCGAATCGTTCGTCTGCCAAGGTCTGGGCAGATACCTGATCCCAATCAAATTCAAAGACATGAGAACCCAATATTTTGGCAGGGAAGGACGTCGATGATGGGTGATTCATGAACATCTGAACAGAAATATTCGAATATCATGACAAAAATACAGTAAGTTCTTCTGTAACATTCTATCCCTTACTAAACATTCCGGAACACGTTCTGTGAACCATATCTAAATGGTAGGGTATACAATATAAATAGATCCCACCGCAATTTTTTTTTTTTTTAATAAATAATATTATCTGCTACTTAATACTACGGTTTATTGATATTCTTCTTCATTTGTAAGTAAAAGGTCTTATGTTTGATTTTCGCCAAATGTGAGTTTGAACCATATTATTGTTAGCCCATTATGAGGTTAAGCTCATCCCATCCCATTAGTGTAGATAATAATCTCACAATGGACTAACAATAATGTGGTTCAAACTCGATTTTGGATGAGAATCAAACCTAAGACCTATTACTTACAAATGAAGAGGAATATCACTAGACCATAGTACTAAGTGACATATCTCACCTCTATAAGGGCGACGATTTAGACGTGGTTTACAAAATGTTGTATGCCGTATGCCTAGCTTTTCTCAAACGCTATCCCTGTGCGTGTGACAATTAACTTTATTTATTATTATTTTTTTTTTATATTAGTATTAGTTTTGGGAAGTATAATTGGCACTCCAAAAATCTCATTTTACACTCCTCACAAGTATATTTTTGTTTCCAAATATAGAAAGTTTGGAATGTAGAATGAGATTTTTTGAGTGCTAATAACAATTCCCTTAGTTTGATCAAATTTATATAAAAAAAGAAATTGACTAATATCTAAACTACCTATTAACAAAAGACTTTTGTCGACCAATTAACATTAATTTGAAGATTTTGAAGGCTTCTTCCTTTTTTCCTTCTTCATTTATATACGATTAATTCTAAATGCAAAGGAAACTCTTAAAAATGGATCTATCATTGAACTCTCTGCCACTCATATTCTCTCCACAATATTTTATAATATCGAAAATTAATGTTAGAATACGAGGTGATAGAGTGTTTATGAAAAATTCTATTTTGAAAGTCTACCTAGCATTTCTCTTTCTAATTTCTGATCTACCATCGAAACGACAACAATATTTCGCCGTTTGAAATCAGTGTTGTTTGACCCGGTTGCAAACTGGGCATAGAGATCCACGATAGGCCAACCCGTACACCGCTCCGCATTCAATTCAGCTCCATGCTAACTTACGCCGGAGGCGCATATCTCCCTTTATAAACATGTCTCCATCTCCTTCCCGACGTTTCTAATTTTATGTTCTCCAGAGTTCTATCCCTAAGTCTGAAAACCCTAAGTTTCAAATTCTCGAGGAATTTAGCAATTAAAGAAGCTCAAACCCACTCCAGAAGCTCCATTTCAAATTCCATGGGAGAATTGAATATGGAGGACATGCCTCTTCCGGCGCTCTTCGAGCAAGCTCGGAAGATCCATCTGGCGGCGACGGAGTCTGGGGGTGGTGTCGATCAGGTACACAAATCCACACCATAAGCTCATGGGCTCGCACATTTTATTGAAAGTTTCAATTTTTTTTTTTTGCTGTAATTAATTTAATTGATTTGGATATTACTATTAGGAGGAGGTGAGGAAGGGATGCAGGGCTTTGGAGAAGTGCGATGAAATGATAAGCAAGCTGGGTTTGTTCTCAGCCAATGAGACCAAGGAGGATATCAGCACCACCAATCTCAAATATCTTATGGTAACTCATTTGGGTTTAATTTTTAAAGTCGAAAACTTTGAATGTTTGATGGAATAGTTTGGAAAGCTGGGATTTTTGGTTTGAATGTAATGAGCTAACTTCTGATGCGGTTTTGATCACAGGTGCCGTATTATCTCGGTGAATTAACCGAAAAGGTTGCGCAGGATGACAGGATATCGATTCTTAAGGCTTCCCAGGCTAAATTAAAGGTGATCCATTTTTATTAGTTACTTGTCGGTAAAGCAATAATACATCGGATATGTCTTGCTGGTCAGTGTCCTGTTGGTTTGAGGTTTATGTTTCTGTTAAAACTAACTAGGACGGCGGCATGTTGTAGGAGTTTATTTCAATTTGCGAGGCAATGGAACTTGTTCCGAAAGAGGAGTTAGAAGCATCTGCAGTTGATGGCCCAAATTCACATGTTGATCGAAGGGCTCTGAAGGTACTGTAGTTTTCTTATTGTCTTTCTTTAGAAAGCATGAAGATCCTATCTCAAATTTCATTTATACTCATGACTTTAATAATTGCATCTTGTTGTGCTGCCGACTGTTTTACATGTTGCGTGGCGGAACATGTTAAAGTATAGGTTTGGTGTTGTAATTTGTTACTTATGCTCTTGCTTCTGTATCCAGATTGCTCGATTCAAAAGGCAAAGAGCTGCAGAATCAAAATTGCTGGAAATTAAGGAGCGGAAAGAGCGAAGAGGTCGTTCAACTAAAGCATCTGCCTTGTCAACTCCTATTGAGGCAGGAGAGGAAGATGTGCTGGATGATGACGGAGAGGAGGAGCGGGAGGTTTGTAGATTTCTTCTTACATATTTCTCTTTACTGACATGTTGATTGGTTCTACATCAGAATGTTTTCATAAGTTTGAAGTCTAATTACATTGGTAGAAATAAAAAACTGTCTAATTAGAACCCTTGTTTTTGCAGGCATGGTTTACTACAATCTCTTTGGCAGTTAGTAAGGTTAGTTTATAACTTAAAGTAATCCTCCACATACTGTCGTTTTTATTCACGTCAATTCATACTCGTGTCTTTCTGCCATGCAATCTTTTTCAGACTTTTGATCTGTTGGAGATGCTAAAGAAAGAGGAAGAAATGCTTGTAGCTTTTAAGGAAAGGCAATCAAAGGTATTTAATATTAACACCCATTACCGTAACTTAAGATTAGACACTTTTACTGTATTATTATCAGTGTTGGTCTTGAGTTCCATTACTCTGTCATGAATTTGCAATTTTTGGTGATAATTAGGGGGGGGAGAGAGAAATTTGTAGAGCATATAGGAAAAGCTGTGTCCTGCAACTTGACCTATTTCAGTTATAAAAGCTTTTGTTATTGTCATGTATTTCAGGATGGCGGGAAGGAATTTTATCAAGAAGTTCTTGACGATCGTGCCAAAAGGGCCGAAGCTTGGCATCGTGATGCTGCAACCCGGGTGCAGTATAGTAGGCCAGCAGAGCCTATCACCTGTGCAACTTTTGCTCAAGATGTTCTAGAAGGGAGAGCCAGGGTTTCAGAGATGCATGAACACAAGCACCAGCCACTAATATTTGGACCAGCGAGTCTTATTGGTGGAAACCCAACAAGTGAGAGGGAAAGGATGGCGGCTCAGGTTTTCCAGCCCAGTCATAGGTATATCTCCGTGTTCTGTTACTTTATTTTGCCGAGTCTAATTTATCATGAGCACAAATGTTTGGAAATATCTGGTTTTCGCGTATGTGTTTTCATCTTTCATCGTGTGAAACATATCATTTGAGATGCTAAATTGAATTTACTGTGCGGGAAGGATGCCGACCATGAGCATAGAGGAAGCTGGACTGAAGGAGATGGAGATAATGAATACGTGGCAAGAGAGGAATGTGAAACTCATGGAAGAGGCCAATTCTGCATGGTACAAGGAACCTATGAAACCAGGACCACCGCCGGAGGGGGAAGAGGAAGATGATGATGCCGCTCAAGACAGGGCGAGGGCATGGGATGACTGGAAAGATGATAATCCTCGGGGTGCTGGCAACAAGAAGCTCACCCCCTGTGGATAAAATGGCACATTGGGGAGCCCTGAGATTTTGATTTACTGCAAATTAGAAAGTTTTGTATTTGGTGTCGTTCTTGTTGTGTAGATTAAGTTATGTATATTATCCATATATTTATTTCAAGGCGTTTTAGTCAAAATGATCTCTGAGATTTGTATAACACATAACTTTGGTTCCTAAGATTTAAAATCAATATAAATGGTTCCTGAGATTTAAAATCAATATAAGTGGTTCCTGAGATTGTCCACCATTCATTATTTTGATCTTTCAGTTAAAATACTCCGTTAAGTTAAGGGTATAACACATAACTTTGGTCCTAGATATTTGCGTAACACGTAATTTTGGTCCTTGAGATATGCATAACACAGAACTTTGATTTCTGTGATTGTTCACCATTCATCATTTTGGTCTTTCCATTAAAAAGCTCAGGGACCACTCAACAGAGTTTTTTAATGGTAGGACCAAAATCATGGATGGTAGATAAACTCAGAGATTACTTCTATTAATTTTAAATCTCAGGGACCAAAGTTATGTGTTACGAAAATCTCAGGAACATTTGGCTAAAAAGTCTTATTTGAATAAACAATATTCTCATGTTTGTTCAAAATTTTGTATATCAAATTAGGGTTTGGTGATCCCAGCACACCAGACACAATTGGAATTGTCAACAGAGTTCAAACGGAAGGGCGACATTGATGTGTTTAAGGTTAAGGAACGAGATTGGTCGATCTTCAAATTGAGGGACTAAAATGAAGAGTTTTTAAGTAGATTTCAGGACCATCCGCAATAAAATACCAAAACCAAATAAAAAAGGTCTGTTTATGAAGAAAACAATGTGCCGATGTAAATTGGGTTACTGAAAGGATCATAATGCAGACTGTTGATGCCCGACTCCCGACCGCGAGGTCCTTGAATCGGGTTTGACATTCACATGTGAGATTATCTGCTCGAAAATTGGGAAATCAATGCATTTGTAATATTAAAACAAGAAACCACAAATTAACTAAGCACCCTGATCTATCTAGTGTGTTCACATTTAATCGGGCAATGACGAGTTTTAATCTGCAACGTCAAGCAGCTCAAAATTTTCAGTATGAAAAGTGCATTGTTGGAACTGGATCGGAACGCCTAGTGGCTATAGATTTTAAGTATGAACACCGGAGCGTCAAAGCAAAACATCGGAGATGTTACGGTGGATCTCAACCAGCACCAGTCGAGGTTTTGCTGTCCCGAATTCAACCCCCACGGTTTTTTGGCCCTTCTCAATGATCGGCAGCGTAGACTGAGACGACTTTGTGTCGAGCATACATGTTTCTCTGGTCGCAAGTAGTCTTCGGTCCTCGGCGTACGAAGGCCTCACACTGCCGGCGAAGAGAATCTTGGAGCCGAAGACACCGCAAACCATTATATATGGAAGTTTCGGGGTATCCCTGTACATTTTCTGGGACAGTGTCAGTAGCCTTTCGGCTCGATTTCCATGTATATCAAGGGTGGGCACGGTGTGGTTCAGTGCGGTTCAACCCTTAAACTGGAATCGGAATCGAAAAATATCTACAGTTCGATTCGGTACGGTTCCACTTAAATTTATTACTAGAACCGTACCGTTCGGTGTACAATGGTTCTGATTTGGTAATTGTCGGTTTACGGTTCCGAATACTAAATTATTTGAACACCAAATCATCATGCATTCACATAGGTCTTCTAAAACGATTATATAAAGTTGCATACAACACAAATCCTTTTTAATGCAAATATCTTTGGCAGTGGCACCAAGTTAACAAAAAGAGACAATTAAAAGAAACATGCATTGGTCGGTCAGCAAACAAAAATAAATCAAGAATTTAAACAGCATCAGTCTCCTAATATCAGAAGCAGCAACAATCGCAGCAAGCAAATGTAACATTTGTGGGTGGGTGAGCCCTAATTGGGATGGATTCACTGTTTTGCAACTTGATGAAACTAATTTTTCAACCTATTATACCATGACAAGTGTGTATATATATATATATATATAATTTATTTATTTATTATTAATAAAATGGTTAGGTTCGGTTCCGACCGGTTCTTGTTCTTTTGAAACTAAACCGGAACCAGTTTGAACTAGTCCAGTTCCCTTTTTAACTCAAAGTTGACTTTTCTAATCAACATGATTTTTTTTCAGTTTTTTTCCATACGATTCGATGATGTTTTGCGATTTGACTGTTTTTATGCCCACCCCTAAGCTAAATCATCTGGGACTTTTTTGGATGCTCCAGAGGGTTTGGTATTATGGATATTTTAACCCTCAGTTTCATTTAAAATTATAAAAATTAAAATCTAACAGTTAAAATATCAAGACTACTCGGGCACCTAAGAATTTTTTAAAATAATGATTGAGAAATAATTTTCGCACTCTCCTTTTTTCTTTTAGCACGTCTTTTTTAGTTTCTATACTTTCGATAATTTGATTTAAGCAATAATAATAAAAAATGTCCAGGAAAAACAGAGCGTTCAGAAACCCAAACCCATTGGGTTCTACAAAGTTGGCCTATTAACTCGACATCTTCCCTAAGTCGCGGAGCTAATGAAGCAAATGTCAGCAACGGCGTCCAAAGTAGGCTCCTTGAAGCTCTGAAACTCAACGTTCTTGCACATCTGCGTGCGTCACCGCAACTGTCAGATGAACCTGGTTTGTAGCAGAACCGGAAAATTGTAGCTGGAAGGTAGGTATGTTTTGCTTCTGCTGCAATTTGGTAAGAAGCAGCAGCTCAAATAGAAATGTTTGAATGCGACTGTGACACTGCCGGTCCGCCACCACATGGTGTTAGACTGTTCCATCCAGCACCAGTAACCTTGACATTCGATATCCTCACATAGTAAGTAATTCATGACTTATCTAACGCATCTATGCAAATTCCAGACGCTAATCTGTCATGGAAGAAAGGTATCCATAGCGGGGAACGCATTAGACAACGGAATCAAATAAAGAAGATTTCGCTTCTTGGTCTTATCTTGTTTTAGGTAAAGAATCAAATAAAGAGACATCGACGGAGGAAATGGAAATCGAATCCAGAAACAGAAACAACTTCCATCAAAGCAAACAAACAGTTTCTATTGGTAAACTCAAATATCAAGACATTTGAGCAATTACAACATCAACCGAAAACAATGGAAGGAAAGTAAAAACAATGCCTGCATAGTGATGATCTAAGTATACACAATTTGATGCATCACTTGAAAACGCTTATCGCTATTTGTATAACACAAGTTATATAGCTTAAGATACATACAAGAAGCTCACCGGAGGGCCAAGGAGAAAGTTGCCGGTACAGAATTGAAACAGAGCCTGATTGACTTCGACCCTTCGAGTGTAATGTTACAAAATTTTCATCCATCTTCAAAGTAAAGCACAATACAACACCAAAACCTCCCAAATCCGCCCGTTCAACTGTCAATGCACTTGAATCCCCTGCAAACCTACAACCAAATCCCAAACAACAAGGCGCAATAACTGCCTTGACATTCGATATCCTCAAATAGTAAGTAATTCATGACTTATCTAACGCATCTATACAAATTCGAGACGCTAATCTATCATGGAAGAAATGTATCCATTGCGGGGAACGCATTAGACAACGGAATCAAATAAAGAAGATTTCGCTTCTTGGTCTTATCTTGTTTTAGGTAAAGAATCAAATAAAGAGACTAACTGCGGAGGAAATGGAAATCAAATCCAGAAACAGAAACAACTTCCATTAAAGCAAACAAACAGTTTCTATTGGTAAACTCAAATATCAAGACATTTGAGCAATTACAACATCAACCGAAAACAATGGAAGGAAAGTAAAAACAATGCCTGCATAGTGATGATCTAAGTATACACAATTTGATGCATCACATGAAAACACTTATCGCTATTTGTATAACACAAGCTATATAGCTTAAGATACATACAAGAAGCTCACCGGAGGGCCAAGGAGAAAGTTGCCGGTACACAATTGAAACAGAGCCTGATTGACTTCGCTAACTTATCCCTCCGAGTGCTTGTTTGTAATGTTACAGAATTTTCATCCGTCTTCAAAGTAAAGCACAATACAACGCCGAAACACCAAAACCTCCCAAATCCGCCCATTCAACTGTCAATGCACTTAAATCCCCTGCAAACCCACAACCAAATCCCGAACAACACGGCGCAAACAAACAAGTCAAGGATCAAAACAACCCAAACATGCCTCCTCCAAACTTGCTTGGCCTTTTGGCGGTCACCCGAATGCAAAAGACCACTCTTTTGTGTTGGCAACGGAAAATCTCTAAACCCGCCGCCATTAGCATCATCGCACACATCCACCTTCTTCTCCATTGCAGTCACATCTTTGCAAGGATCACCATTAACCTCCCCAGATAACCTCCTCTTCTTCTTCAACCCTTCGCTCGGATTCTTCCCAAGCAGCGGTGTCAGCACCATTTTCTTCCCTTTACTCGCACCAAAGCTTAGATTCCGACTGGCTGCCGGCGAATTGGGCGAGTCCGAGGCCATTACTTTTCGAATAATCGAATCAAACTGGACTTGCAAGCAACTGGGGGCAAAATTATCCCGAACCAAGATCGACCCACTTCCACTAACATCCTCAAAACCGGATTTCAACTGGTTTAAGAACGAAAGCGCCTCGGAGTCATCGAGATGGGCATCGCAGATAGCGAAATACACAAAAGGGTCATGACATGAGAAAATGTAAGTCCTTTTTCTTACCGTGTGACTGAACATGGAATGGTGGGGAGGGGCTACCTCCACGCATTGCTGCGCTAAGTTTCCGAGACCCGGCTCTTTCGAAATCTCGCCGAGAATCGTGACCTTGTGGGCAATGCAGGCGTAGAAAATCAGATCCGGATTCGAAATCATCGATTCTTTCTTCCCACCAAAAACAAAACTTTTGAATCTTTTCAATTGAAGATTCAAGGTATGAAGAACAGGATGGGATTTCGATCGTGGGCGTTCGATTCGGAAAGATCGAATCTTTCGAACCCCAAGACGCCGAAACGTTTCTTATGAGTTTCTCTGCTGCCTTCTCTCTCTCTCTATACCATTTCCCGGAGGATCGGATTTTGTTTCGTTTCTTTCTCTCTCTCTGTAAATATCTAGGGTTTAGTCTCCCCCGATTGAAGGGAGGAATCAACAGTTGGAATGCGTGGGAATTGAAGGGAAAAGAAACTGAATGACGGCTGGTTTAATCAGTGCCATCGCGGGAGGGATTTATTACGGATGTACCCTTCAATTTGTGTATTACGCGATACATAAATAAGAAAAATGTTATTGGAGTGCCAATAATAATTTTCATTAATATAATGTTATTTGATAATCATAACGGTTCTTGTTTTATTTTCTTGTTTTGCTTATTTATTTATGTAATGTTGTTTGATGATCAAAATCGTTTATATTATAAATTATTATTTCAAAATTAACTTTGCAAAAAAGTATCAAGTCATGAATCGTTTAACCGTTCAATTATAATCGTTGAGTTATAATATGCTCTAAATTTTAATGTTTAAGTGAAAAATATGATGTGTCTATTTATTGAATAACAACTAGATGACTAAATATTTTTTATTTCTTTTAATTTTTTTTTTTTTTTATATAGATGACTTTTACAATGATCTTGAAAATAAGCAGTTTTTAGAGGTAGCAAATCAACTCATTTAGTTGTTAGTGGTTACTCATTAAGACACATTTAGTTTGATTTCACATTACACCATTATCACTACTATCAATCTCATTTCTAAATTATCGTTATATTAAATAAAACAGATCTTAATGAACACCCATTAAGACACATTTAATCTTATTCACTTTACACCATTATTAACATTATCAATCTCATCTATATATTATAATGATATTACATTAAACGAATCTCATCAACAACCAATAAGTTAATTTGCCACTCTAAATCTTCATCATTAAAAAACATGAGAAACAAAGTCGAAAATGTTCAAATCAAAAAGTCGTTAGTATTTTTTTTATATTATCTTTTCAGTAGAAAAAAAGAAAAAAGAAAAAAGAAAATAGTTTTTTAGTTGATTGATACAATGTAATTTTATTTTATAATGTGCAACGTGGAAGGTTCACTCCGTGTTTGCTGGCCTGGTTGATGCAAGCAATCACATGTTATCTTTTGTTTATATTTTGGTGTGGGGCACGAACTTGTATACTTCCGGTGGCGGTGCATTGGCAAAGAGAAAAGTGTATTCGTATATGATTTTCAGGTTTTATTCGAAGAAACTGCCATAAAAAGAAATTTTAAATTATTGTGATTTGTTGACAAAAAAGAATGACATCTTTAATATGATAATTTTTGTTTCATATTATTCAAACAATAACTGTGATCGGTTGATAAAAGAGAATCACTCTTCTAACGTTTTAAATAAATCGAGAGATAATCAGGAACTTAAAAAGAGAAAATGTGTGAAATGCATAGGAGTTGATTAAAGTGGTTAAACTAGAGAAGAGAGAATGTTAGATAATTGACAATGAACAACGCAAGAAAAAAAATTTACGTTTTTCACAAAACGATAAAATATAGAAAGGCGTATCGTTTAAAATATTTGGATTGCTTGAATAGGGTTTAGTTGATTTTATCTTTCCGTATATATAAGAATTAGGTTTTCTTTTCTCTAGTTAATTAGGAGTTCTTTTTATGTTTCCTTTATTCATTAGATTTCCCATTTACTCTTAGAATTAGCGTTTGATGCCTATATAAAGAGGTTTATCTTGGGGTTGTAATTCAGATTAACTCTTAATATTTTCAATTAACTTTAGAAGCTTTCTTCATTTTCCGAATACTGATGAATTTCTGTTTGTGTTATTGAATTCAACGCTTGTCGATCCTTCTATCTTATTTTCCCAGCATGTTAGAAACTAGATCAGTCACGTCGGAAAAATCGTGGTAAAACTAGAATTTGATATAGAACATGCTTGTATTGAGGACAAAAGTTTTATAATATAACTAGATGAATAATTATTATTTTCATCTAAAGTATTTTGAATAATCCATCTTTCTAGCAGAGAAGTCAACTTAGGACCTTTCTTCTTCTTTGTTTATAGAGAAATTTTCCGTGCGCTGGAAATATGACTCGGTTTATTAAGTATTATGAAACAATTGGTGACAAAAAAATTATATTATCGTACGAAACCTCGTAGGAGTTGACTTTCTTAATTTTGCAGAAACCAACGGGAGAAAGCAAATCATTTAGAACAAATAAATATATCCTATTTCTTCTGCTAATTAAAGTATACGTTTAAAAATGTCTCTACTAATTAAGGTTTAAAGGGTTGAGATTGCTCTTAATTATCTTATGTAATGGGGAGTGAAACTGCAGGATGCTTATTAATTTGCACTCGCTAAAATGAATCAGAACTACATAGTTTTGCTCCTGTGTATACCTACCGTGTCGACAACCTAAAACAATGAACACGAAACGAAAAGCTTCTCTGTTGCAGTGTGTTTGATCTCTCAGCCGACGGATAATAGATAGAACTGAACCGTGAAATATTTTGGACGTTGTTCTTCATCTCTCGGGTGTTCTTTTCTGTTTGAGACGTTTTACTTGACGTAGGGTGGATCGATAAACGCCCATTCGAAGACCTGCTCGTACTTGATTGCAGCGCTTTCCCATGTGAAGTCCCTCTCCATGCATCTCTTCATCAATCCCTCCCAGGAAGGCTTGTACTCTGTGAAAGTCCTACAAGCAAGTCTTAGTGCCTGCAATGTATTAACCGTGACTCCGTGAGTCAGTACGGTGAAATAAGATTTACAACATTTGGTTTAAGTTGAATAAACTCCGCAAGACTATATGAACATCCAATTTATTCGCTTCTTTGATATAGAACATGGTAATAATCGATGTCTGGGTTTTAAAAACGAGAGAAGTAGCAGAAAATCTTACCGCCAGCATACTCTCTTTCGTCAAAGGAGAAAAAGTCCACCTGCCAATATCATCAACAATGATGCTATAAGTAAAGATTCTAAAGAACTTTTGTAACGTGAAACTGTCAGGGAAATGCATCCAGCAATAGAGTTGAGAAACATACCCTGTCCCGTCACCTTGGCCTCCTTTAGCATAAGGATTGAAATTCATTACTGTATCCTGGAACACAACAGAAATCGTCAGACAAAGTGGCCGCGTGATGAAGAACCGAATTTCGTTCTTCAAGTATTTAAACTCACTCTAAGTCCTCCTGTGCTATGAACCACTGGTACAGTTCCATATCTCATTGCGTAGAGTTGATTAAGTCCACAGGGCTCAAATCTTGACGGCATCAAGAGTATGTCGCAGCTGGTAATTACAGGATCAGGGTCAGTATGATGCACATATACAGTAAACGTCTAAGCAACGAAGCACGAAATCTTGAATTACCCTGCGGTTATTCTATGAGAAACTGGGACGTTAAATCCAACCCAGCCCCGGAATTTATCTTTATAAGTTGCTTCTGCTGCTCTCATCCAATCTTCACACAGTGGATCCCCAGACCCCAGCATAACCTGAGAAATATTACATACGTATGGTTGAAACAAAAGAGTTAATTGTCGAAAGTTGGGAGCAAGCTACTTAAAATAACAACACCAAAATCAATGAAAGGAGAAAGACTCACAAATTGCACGTCATCTTCCATAAGCTGTGGCATTCCTGACTGAATCAGGTCAATACCTTTCTGGTGGTCCAGTCGGCCAATGAATCCAATCTATATGGTTCAAAACTCGAATCAGTGTTAGGAGTGGAGTATTTTCGTTATTGAAGCATAGCATAATTAGACAGCAATGTCTTATGTCTTACCAATGGGCAGTCCGGCCTAATGGGAAGACCTAATTCCTTCTGCAGAGCAAGCTTGCACTGAACCTGCAGCCCGCACACAAGAAGGGTAAGCGGACTATAGTATAATAACACCATACTAAATGACAGACTTAGCCACCTTTCCGGAAAGATCATCGGTAGAATAGCGGGAAGCAATGTGTACATCAGTAGATGGGTTCCATTCAACCACATCAACGCCATTTGTTATTCCTGTCAGATGGTATTATTCCGTTAATTGAGAGTTAATTTCCTCGAGGATGGCACATAGAAAGCTAGACAATGAGAGATGAAGTTCAAGTAACGTACCAGTGAGAACACTCTTTCTACTGCTTAGTAGCTCATTTAGACCATATCCACCTTCAGCAGTTGTTATTTCCCAGGAGTAGCCCTACAATTCGAAGGCATAATTTAATCATGAGAAAGAAGAACAGCATGATGAAAAATAAGGAGGCACATGCAATGAGGTCGAAAATCCGACAACAGGTCTTATTACTGACCACCATAAAAACGTTTAGTGTTTCATTAAATGAGACCCGACGACTATATATGGAATACAACTGACCTCGCTGACCGTCAGAATCCGATCACATGTCACAATTGCACCCTTCAGGATGTTCACTGCTTCACCTGTGTCAAGAGCATGGGTCCTTGCCCATGTTGGAAACACCCATTCCAGTGCTCCATACCACTCTGCAGGTAGCCCCAAATTCTTGTATGTTACTCCCGGTTCCACTCCCTTGCATATTACAAGACAACGTTTAATAAAGTTGATCGGATATACGACTGAAGATTGATAACAAAACAAAAAAAGGAAGAACAAGCATCAACCTGATGTGCAAGGTTATGAATCACAAGAACACTTCGTGCATCCTTATAAACCCCATATGGACGATAATTGGCAGCCAAAAGCCTGAATCAGAGGGACATGTAATCATCAGATCTCCACTATCAGTTTGTTTACCCGAAAAAATAAAAAAACAAAAAGATAGAGCAATATAGGAAAGATTTAAAACAAAATCATATAGCTAATCTGTTTAATTAATTGAAACTACTTACAGTGGGACAAGGCCGGCATGCCAGTCATTGACTATGAACAGGCTTTTCTCGCCGTAGGTGAACCCTGCCAGTGGAAGCACTAATGGTGCTTCACAGGCTGCATGGCAAAGTAAAGTGAACCGAAACTGTAAAACCAAACGAGAATAAAACGTATCATTATTCGTGAATAAAACAGGATACTACTTAAATGATCTATCCACTACGTACAACTTTTCAGTCTAAAACCATACCTGATTGTCACCAAATGCACCAAAACTGTCGCCGTATGGATTTCCAGGTCTGTGGTATGACGGGTGGTTCACGAATACCTAAAGAAGATACGGAAAGAGTTCGTCATTGGTAAGAGAATTCTATCAGTCTGGAGAAACTAGAACATGCGAAATATCCCCAATATCTTACCCAATCAACACCTGCCCTAAATTCATGGAAGAAAGAAACTTCTTGCTCTCCACCAAAGCAATAAACCTTGATGCGGGTTTCCAAATCAACAGCACCAGAATATTTCTGGTCTGCAGCAGTACCGTTTTGGTACCTAGGAGAAACAACCATAACACGGTGTCCACGTGCCGCTAGAACAATAGGCAAAGAACCACAAACATCTCCTAAGCCTCCTGTCTTAGAATAAGGCGCAGCTTCGGCAGTAACAAACACAACATTGTGTGTTACACTTGCCTTGGACTTTTCTTTGCCATCTACTTCCACTGATTCTTCCATTCCAACAGAACTAACATCTTCGGGCGAGTCAATGACTTTGGTTTCACCTGAAGTAAAATATCAGACGGGTCCACAAATAATTCATAAAAAAATTTAGAATATGTCGATATGCCGCGTTTGGAATTACTCATCAAAATATGCTGGATCACTCAGTTCGACCAATGAAAATGCAGCATTAGATTATTAACGGAACAATGTACATGCTATGAGGTCCCGATATGGGACCAAGAGTGGAAAAAAATACAATCTGAGGTGGAGACCACATAAAATGTAAGGACCTGGAGTCCTCATGTGCAAATTGATGTGGACATCCAAAACCAAGACTACCACAGACAAGTCAAGAATCCACCAAAAACCACCACTAGTGATGAATGACCCCAATATACTAAAAATAGCAAATTTTGACACATCACACGTCTCTTATCCAACCAATAACAATGATTTTTCGGAGAGACGTGGGTTAATCCAAGTTGATCAGAACAGTAACTCTTCCCGTAAATTAAGGTAGTTTAGAATATCGCTTTGCAAACAAAAAGCAATGATTTTGAGGACTTAATTTGGGCAAATAGCAATTAAAATCTATAGTACATTTACACCACATTCACCAATCAATGCATCAAATCAAACATTTACCAATATTTCCACGTTAGGTTGTGTCTCCATCAGCGTGCCACACAATGTGACCAAATTAAACCTTTCTGCCTTCAAGGTTTTTTAAGTCCAAATTTTTAAAAACTAATCAGATTTAACCCTTAATTCTGGTTTATTTTTCTAATCCAAAAACATATCAATCATAGAAACTACTTCAAATTTCTCAAATAATCCATGAAACCAATTTAAAAACAGTGTAAAAGCAGAAGAATTTATAAATAAATAAGCAAAATCGGAAGCCTGAAAACTTACCGTTAGGAGGAGGAACCAAGTTAAACCCAAGAACGGCGCCGGAATCGTCTCTCTCGGCGCCCAAAAAAGCACCCTTTTCGTCCTCCTGCTGGTCTTCCACCGCAGAAGCGCCGTCCTGCGCGCCGCCGCCACTTCCGCCGGCAACCGACGCTCTGAGCCACAGACCGACTCTTCTGCACCGTCTTTTCCACAGGGGAGCAAAACCCAGTTGCCCAATCGCCTGATGGTACGCGAACTTAGTTGGAACCGGAATTAAGGACGACGATTTGCATGGGATTAAGCTAGTGAATTTCAGAGACTCCATTAGAGTTCTAGAGAGAGAAAGGACCGGAGTCCGATATAGGCCGGAAGGAAACGAGAATTACGTTTGACAGAACGAAGAAAAAAAAACCTGGAAAAAATAAGGATGTCTCACACAAACAAGGAACTACGTACCACCTGTAGGGATCAGATATGCGAGATCCAGAAAAAGCGCCAAACCCAGAACATTGATTCCCTGTTCCGCACCACATCCCTGTAAAAACCCTACACCCAATAAGATGACTCCACGTGTTGGCGAAGGAAAGACAGATATTGAAGCGTCGGACGTGGCAGGATCGCGACCGAGGAGGTGGTTTGCGGTGTCCGACAGGGACGCAGGGGATTATGGTTCAGCTTGTGGAGGTGACGTGGTCGGGAAAGTACACGTGTAAAGCTGTAATTGGCGAGGACTGAGGAGTGGAGTGAGAGACACGTGATGCTAAAGGTAAAGTTTGCCAAAACTTGAAATCTGCAGCCTTTTTAGTGCAATTGTTGAAGACTCGAACAATTTTGTCCCTTCACGAGAGTCGCTTTTTAGAATATTGGTGATTTTTACATTTTCGTTTTTATTTTTTAATATTTTTGTGTATTTTGTCATTAGAAAATTTTCATTAATTCAATTCAAATGCTATAGAAAAACGAGAGTAGAGAAATTCTAGAATGGAGGAGGAATATATAGCTTTTAAATCCTTCGCTAAGAATTTATTGTGATTAATTTGGTTCATGCTATTGGTCAATCAATAAGATAATCCAAGTGTAGAAGAAAAAGAATAAATGTGAAAAATACTTCCGTAGTTAAGGTGTTTTTATTGTGACGGGAACACGGGTAGGATACCATATGTTTTTATGTAAGTGGTGAAAATTTTTACTTTTTAAATTATTAACTTTTTAACACATATATCTCATATATTGACACGTGGTGTACCACCTCAAAGTAAGTGTGTGAAATTTAAAGTTAAGTGAAAGAACATATGTCAAAAAACCAGAACGAAGACATATAAAAGACAGATAATTGGGAACAGTAGACCCTCGGCCCAGAGTGAAAGCATAATTGACCTAAATTTCTTCTTCTTCTTCTGTTTTTTTTTTTTTTTTTTTTTTTTTTTCCAAATAATCCCTCATTCAAATTATAAGTTGACGATACATAAAGACACAATTTTATATAATATTTCACAATAAATTAATATTATATTATTACAAAGCCTCGTGGATCCATGTCCATAACACAATTAAAATAAATAATACAATGTTTTTTCCACACATTATAAACAAAAAGTCTTGCAAATGGAAATTTATGTCACACCACATATTAACTTACAACTAACCGAAATCATGTCTCCAACTGTGAACAGCAAGCGGCAGGCCCCAATCATCACCGTGGGGTGAATCAGGCCCAAAGCCCACAGCCCCTCTAGCCAGCCCACGCGGCCCACTACTTTTCGGGCTTGGGCTTCTTGGGATCAGGTAGTTTGTTGTCCCACCGCCCGAGCTCGACGAATCACACCCAGACCCAACAACCGACCCCTTCCTCGTTGAAGGGTTCCATTGGGGAGTTGGCGGGCTAATCTGCTTGCCCGAGCCTTGGCCTCGGACCTTGGCCTTGGCAGATTGGGTCGGGGCCATGTAACTCGGGATGTTATTCGACCCTTGCTGGCGTTGTTGCCGGATTGAATACATGTCTGAATCAATCATGTCTGGATTGAGTCGGCTCATATTGACGTGAGGCGAGCTTGAAGGTGCGGCAATGTCCATTTCAACTGTCTTCTCCGACAAGTCGCTGGCAGTCGTAGTGGTGATGGGTGTTCCGTAGGAGGTATCTCGTGGGCCTGAGTGGCGGTCTTGGTGGGGTTGCGATGACATCCACCGCTCGAGCCAATTCCATCCCCATTGGGCCTTATCGGGCATATTGGGCTGGAGCCCAAATTCAGGTCCATCCGGACTTGACTGAAGAAGTTGTTGTCTCTGTTACAATTAAACAATGTCACGCAAAATGAGCAATAATTTTTCAGTGCAACCGTCACAAAGTCACTTACTTGATAGCTATAAGCATAAGCGAGAGCCCTCTCTCTTTTGACCGCAGCATCATGCTTCCTTGAAGCATTTTCCTTGAAACTTTGACGCCTTTGATGCCTACTCCCATTCGCACTTTGCATTTCATATTTTTTCAGAGGACTCTTGGACTTTTGCTCTTCTTCCTCCATCAAAGCTCTTCTTTCCTCTTCATCTTCATCGTAATCTTCCTGATCATCCTCCTTCTTGTGAAGCTTGTCTTTGGTTAATTCGAGCCGTCGAGCTCGTACCCTTGCTTGGACACGCACTAATGCCTGCATGCATCGCATCGTCATTTGTGCCTGCTTCCGAACGTTATTTCCTCTCACCAATGCTTGTAGCCTCACCAATCCCTTCAATGCACGCAAAGCGCGCCGAGCCTAAAAAATAAGTAATTAATAGACATATCATTAGATCGTAGTGTTAATGGCTTTTGAAGCTAAATGTTCAACATTATATAAAGTTATGGTAAACTTACTAGGTAGCCTCTGTAATATGACTGAATGAAGATTGCAGCTCGTTCTTCCCTAGAGTGACGGCCATAACCGGCCAATCGGACAACTTTAGCGGCAGCTTGTGCCGCGGCAACAGCTGCTTCAGCGGCAGCAGCAGTTGCAGCAGCAACAGCAATGGCGTGGCTTCTATCTTGATGACCATTATTTAGAGGAGTTGAAGATTCGGTTGTTCTCTCATCGTTCGTTACGTCCGGCGAGCTCTCCGCTGGAAAATGCTCAAATGACACCACCTCCGCGGCATCATGCTGCCATTTCTCACCGATCTCCTTCTGGATTATATCATGGTACGCATCAAATATCATAATTAGCACTACAATTAACACTTAATTATCAAATAAGTTAACTAATATTGATGTGATGGCTTAGGTGGCATGACAATGATAAGTCAGGTCGAGTCATGTGCCTTGTAAGGAAAGATATAAAGTTTATTGTTACAGTATTATGTATCCATATAATGATAGTGATAGGGGACCATATGGTGTTGGGGCATGCAGCTTGGTTGTGATCTCGTCCATAGTTTTTTCAATGTGTCCAGAACACAGGACGGTACGCCATATAAGTGGAGAATTTTTTTTTTAAATGTCCATCTACTTATATAATAACATATAATGCATGTTCCGGGCACATTAAAAAATATCTTGCACTGATGGTCCTAAAAATGCCAGTACCAAAAGGGTAGCTCGTGCATCTTTAATGTGACATGATTCCACGAGGCAAACCATTTCACTTCACCTCCAAACAAACAAAGGTCACGATCTAGATTGATATATGTTTACTTCTATATTTCCAAATAATTAAGTTAACTATTAACTAGCTCCTATTGATTTGAAATAAGATTACTAGAAACCACTAGTGATTCATGAACACCAATTATGCATACAAATTCGAATAATTAGCGGCAGACATTGTGCTCCAATTATCTGTATATAAGATCGAATCATCTCCAACAATAAAAAATGCTTCAACTCTTTTTCTTGGTAATTTACATCTCGACAAAAAAATGAATTAATTAGTGAATGTACAAAATGGGTAATGCTAATGCTAGAGATATCAAAATTTTAAACCAAATTTGCAATCAAATGATGCGTCACTAATAAGAAATAAGTACGTTAGTTAACATTTAAGTAATAATCCAATCATTAACATCCACATCATTTGGTTTACAAATTTGGTTTCCTAATATTACCAGAACAAAATAAGTGCATGTAATCACAAATATCGTTGAATTAGGTTTAATAAATTGTATCATTATTGCATAACAAATTGAATCATTGCTTGCCTTGTTGGTGTGATCATGATTGGTACAAAAACTTCACAGAAAATAAATTGAGATTGAAAAGAAAAAAAATAATTATATGAAGAACAATTGTTTTCTTTCAAAGAAATTATATGAATCTGAAAACTTGCCAAGAAAACTGAAAGAACGGAACTAAGAGAAAACCTTTTTGTCGGGCGAGTCCTTAGAAGAATGTTTGAAGACTTTCTTAACGGAGGAGAACCAGCCGCTTCCTTTCTTCCCCATCTCCGGCCGGCCGGTCAAAAGATTAACCTCTCATTGCCGTCACCATATTCCTCTCATCTCACGAAAGCGCGCGCGCGCGCGTATACATATATATATATTAGAATACAGAGTTCAGACGTATATATCTATCTGTTTGTTGGGAAGTAGTGTCGCTCACAAATTAAACAGAGGAAATGAGCTGATAATATCAAGATTGAAGAGAGATCTAGAGAGAGAGTGAAAAATGTCTCGGAGAGAGAGAGAGAGAGAGAGATGGAGTGCCGAATGGGGAAGGGAGTAGTAGTGTTGTGAGGAGAGAGAGAGAGAGAGAGAGAGAGATGGAGGGTCGAATGGGGAAGGGAGCAGTAGTGTTGTGAGGGTAATAACTGCAAGCCCGAGCAATTGCCGTTACTATTTAACGATTTCACGTGTGAATCGATCTTGTAGAAATTTGTAGCTACTAATACATACAGTTTACTACCTCGTACCTACCAACATTATACATATGTATATAATATGTTGCAGTTTGTGGCGGAAATGTTGTTTCTATGTGATTGAAATGTCACATACTCGAGTTGTGGAAACAATTTATTTGTAAAGTAAAAGTAAAGTTGCGTACGATAGACGTTTTCCAAACTCTCATAAAGTAGAGAATCTAGAGTCTTGTTGGTTTGAGATCGTCCTTTATATGTGTTGTAGTTGGGGCTGGCCCAATTTGACAATAATTTGTTGGTCTTAACGCTTGAATATATCAGACATACAAGTGTCGGTTTGAGTTTGGGTGAAACTAAAATACAGTTTAAGTGGGGTGCTCTATGTGTGTTAATGGATAAGAATATAATACGGTCATTCGTAATTAAGAAGTTCGTACTTAAGAATTTCTATAATATTGGACTTCTAAGACATCATCTAGAGCACAAAGTAAAGTTTTCTTATAAAGTGATAAAGGCTTTAATGTATACATACAAATTACTAAACCTTTTTGTTTTTTTGTACAAATACACACATCAGTAAACTTGTACAAGAAACAAAATAATTAGAAACCTTTTCTATTGAATCAAGTCACGGATTTTGTAATTTTCCAACTTTTGGTGAAACAAAAGGGCAATTGCTTTTCCAATTTTGTATCAAGCGAAATCATTACATTACCTGTAAATTGTACTGGGGTAATTGTCTTTGTAATAGCCTTCAACACAATTTTAATTTACAGCTTATTTAGAAGTGCTTTCAAAATAATTAAAAAAAATATTTGGTACATTATTTTTTAAACTAATTTTTAGTAAAAATTATGTAGATCTTGAAAAAGTACTTAAAGTGCTTCATGTGGATACTGAAAAAGTACTTGAAGTGTTTTTTGTAAGAAGCACATGTATGGTGCTTCTTCTAAAAGTACTTCAAGTGTTTTTAAAATCCAAAATTACAAGCACTTTCAAACAAGTCGTTAAATATTTAAACTTCAAGGCCATTTTCCCCTACTAAATATTAAAAGCAGAACGTAATTTCAATTAACTAAGGTGTTTTTAGTTGCAGAAAGAGAGCCAACAGGATCCTCTCTGGATCCTTTTGGTGATGATCATGAAAATCCGTGAATCATGTTTGTTTATTATATAATGTGCAATCAGTTTTTATCAAGTACTGTTTATATTTATTTTTAAATAAAAATATTTAAAATAAATTCTAATTATATAATGTACGATAAACGAACACAATTTATAAATTATCAAAATCTTCGTAAATAGAATTCGACGAGAATTCGGACTCCAAAGAGAGGGCCATGGTAATTAGTGGATCAGCAGCAAGTCAATGGTGACCCAACATCACAAGATGCCCGAGTTGACAAGACAACTTGCTCCATCATATATCCTAATATTATTTTTAATAATATTTGTTTCTTTTTTTCCTCTATCAAATATTTATATTTCATTTTTGTTTTAAGGACAAAACTATTGATAAGACTTCTATCTCTTAAGCGATGCATAATGTCGTTCCGTTGGGGACGGATCTCATCCCATCAAATTCTAATAATTTAGAAATCTGGACCATTGAAATTTGATTCAACGATTACAAACAGAGGATCTTTTTAAAAGTGATAATAATTGTAGCCGTTTAATCAAATTTCAAAAATCCGAATCTTCGGATCCTTAGAACTTGATGGAGGAGATCTGACTGGGATCTCTGTCCATTCCGTTGTATGGACGTTCTTTATGTTTATCTCTGGCTTCAGCTGCTGCGGCTCCATTTTTCATCCACCTCACCGTCGGTGTTGGTGATCACCAAATTCTTATTACCTCACAACTAATCCTCCCACCCTAACCAAAAACATAGACCTCCTACTTTATCGAACATACTAATTTGGTGAAGAATTAGACCCCAATTCCCTTGTCACTAACCATTCATATTATTGTTTTTGTTATTTTCAACGACAAGTTATGATCTTGGTGTACCATATTGTAAAAAATATCATTTTCACCTGTGAAACTCCTAGATTTGACATACCGCTCAAATATGCTCACGGTTAATTAATTTTGGGTGCACTTTAGTTGTAGTTTGAGGTTTGGCGCAACAGAAAGATTGCTCTTTTGTTAAAAAAAAAAAAAAAAAATCACGTGTTCGAATCGTAGAAACAGCTTACTTGCAAAGCAAAGATAAGGATTCGTGCGATAAACGTTCCTCTTCCCCTTTCACCAACCCTCAAAAAGTAAAGAGTCTTATTGCTTGAGATCGCCCTTTTAATATTTAGTTATAGTTTAGATGATGCTCCAATTATACTAGCATCCAAGTTTTTCTGCACTCATGATAATATACCAATCCAATGCAAAACTGCCATACAAGAGATTTAAACATATGACGGTGCGTAATTAACTAGAAACATTATCACGATGACATCTTCTTGTAATTTATCTCGAAAGCGAGAGGCGGATATTTGTGAGGCAAATGTATAGAATCGATTTGTCTGTTTTGGTAATTAAGAAACCTGCAGTAAGGGCAACATGGCTCCACCAGATAACCCTCCTTTGCTGAGCTGTGAAGTTATATTAGACCCACGGTCCTGAGCAGTGCGCAGAGTCACTTGAGGTAGTATTGGGTGTGGTTGGGACATTAAAATCGAAAAATAAAAGGGGTTTAACTAAGGTAGATATGACCTAATACTTGCATTTAAAGGGACATTCAAGCAAGATATAAAGAAAATGCTTCATTAGGAAGGGGAAGGAGGGGTCTCACAATCTCACTTTTTTGCCCTACGTTCGATGGATTAAATTTTGGTTGGTGAAAAGCAACTTTCAACATATTTATGTTCCTTAATCCTTATTTAAGCAAGTCGTATTAATATGTCACTGAAGAAATTTTTTAAACAAGCTTATTCAAATGTTTTGGTTTTTTTTTGTTTTGTTAAAATAGTATCTGAGATTGTCATAACTTTTCATTTTGGTCTCTGAGATTTAAAATCGATAAAATTGATTTTTGAGATTGTTCAATGTCAATCATTTTGGTTATTCCACGAAAAATCTATGTGAAATTGAGGGTTTCGTCAAATCAACACCTCTATTTGAACTTATGGTTTCTTCAAATTTAACGAAGATTCATTACGGAAGGACAAAAATGATTGGCAGTGGACAATCTCAAGAACCACTTTTATCGATTTTAAATCTAAGGGACCAAAATGAGGAGTTAGGACAATCTCATGAACCATTTTGGCAAAAAAGTCTTTAAGTGACACTCTTATATGGCTCATTTTATATTGTACTAAACTAAATCGTCTAGTTTAAGGTTTCATCCAAATCGGTAATCACAACACATTAATATATCTTCCATCACGTAATACGTGTATATTCTCATATTAAGTAATATATCTTTCGATTCATAAATAATATCACGTGATAAGAGAGATACCATGACATACGAAAATCTCTTGTTGCATAGATCTTTTTGTTGCCCCATGAATGCAAAAAGGTTCATGAACCCCAAAAACTCATATATGGCATAAGACTAGTTGGCATGGTGCTTCCAAAGTAAGACCATGCATTAATTGGTCCGTCGATATAATTATCGTCTAAGTAAAACAATAGTGTAGATTCTAAGCATGATTATTATCATTGTACCATGCATCTAATTCTAAAGCTATATAATGTTCCGTGCCCAACGGGCGGGTAGCAAATCACCTTGTGTATTCAGAATCAAAGCTATATACGCAACTTGATGGAATGAGACGATGACTTGAGTTCAACTACTTAAAACTAAGAGATCTCAACTACTACTCACTGTTATCATGATGTATTTACCTTCCTTTAATTCCAATTAGGATTTGGTAAAACATATCTAATGTCTCTGAATTTCCTGTTGAATCTTTACTTATCAAGTAATTAATCTCTTTCTTTTCTTTTTTGGTTTACTAGATAAACAACAATGGATAAATTGATAATTACATTAGGGTGGTGTTATCCACATACCTATTTTTACTTCTTATATACTCATCTCAATTTCCGGCTATCAGATCAAATAAATTCAAGAAAATCAATTGACAAAAATTAACAAAAATATGTAAAATGTAAAAATAAGTGTGTTAATAGCGCCACCCTCACTTTAACGTGTTTCGTGACGGTCATTTTGTTTGGGTTTTAATGGAATGGTCGAGTAGGAATTTTTGTGGGCCTTTTTGGGCCGGGATCAAGTTTTATCTGCAACGCAGCTTTATGGGCTTATTTTACTGGGCTGCTACACCGAAGTTTGTATGGTATGCTTTTGAAGATGATTTTTTCAAGTACCGGCTATTTAAGCAATACTCCATATATTACGTGGAGGAAAAATATATTTTTCTGTTAAGTAATTTTAGGTAAACTAATTTTTAGATTAAATTTGCAAGCTATTTAATGTGTCACTAATAGAAAATAAGTACGTTAATTAACATTTAATTAATAATTCAATTATTTAAAAAAAGTAATAAAATCATCAAAAATCACGTCACATGATTTATAAAATATGGTTTAAATACATGATTTCCTAAGTATTACTTTTTTCCATATCCCTCCACTTATTTAATGACATGTAAAGCACTCAATTGAATACCAGTTAATTGAAAATGTTATGTTAACGTGCCCATTTGGCTCAAGAGATTTTTTAATGTGCCAAAACACAAGCACGTACGCTATAGATCATTATAAAAATGGAGAGACAATTAAAAAAATATTTGCCACCACTTCTATAATAATATACAGCATACTGCAGCCATGTTATGGATACATTGAAAACTCTCTCTTTGGGCTCAATTGTTAGGCCCATTAAACTTGAGCCTTTGTAAATTCCAAATTTGTCTTTCCCAATTTTTCACACAAATGTGTACCTGACAAAGGGATCCTCCGGATCCCTTCCACTAAGTTCTCCTCATCAGGTCTTTGAAATTTGATTCAACGGTTACAAACAGAGATCCACTTTAAAAAGTATAATAACTTTAGCCGTTAAATCAAATTTTAACGACCTGATTTATTTAATGGAAATGACTTGATAGAAGGGATCAGAGAGGATCCCTTTCCCTGTCTGATCTCCTCGATTCCCTACTTTACTTGGGCACAAAGAATTTCTTACTTGGCCATTCCAGTCACAGGAGGTGGGTCCCCACGCCTGATTCATCTAATCCCTCTCCGCCACGTGGATTCATCGGACAATAAAGCTGCTGTGGTCAGCGCGTTCCGCAAAACACCCAGCAACTTTCGCATATATCTCCAGCGGAGCAACTTACCGCCAACTTCATACGAAACTGCTAACATGAAACTTTTCGGGTAACGTGCGCTACACCGATGGCTAATTTAACGTTGACGTGGCAGAAAAATCCAACCCAGCGCATTTTAGCGTGTACCCGAGCCAACTGGCTTCCCAGCCACGCACAAGAGCAATATATTAGAGAGGTGGCGGTTCAGCTCACTCCGACGTCGCTTTCTCTCTCTACAAAGCTCAAACCTTTCGTTTTCTATCTCTAAAACCCCTAGAAATCCCCCATTTCTGCTTCACTGCGCGAGCTCCAACAAGAACAGAGCTTCACGTTTTCGAAAAAAGGCATGAACTTTATACATTCTGCGTCTGCGATTTGTCATTGTATTTGTTTGAAATTAAAAGCATGAACTTGGTTAGATTTTACTTGAAGGAAGTACAAATGTTAAGATTATCTGCTATTTCACTCACTAAAACCCCTTTATTCTGTGAAAATTTCTTTATATACGTGTATATATATGTATATATATGTTTATATGTGTATATATGTTTATATGTCTTTGAAAATGGATGCATGCAGCAAAGATGCAGCAGACACCAACAAAAAGGAGCCAAGTGCGCGAAGATCACGGCGATAAGGACGTGACGTATAGATTCAAGGTGCTGTTACCAAATGGCATGAGTGTTGGGTTGCAATTGCAAAACCCTGAGCACAAAATGCCACTTGGAGATTTCATTCAGATGCTGAAACGGGAGCATCACCTGGCCTTGAGAGAATCTAGCTCGAGGAAGCGGAAGCGGGAGATTGATTGGAACGCTGGCGGTTTATTTCTTGAAGATGCCAATGACCGGGAGATAAAGGATGTGGTGAATTTCAAGAACTTCAAGGCACATGAGTGCCACATTCTGAAGCTTCATGTGAGTATAAGATTCACGATTTAAAGGTCCTTTCTTTTCTCGATGTGGGATTAATACTCTCAACATGTGGTTGCGCTCTTTTAATTTGTTTGCTTGTTGATGGATAATATATATATTTTCGGGAATGGTGATATTGTGCTTGTTTTGTTTATGATTTAGGATGGTAATGTGCCTGAGAGAGTTATTACTTTTGAGGTTAGTAATATCTCCTACATTATTGTTTCCATATGCTTTGAAATTCATAATTGAAGAATTATCTTACCTTGCTCCGTTCGGAAGTTTTATGCGATTGATCAAAGGATGCCATAATTCATGATGGACTTCTCTGATTTGTAGAATATGTGGGATTTGACACCTGTTACTGACCTACTAAGGGAATTACCGCAAGAGTACACGGCTGAGACTGCTCTGGCGGATCTGATTGTAAGTTGCATATACTGCTGGTTATTCACTGTTTTGGTTCATTTTGTTTTCATTTGATTGCCTACATTCTGCTGCTCATTTGTTCGTCAGGATAATTCCCTTCAAGCTGTTTGGGCAAATGACAGGAGACATAAGAAGCTTATAAGGTATGGAAATTGTAGATCCTTTAGTTGTACACGCCTTTTCTTTTATATGTTAATTTTTGGTATTGTTGGGATGGATTTTTGGTTTTTGTGTTTTCGTTGATTGCTTTTTCACTATGGTCTATCATGTCATTATAGTTGCTTACAGATACTTTGCTAGCTCATTCGTAATTATTACCTAGACGAACACTACTGATATTATTGTTTGATTATTTCAGACTACTCAATTTATTGTGCTAGTATCCATTTTTTGCTCAATGTTAAGCTATATTATATCTCTATGGTTACTTCATAACTTTACCCATTCTCCCTTTATTATTTTCAGTGTGGATGTGGCCGATAATGTGATGTCAATTTTTGACACTGGCCCTGGGATGGATGGAAGCGATGAAAATTCTATAGTGAAGTGGTATTTATTTTCCTTGAACCATTTTCTGTCTTATATTTGGAATGTAATTTCGTGAGGGCTATGAATTGCAAGAGTCCAAGACAGAAGTTCGGGTTGGAAGGGTGAAATAAATTTTGGTTGAATCCATTATCATTTTTCCTTCTCTGGAAAAAGATCCTAAAGGAAAGCAATCAAGAAAAATTATGCAAAAGGACCTCCGTAGGGGTTCATACTGTTGTGACTATCTCCTTCTCGAAATTGTCTCAAATTTCTGTTCGGGTTATCTAATGGCTTTGCTTGTTGGCTGACCTTTTCCACATGTGATAGCAAAACTTACACGAGTCTTTGGAAAATTATGTATATAATTCTCATTAGTGACGGCAAGTAATGTGAGGTTTAAGTGTTCTATTTTCATGCTAAGAATGTGATTCGTATTCTATGCAGGGGAAAGATGGGTGCTTCACTTCATAGATCTTTTAAGGACCAGGCGATAGGGGGCACACCTCCCTACTTAACGGTAAAACCAATTTAAAAATATCTTCCTGTATTGATAATCGTGAAATAGGTTGTGTGTGTGCTTAACATGATAAGTTAAGTTTTATGCCATGATGTACTGAAAAATTTCTATAATCTGCATGCCATTGGTCGTCTATGTTGTATATTCAGTACTGGCTTGACTTTAAAGTTCTGTTTTGCGTGTTCATGTAGCCTTTTTTTGGAATGTTTGGATATGGTGGACCTATAGCATCTATGCAATTAGGGAGGTACGACTTCTCTGAATTCTTTTTGCTACTTCATGTGTGTCGATTTTCTGGTGAAAGGTTTCCAACACATTTCAAACCATGATCATTGTACTATCATGTTATAGGCATGCATTAATTTCTTCCAAGACAAAGGATTCCAGGAAAGTTTATACATTACATCTTGATAGAGAGGCTTTACTGAGCAGGTCAAACTCTAATTCTAATTGGAAGGTAAAAGTGCGCTTGGCAGTTTATCGCTTTTTAATGGCAATGCTTTCGCTTGCGTTGATTTCTCTTGTTTCTTATATAACTTTCTAACTGGTGTTTTTTTCTCAAACTGGTAACCTTACCTTTCATTTTAGACTGCTGGTGGCATGAGGGATCCTTTAGAAGAAGAAATGATCAGAACACCACACGGTAGCTTTACAAAGGTAGAGTGTTGCAACACTTTGTAGTTATCAAATTATTGTCCAATTCTGTTACGAAGTTAGTTTTCTTGGAAATGTTGTTTCTGGCCTCCTTTTTTTTTTTTTTTTTGTTTTGTTTTTCTTAGCATTTGAAATTGTCCGGACACAATTTTAAATTACTTTTTCAAGCTTTGGTTTTTCTAGGCCGTAAGCAGTAGTCACTAATTTACATAGGTGAAGTTTGTGAATCCAATGTTAAGTGCTAATTTACATAGGTGAAGCTTTTGAATAGCTATGAGTTTTATAAACTTCACATTGTTTATATATTAAGTGCTGATTGACAGGTTGAAATTTATAAACCAAAATCGAAATTGGACATAGATCAACTCCGATGCAAGCTGAAGGACATATACTTCCCGTATATTCAGGTATCAAATACTTATGGAGCACGAACATTATTAGCTTTTGCTTACATACTTACAATTTCTACTGGAGATCTTGTTTATCTATTGCTATTTCCTAAGTTCTACTATAATATCCTAAATTCTATTGTCATACATTACTTTATTCATCTGCAGTGTGATGAAGAATCCAAAGCAGGGAAGATTTGGAAGACCGTAACACCAGTAAACTTTGAGGTTTGAAGTTTTTTTTTTTTGTTTTTTTGTTTATTTGGTATTTCATTTTTGTGTCTATGGTAGCTGCATCTCTTGGTAGTCATTTGCATTTTGCCAGATAAATGCGTAGGTATCCTTGATCTCTGAGTTGTAACATGATTAGGGTGCATCAGATTATGGAAGGTGTGCTTGCAGGCTTGTCCAGTTTTATTGTTGCATACTTATGCTAGTAATTTTTAATCTCAACCACTCCAACAGGAATCACTACAACATATAGATGAAGTTTTTGCTCAAGAAAAAATAGATGCTTTCTTTCACATACTGTATGAATTATTCAAGTATACTATTAGTTATCGAATATCAGGAGTACTGGCTAAGTTTCAAATCCTATAACCATCTATTGCTGCACATATGAGCCCTTACTTCTTAGTGGTAGACTGGTAGTACCTTGTATTTTATGGTAATTTCACTTTTAAGTCTAATATTACTAATAAATTTTTCCTTTGAACTTCCCAGGTTAATGGTGTTGATTTAGCTGAGATTGCAGGTGGGGAGATTGCAACAACTAACTTGCATTCATCCAATGGTCCTGATTTTGTTTTACAGCTTCATTTCTTCTGTAAGAAAAACAGTATGTCTCAATCTCCAGGTAATTACCAATTTCATTCTTTAGTAAATTGTCTCCTTTTTTCGTAAAGAGAGAAAAATTTGTAATAATGTAGTTATCATCCTCTTTTGTTTACTCATTTACTTTCATATTATGTCTTAGCTGTTAAAGAAATTTCAACTTCAAGTGACCCTTTGTCATACTTCATATATGTAGATTCAAAGACAGATATTAAAGCTAATGCTCGCCTCAAGTGTGTCTATTTTCCTATTGTTAAGGTATGAAGACCATGTAAAAATCTTTTGTTGCTGGATATATATGTCATTGTTTTTATACATATCCTATGTAAGCTACATTGCGCAAATTAAATGACATTGTTTATCACAGGGAAAAGAGAATATTGAGAGAATTTTGGAGAGTTTAGAATCTGAGGGATGCAGCACCTCAGAAAAATTTGAAACCTATAGTCGTGTCTCTATTCGGAGGCTTGGTCGCCTACTTCCAGATGCTCGTTGGGTAGGTAGTCAGTTCTCTTTAAATCATGTTCTTGTAAATTAATCTCTAGAAGTTATATTAGAATTACACTCTTAAAATCAGAATGAGATTTACTGCATTTTACTTTCTATGGCTGAAGGATGGTTCCAGTAATTGTTGTCACATGTGCATATTGAAAGCTGCAGTGCTCTGTATTGTAACTGTTATCTTGAAATACATTGGTGGCATCTTTCCTAATAGCTAAACCTTTTGGGGTTCCAAATATACACGATGAAATGGAGTTTTTGAAATATGCATCTTAATGCTTCAGTAGCCATCATTGGTCTCTTTGACCTTAGAGCAAATTCTTGTACATACAGACGAAAATTGAGTTGTAGTTGTGTTTTTTTGTATCGCATTATAGTACTTCTAAAGAATTTAAATGAAGATATTGACAAGCTTTATAACTCCATTGAAGACTATTCTTGAAATTGTTTAATGTTTAATGCACAATTTGGAGCATTGATGTTCAGGAATGTGATCCGATTTGTATTTAGAGTTGCAACTGCTATTCGTTCTAATGGTGTTTTTTTATTTGATGTACCACAGGCTTTGCTTCCTTTCATGGAATTCAAGCAAAAAAAAGGAGACAGGGCACACTTGTTGAAAAGATGTTGCTTGAGAGTTAAATGCTTTATCGGTAGGACAGCTCCTTCCTGATAGCCTGCCTCAATGTTTTCTTGTCACTGATACAATATTCTTTAGAATTCTTCTGTTTTGTCAGTATTAATGAACAAAGAATGTTGTGGTTGCAGAGACTGATGCTGGTTTCAATCCAACACCATCTAAGGTACAAAATGCTATATGTTTAAGTGGAAAAAATAATTTCAATTATGTCTGTGGCCACTGGTCATCGTAGATTTAAAAAAAAAAAACGTTATTCCTTAATGCATTGTTAACCACAGAATGATCTTGCACACCATGGTCCTTTTACCGCTGCACTGAGGAACTTCGGTAATCAGCCTCTGGAGAATGAAAATGGTATATTTCTTCTATGATAAATATGGAAATATTTTGATTTGGTGCATTGTTTGTTTGTTATTCTTCTCACTCTGTTAATTTTTTGTTCCCACAGATATCAAAATTGAAATTTCTAGAGATGGAAAGCATTTAAATCTTGCTCAACTAAAGAGGGAGTATGAGAATTGGATTCTTCAAATGCACGAGCAGTATGATGATGAAGCTGACTGTGGTGAAGATCAACCAGTGGTTGTTGTCAGTCCTATAAACAAAAAGGCACTTCACATGTCATCTGAAGGTAGGTGTAAATCGAGAAGCTTGATTTTCTGATGCAGCATGACTTAATTTGAATCCTTTGTTACATGATTTTCTTAGTGGGATAAGGCTTGGTTGTTGTAACTTGTTACATGATGTCCTTATTAATTTCATTACGTTAATTGAGTTTCTAACTTTAATCCATGCTCGTTAATCATAGAACTTTTTTACTTCAAATTGTAGTTGCAAGGGTGCATAAATCTCTAAAGAGAAGAGGAATAGCCTGGAAACGTGGCCAGAAAATCAAACTTCTTAAGGGAGCATGTGCTGGGGTCCATAAGAACAATGTCTATGCTACGATTGAATATTTTTTGCTTGAAGGTCTTGAAGGTGACTCTGGTGGTAAGTAAGGCATGAAACTTGAGTATCCTTATATTGTTTCATGTGACATTCATAAATATTGATTTATAATTGACATGCTTATATCTTCCATACTTTTGTCATGGCATGCCCCTTCCACTTTTTTATGGCATGCTACTTAAGGATAGTTATACTTGTAGATTTCTTCTTCAATGAAATTGTTTGGTCAATTTAGGTCCCTGGCTTTTTTCTTCATTTTTCTTTTTCTTTCTTAACAGGTCAGGCTCAAATGTTCTGCAGGTGTGGTTTCTTGTGTATGTTCTTCTGTAATCGTTCTTTTTGTAACCTGTGCACTTGATTATGTTTTGGTTTGACTGGCATAGTTTTGTATTTTTGTTGTTTTACAAGGCCTTTAAGTAATCCAGAAGCGAAGGGATGCATCCTTTCCATAAGTGATGGGGATACCAGTTTAGATGTTGGTGGCTCCTTGCCTGTACCTGTCAGTGTCATTGATACTGGAATGGTTCGTTTCTTATTTTATCTTAGTATCTTGCTTCACACCTTGCTTTTTATACCATTGGCGAAAAAGTAAATATTTTTCTGGTATTCTAGCTTATTGTGTTGCTAAATTGTGAGCCATTGGCATCAGTGTGTAGCTGTTCGAAGTACCGAGTGGGATAACCAACTTGAGAAACAACGTCAGAAATCTCCTTCTACAATTGATGTGCTGGATGCAGAACAATGCCAAGAGTTGGACATTGATGGGGTTAGAATTTTCATTTACTTTTCACTTTTGTCTTGCTCATCAAATAGAAAATTAATCAAGTAAAACATATATTTTTTAATTTCTTTTCAGGCACTGCCTGTAGATGCCCAAACTGGAAAAGATCCTCCAGAAGCAATTGTGGCTATTGTTCGTCCTGCCAGTTATGACTCTTCTTGTATTTCCAAGACCCTGGACCAAAAGCATATTGCCAGAACTAATTTACAAATGTCCATGAAGGTTAAGTTCAGCAGTGATGCTGAGGGCCTTCAAAGGGTTCATGACATTTCAGTGTCCGTAGCACCCAAGTCGCTAAAAGGATTTCAAGGGTTATACATCTTTCCACTTAAATCAAAGTACCCAGATTTATTTCAAAATGCTGGTATCTATACATTTTCATTCCATCTTGTAAGTAATATTGGTAACCTCTCTTAAATCTTTGCTCTTTGTTGTTTTTTTTTCAAATGTATTAAGATTGTAAGTTGTTTCTGATAATTTGATTTGTGAATTTGTTTACAAGGATGAGTCAGAATGTAAGGCTATTGAGAAAAAAGTGCTTATCAAGGAAGCTCGAAAAGTGGAGTATAAACAAATTCACTCGACTTTCCCAAAGGAAAAGGTTTTGTGGCCCCAAGATTCATCTGACTCTTCCAAAGTAGTATACTTACAGGTAATAGTTGTGCTTACGAGAAGATACGAAATTAAATGCAGCTTTAATTTACTAATAAACAAATGAGACGTTTTATATCTCAGCATGAATGTACCATAGTGGGTTCATTTGTTTAATTGTTTCTGATAGTTTTACTTGTGAATTTGTTTACAAGGATGAGTCAAATGGCAAGAGTGTTGATAAAAAAGTACTTATCAAGGAAGCTCGAAAAGTGAAGTATAAGCAAATTCAATCGACTCCCCCAGAGGAAAATGTTTTGAGATCCCAAGATTCATCTCACCCTCCCAAGGTAGAAAAGTTAAAGGTAATAGTTGTTCTAATGAGAAAATACAAATAAAAATGCAGCTTTAATTCACTTACAGTCACATGAAGTTTTATATCTCAGCATGAAAGTACCATAGTGAGTTCATTTTTCATATCACATCCAGATCCAAAAGTGAAGCATGGAAACCAACACACTCTTAAATTACTTAAAGATATAAGTTCATATTCTGTATTAGCCATATTGATAATGATGGCTGTTAACTTTTATGTTCAGGTTCTTGTAAAAAGAGCAAAAGTGGAGTACAATGAGAGTCAGGTTCCGTTGTCACCTGGCAAGGTATTGCCTCTTCAAGATTCCTCTTCCCTCCAGAAAGGAGGAAACTTTCTGGTATTAATTGTGAATAATGAGAAGCTACATGACAATTGCAGCTTTAAATTTATACGTAACCCAGAGTATACAATGTGTGCTACCACCATCTACAATCATGGATCATGGATAATTGTTATGTTCAGGTTTCAGAAATGCAAGTTCCAAAAGTGGAGTGCGAAGAACTATCCGTTTCAGAAATGCAAGTTCCAAAAGTGGAGTGCCAAGAACTATCCCCATTTCCTTTGCTTCTCCAAGATCCCTCTTCCCTTCAGCAAGTGGGAAACCTGCAGGTATCAATTGTGAATAATGATAAGATAGGGAAAACAAATGCAGCTTCAAATTGCTTTTGTATAACACTTATGCTCTCATTAACCCGAAATAGGTTTTATGAATAGGATTCTCAATTACGAATGCCCAAATTACCTGTTGACTGCATTAACCAAGAAGATTTGGAAATCTTACCTTAAAATGCCTTTCTATTTTTTACTTTTCTTCTTCTCCTCTCAGAGAAAGGAGAATGACATTAAACGAATTGGATTGCGCATTGGAGATCTGGAAAAGCAATTGGTTGAGCTTAATGAGGACAAGGAAATTCTTGAGCTAGAAATATCTCATTTGCAAGGTTATATTTCTCAGGCTGCACATAAATATATTAAAACCCTGTTTATCTTAGAATGTTCGTTGCTCACTTAATACATTTTTGAAACGTCAAATTCTCTTTCACCCAAAGAGTCTCTCACTTGTTTAGCTTTCTCTTATTAAATTTCACATGCTATGTACAATGGATGTAATTGGAAAAATGCTACTTACGTTCATGTGCAGCTTGTTATCAACTGAGCAGTTCGGATTACTCATCAAAGAAAGAAGAGCTGAGAAACCACATAGAGAGAATGAGCCACACGGCAGCTTCTACTGTCTCCACCCTTTCAAGAGTTCCACTCCAAGAGCCAGACAACGATTTCATGGGAGGCATGATTGGTTTAGTTGCTCTGCTGGGCAGAGTTCGGAACATTAAGCTCAGCAGGTTCGCTACCCCCTTTTTCCAATTTCGTTTTCCCCTTCTTCAAGTTAGTTCCTCTCCTTTGATGTTCATATCTTTATATATATTTGTCTGCAGGATATTATCTGAGTACTTGGGTGAAGATCAGATGCTTGCTGTTGTCTGTAAATCATTCACAGCTGCTTGTGCTCTCGAGAAGTATCACCGCAGCGGGGAAGTTGATTCTAGGCATGCTCTTTATGCAGAAGCTGCTAAACTTGAGAGATCCATAGAAAGCCGGTTTCTTGTTATATGCCTCGAAGATCTACGGTAACACATAAATCTTCCCAAGTAGTTTTACTTATGTGTAATAAATCAATCCGTGTTGATTACTTCTACAGAAAATAACTCTGGACTATGCTTTATGGCACAAGCAAATAGAAACATGAAATTTGAAATTTCTATATTGCAGGCCTTACACAGGTGACTTTGATGGTACTGACCCTCAAAGGAAGCTCTTCTTGCCAGATCCTGCATTGCCAAGTGGAGATACCCCGTCTGGTTTCTTGGGGTATGCAGTTAATTTGGTTGACCTAGATGACGAACATTTACACACCATGACAACTGAAGGCCATAATCTGCGGCAGACGTTGTTTTATGCTCTTTTCGGCGAGCTCCATGTTTACAGAACTAGGAAACAAATGTTCAATGCTCGTGCTTGTATCAAACAAGCTGCTGTATCCTTGGATGGCGGGATTTTAAAACAAACCGGGATAGCTTCTCTTGGATACGGGTATCTCTCTCTACACTTGATAATATGTATGTTCATATTAAATTCATTGCTTTGCGAACAAGTCTAACGATTACACAATGTGGCCTTTTTGTTGTTTGCCCTTCAGGAATCCCAAAATCTGTTTCCCGATTTTGGTGAATGTCGCGGAAGTCCTGGAGGAAATTGCAGCAAATGAGGAAGCAAAGAGTGAGGTCGTTGCTGCCATGGAGGAAATTGCTAAAGACCGCGAGATAGTGTTGAAGAAGCTCAGGAAGAAATTGAAGAAGCAGCAGAAGCTGATAACAAAGACTGGGGAGGAGTTTCAAAAGAAAATGTCCGGATCCGTAGGAATCACAGATGATTTGTGATTATTTTGCACAACTGACGCTGCATCATGTTCTTCTGATATATGCATATATATATGTCCGGATCCGTAGCAATTTTTTTTCACAACTTTGACACACGTTTTGTGGGGCTCACATTTTAACGTATATCAACGATTTTAGCTGTCTATTTTTTAGAACATTATTCATGGATCATCCTTGCAAAAAATTAGACAAATCTAAAATCATGAAGACATTCATTTGTAGTGAAAAAAATAGACGAATACGGCTCTACAAAGAAACCCTAAACCCCTAATCGAACGGTCGTATTGTTTCATATTAGGTAACTTTGACATAATATTTGAAGAAAGACCTAAATGATTAATTGTTTGGATGATTGAAATACATTACGACGTGTGCTCACAAAAAATATTTGTCAAAAAATTATGTAAAAAAATGGTACCATGAATCCACCCCTATACATATCCCATAAATTAGTTCTACAAAAAATTCGATTTGGATATGAAAATATTTTATAATCTTAGTAAAAATAAACTGAAGAGTAAAGACAAATAAAAAGTTAAAAGAGCTCCACTTTACTCGTAAGTGATGAAGTTACGGCCCTTGGATCATATGGGCCCAACTATCCCCATGGATCTAATTTGATCCAACGGTCCTCATTTCCGCGCGGAGAATAAAGCCCAACTTTTTAGCTCAGAAAACCACAGGGAGGTCAATGAAATTTGACATTCTCAACAACCACCAGAACAGTTGCAGTTGGAGAGAGAGAGAGAGATAGAGAGAGCGAGAGAGTGACTCAGTGAGAGAGAGCCACCGGCGAGAGCACTGAGTCAACTCGGAAGATGTTCCACCCCAGCAACCAGGTGAGCCCCCCTTCTCAAAATTTCACTCACTGCCCTCTGTTTGGCAGCCGAGAAAATGCAAGAAAATAACTGGGTACCCATCTTAGGTTATAAAGTTTCAAAATTTTCTCTTCTTTTCTCCTCTCTTGATAGCTAGTCAAACGCCCAGCATGGAATTAGCTGTGGTAATTCAAATGCATGTCGTTTTTCTCTTCGCCATTGATTTTTCCTGCTTCGAATGCCAAAAATTTAAACCTCAATTGTGTGCTCAATGCAATTCTTTGGTTTTAAAGATCTTTTTGGTAACTGGGTTTAGTTAATTCTCTCAATTTTTAAACTTTCCGTCACTGTAAGTTTCCACGAGGAAAAAGAAAGAATGGAAAATCAGCATGCATCTTTGCATTTTCGTCCTTGGCAGTTTTCTGGGGAAAGTGGTGCTTGTAATTGCTTGAATTAGGTTTTAGAATTGACCATTTAGAGGCGATTGCGATTTGTAGTCCGAAACTTCGGTCTTGAATTGTGTAATTCTTTTCCGGTGTCGAGGCATTAGTGTTCTAAAACAATTTTCTGGTTGATTTAGTTTTCGCTGTAGATACTGCCGTTGATTTAAGAAACTGTGGCACAGAAATGTGTATGTGCCTGCTGCTGTGGTGAGTCGACATTGTTTACAGGCTTTTCTTGTTGGTAAAGAAACGTATTTAGCATTTAGAAAGGCATGTGCTTTTAGAAACTAATTTGTACTTCCATGAATTATTGGCGAGCGGAGATCACTTCTAAGTTGTGCTCATTATTTCGTGCCCAACGTCAAACTTATTGAACAGTCTGCATAGTCTGTGTACATGCATTTTGGTCCTTTTTGTGCTATTGATGCCATTTAATCATTCTTTTGCAGGTTCCAGATCAGCCCCAGCCATTGGCTGTTCAAGATCCTGCAGCTATGATGCAAGTAGATAAACAAGAAACTAGTGTAGTTGTGCAGGAAGAAGTGAAAAATGGAGGCTTCTCACAAGCAGAATCCATCATCTACTACACTAAGGTTGTACAAGAACCAATTCTTGAGAGCCTTTATATTTTGATTTACCGTGCATTGTGGTAATGTATAGTTGATATTTCACCATGCATTTCCGTTTGAGGCAATTAATTCATCGTAACAAAATTGTAGCATTTCAATCTTTTTGTTATTCATGATTAATGAAATTATTGTGGAGGATCCTATTTTGAGCGGGGATGGATCAAACTAACTGACTTTTCAAAGAACTAATCTATACAGAAACTTCAAGATGATTTACAAATGATGGGAATGAAAATTAAACAGCATGAGGACAACTTAAAACTGCTTAAGTCTCAGAAGCACAAACTAGATGACTCTATTCTTGATTTGCAAGGTATAATATCTTCTTCTTCTTCCTCCTCCACTATCTACATTTCATTGGTGATGTCATAAATCTAGTAAACTAAAAAGTTAATAAATATCTAAGCATACGGTTTGCAATATTTTTTTTGGGCACTTTTTTATTTGTTTCCATTACCGAATCATTTCCTTTCAGTTATTCTAGGCAAGTATCACTCCTCAAGCACTCCTAAAATCGAAGATGATGACCATTCCCGCCGTAAAAGTGAGGAAGAAACCACTGAAAAGATTCTTCAGCATGAGAAGTCTGCCGCAGGCATTTTATGGCAGTTGAAAACTCGTCATGGTACTCAGGTTGCCCTTTTTCCCCCGATCAAGGATGTCGTGGGTATTGTTGGTATGCTTGGCAAAGTAGAGGATGATAATCTTAGCAGGTCAGAGTCCCATATTGTTTGTTGTTTACTTATTTCTCAAGTTGTGGAATTGTACTTTAGTCATATGACCACATAAGTGGTTGTGTTCTGCGACCTTCCGTGCATTTTCTTTTGATTTTGGAAAGTGGGGTGAGTTTAGGCGACGTTGTACTGCAATGGATATGTTGTTGTAGTGTGGAATGAATACATTGGTAACACCTGGCCATGAAAATATTTCTAATTGACCCCCTCTCCAGCTCTCCCTTTCGCCCCTATCTATCTAGGCCTATAACCATACTGGACCTAGTTTTCATTCAGCTTATTTGGAATGTGCAGGATTTTTTCAGAGTACTTAGGGATCGAGACTATGTTGGCAATTGTCTGTAAGACTTATGAGGGTGTTAAAGCTCTAGAAGTGTATGAGAATGAAGGCTACGTAAAGAAAACTGCTGGTCTCCATGGACTTGGCTCGTCTATTGGTAGGACACTGGAAGGCCGGTTTCAGGTCATCTGCCTTGAAAATCTAAGGTATGTATCCTGTATGCTGTCATACCTCAAGCAATCTGAACAAGTATTGATTTGTAAACTTTACTATATTGACTATGCACTCAAAATCTGTTTTGTTCTTCTGCAGACCATATGCTGGTGCATCCGTGCCTGATGACCCACAGATGAGGCTTGATCTTCTAAAACCTAGGTTAGCCAATGGGGAGTGTCCACCCGGCTTTCTTGGTTATGCTGTAAATATGATTAATGTGGATAGCGCAAACTTATATTGCCTCACAGCCAATGGGCACGGACTAAGAGCAACTCTATTTTATAACCTCTTTGGTCGCTTGCAAGTATATAAAACAAGGGCAGATATGGTTCCAGCTCTTCCTTGTATAAGCGATGGAGCCATTTCTTTAGATGGCGGGATTATTAGGTCAACTGGTGTGTTTTCTCTTGGCAACCGGTAAGAAGCTCTGCCAAATAAATGAAATCGGAAATTAAACTTTTGAACTGTCTTAGATGTTATCATCATTTGTTAATACTAACAGGGATTTTCTTTGCTGCTAACATCTTAGTTTTTAAACCTCTCTGATGTTAGGGAAGATGTAGATGTGAGATTCCCTAAAGTATCAGCAACATCGGGCCTACCTGAAAACTATCTGGAGTCTGAAAGACAAATCAATGAGTTGAAGTGGAAAAAGGACAAAATGCAGGAAGATATGAAGAGAGAACAAGCATTATTGGACAACGCAAAGTTCAATTTTGACAGAAAGAAGCAAGATTTTCTCAAGTTCCTGGCTGATAGTTCATCATATGTAACTCAGGTAACACCCGTCACATATCTTAACTAACAACAAATTGCAGTACAGTCGTAAAAGTAACCTACCATGTGCCTTCAGTTGCCTGCAGCAACCCGATAAAAAGAAATGATTAGACTAATGCTGGATCCGAGGACCCTTTTTCATTCAGTCCTTCGGCAGTGTTAAATACGTTTTTATTCCATTATTGTGGGAACATTAGGGAAAATAGTTTCATAAATCGTGGATACTGAAGTAAATCATTCAACTTGCTATTCCACTAGACAGGAGCTCATGTTGAGTAGTTCATAGTCTCTTTCTTTAATTTTGTTTTATTTCCTTCCTTCGTAAATGAGCTTTAATTGCGGCCTTTATCATCGCAGCATCAAATTTATGCATCGCAAAGCAGAATGGCCCCGAGGTGACAACTTAAGAGTACACTGAAGGAGCGAGAAACCATCCAACCAAACAGAAGGGGGAGCCTTCTGACCTTTGTCCAGTTGAGCGTCCGGCGGAGGATCAATTTTTCATCTCTGCTCTAGAAAGCCAGAAAAATTGTATTGGGAAAACGCATATTCATTGAGTCTAGTGAGGGGGCTCGCTTTTTTAGGGCTTTGTAGAAGCAGAATTAGATTTGAGGATTTTTTTTTTTATTTGTTTGTCCTCTGCTCAAATGCTTGTGACTTTGTGATAGAAGTTTATGCATCATTTTTCCATACAAACACAACCCCTCTCTCTCTCTCTCGATCTCTCTCGATCTCTCTCTCTCTCGATCTCTCTCTCTTGCGGTATCTCAAGCTAGTCACACACTCACCGGTTGTAACATTTTATCTTCGGTCAAGCGTTGTTTCAAGTTAATCACGCATTGTCATTGTAAAGTAATGCGTAATTCTATCAGCCACTTACAAACGGGCTTTTGACCGAAAATAGAAATCGGGTTTTGACTGGACTCTATGGCCCAACCGGACTCCGGTACTCCCAGCCCACCACGATAAACCTTGAGGCCCATAAGAAAAAAGCCCATTACCTTTTCGTGCTGCTGCGACTTGAAGAAACAGGCAAAAGCAAAATCCACTTCTCTCGTCTTCTTCCCTCTTCACTCTTCGTTTCCAACTTCAATCCCCCGCCACCGCACCACTTTCTCTCTCTAAATCCGGCGGCGCCCGGATCAGGTATTTACTCTCTCTCTAGAAATTTCTCTCAGTTTTGATTTGTAATTTGATTCGCGATCGAATATGTGGGTAGCTTTGATTTGATTTAGGGTTTTAGCATACGGAAACAATCACCATTTCCTTCGGGATGTATTCGTTCTGGTTGTTTCTGCTGTCAAATTTCAAGCTTGCAGAAAAACCCTAGCTGCCATTGTGGATATTGTTGTTAATTAAATTAAATTGGATTTTCGGAGATAATGAAAGGGAAAATTTGGATTAATGTTGCAGCTGCAGGTTCCCTTGCGTTTTACGAATTTGAAAACCGGTTAACTTTACTGTAATTTAGTGAGTTAGTTGGTTTGTATGGTTTCGTTCTGGGATTGTATACAAAAGGTAGAGGAAGGCGAAAGAAAATGGTTGTTTTTAGGGTTTAGGAAGAAGAAATATGTCTGTTGTTTGGGTTTTATTGAGGCTCTCTTTCGTTTCTCCTGTTTTCGGTGATTTTGGATTTACATTTGAGACTGCGGCTTCAACATCGTTGTTAAGGAATTTCGGTTCTGAGTGCTTGTTCATTTTCACCAAGAAAATATGGGTTTCGAATGTACCCTAGTTTCTGATGCATTTCATGTTTTCCAACTCTTGAATATCCTAAACCTAGCGCCGTCACTATATTAGGTAATCTGTCCAACGAAGGCTTAGCGGGTTTATGTGTACGGTCACTCTATTAGGACACATTGCATCTTTAGGATGTACATGATTCATTATGAATGAATGTGGAGAAATTTAGTGGCGTCATCAGTTATCATTCTGTCGGTATTTAGGATTTAAGTCATTATTTTCCTTTACTTCTTCTGTGGTTTGGCAGAGAACCTCAAGAGTTAAAAAATGGCTGGCCAAGCTGCAAAATCTGTGGCAAAGACAATTGCAGAGTACCAGTACCCGTGGCGTGAGAAGTTGACTAAATACAGAACCGAGCTATCCAAGGGCGTGTGGGGCTACTGGCATCTAGGGGCATGGAAGCCGCTTGGAATCAGTGCTCGTCATCGAGCTAAAATTCGAAGGGAAGTCCTCCTTGCGGGAGAGGACTGGCCATATGACCCGGTGAGGAAAGAAATGAAAACCAAGAGGAAAGGGCACAAGGTTGACAGGATAGCTAAGGAGAAACGGGAGAACACTGAGAGGCTGATGGCGAAGATGCCACAAATGCTGGCCGATTTCAAGAAGCGCAAGTGGGAGAAGAAGATGAAGGAAGAAGAGAAAGCCAAGGACTGATCGTGTCTGTGACGATGATGTTGGTGTAGTTTTTGCCTGCGTGTTGAATGTTTGCTAGAGCTACTAGAAGATAGATGTGTCCAAATCATCGGTGTATGAATGCCGACTTTTTGTTCTGTTGGCTTTTGTTTTACTTTTAAAACCTCATTGATCACAAGGTGTAACATCTTTTCGTGCAACTTTTTCCCGTTTAAGTTCATAAATCACTAGTTGGATCAAGCCTGTGTTAGAACTGAGGTATATATTTTGAGAATTGCAAATCCAATCGCTGACCAAAGAAAAGAATCGATTTTCTTCGGTTGTTGCAATGGGTTGTGTTTGGATTTATCTTTCTATATGTCTCATGTTCGTGTCAATTCACGAGCTGATTGACGAGAGATTTTTCAGTGTGATCGACACATGAAATGGTACATCACGTGTCACTATACAAATGGTGGTACATCCCGTGGTACCATCCATGTTCCCGTCAGGACCGTCACAATGAAAATTTTCTCCCGAAAAAGTTAAACAGTGGTAATTGTTTACAGTACACACATGGTGGCCAATTCTAAAAATTTAAAAAAAAAAAAAAAAAAAACAAAAAAATTGTTTGAAAGGTTCTACCGAGATTTGAACTCGGGTTACTGGATTCAGAGTCCAATGTCCTGACCACTAGACCATAGAACCTTGTTGTCAACAACGCCTACTATTTTATTATTTAGCTCCTTTCTAAGGGAAAAAGCACAGTCGTATCACGTCACAGATTCCGAGGAATCACAAGGAATAAACATCTGACTTTTCAGACCAAAAAAATAAACAAATGAAAAATGAAATATTTTGAGCTGATCAGATGTGGCCGTGTAAGTACAGGAGCTCCACATAGATTTAAGTTGTGCGAGCGGTTGTAACACATATTAAAATTTTAATGTTTCAAACCAATAATGCAATGTCATCGATATAATTTTCTCCATGATGCTACACATTTTCGTACATTAACTTCTGTCAACCTGAAAGCTCATGAATTGGTCTCTTAAATGACAAATTCAAAACCAAATTATAATTGAAAGATCACCGGGATGGTTCCACCCCCACATTTTCATTCCTGCTGGATGCCCGCATCAAGTGAGAAATATGAGGGTGAGGTTTCGTCCCATCGATGTGCCAATTTTCACTTCCTTTCTTTAGCAGTGCTAATTTATCAGCAGTTCTCATTTTCTTCTCTCTTTGCTTCCGGAAAAACACAGATCCAAGGAAGATAAATTGGAGGTAGTGTTAATTTGGATCGGTCCTGGAGCTCATCGTTAGGTGGCTTTGCATCCCGAACAATCTGATCGTAATAATAAGTTAAATTATTCGTTTTGCATGCATGCATGCAGCAATATGATCATATGATTTATACGTATTGTGTCTCGTTGCAGCAAACGTCTATATTTCTGTACATCAGTAAGAATTATACCTTCACAGAAGCAAGAATGTGTGCGCTGAATGATTTTGCTGCTTTCAGGAGAAGAAGATGGCGCTCTACGCCGCGAGTGATGCTATAACTGAAGCCGAAAATCTAACGTCGACAAATGAGTGAGTGATCTTTCTCCGGAGGACTTCATTATCTAACGCCGAAAAATAGTAATCTCGTGATTGTAGTTCTTGTTTTCTGTTCACGGAGTCTGATTGTTTCCGGCGACCCTGCAGTTCATTAAACGGGGCGTGGGAGCTTAGGAGGAGCGGCCGTTCCAATTGGAAGTGCCGGTCGGAGATGAAGGTTCGAGTGCTTGTAGAGTTTTAGGATTATGAAGCTCAACGCAAGGGCTTGTAGAGAAGTGGTCATTGGTTTCTTTGGGTCATAATCTTCATTCTTTTTCGTGTAATCTTTGCCTTCTTAGATGTTGCGTTGTAGAGACAACTATTTCATGTAAAGTTTTAAATGATAACGTTTTGAGAATTTTTTATTTTTTTTTATTTTTTATTTTTTTGGTTTTTGTAAATAAGCCCCTCAAAACTTTCTCATCATGGCCGGTTATATTACGGTACAATTTTGACCAAGTTAACTAACATTTTTATGCTTATAGATTGAAATTTATAACACGAAACAATCTAATTTAAAGATTCGTTTGAAATTACTTTTAAAATAACTGAAAATCTTTTTTGTCAAAATATTTTGAAAATTAATCTTTAGTGAAAATGCAAGTAAATTATAAAAAAATACTTGAAATGCTTTCGATAAGAAACATTGTCTCTACTGAAAGCGTTTTTGATTATTTTGAAAATACTTTCAAGGGGGGTCAAAATTTTAAACAAGACGTGATGAAATAGAAAATCGATCAAACCTCAAAGCCCTGTTCTGTAAATTCAGATATTTTCATTGTCTTTCTTGCAAGTTATAAGAACAATCGAGGTGGAATATCAAATCTCTCTACTTTCCTTTGTTCTCTTCTTCCAAGTTTCAATTTCCAATTCCACCATCAAAATTCCCTCACCATACACTCTTCCCAAAATCTCAGATAAACATATTTGAATTCACCCCCAAATTTCCCAACCACTCTTCAAGCTTTCATTTTTCACCCAAAAAATCCATGTGTCGATCCTAATTTTCCCTCGTTTTCTTTCATTTCCCGTCGTTTTCCCGGAAAAGTCCTCTCGCCCGCAATGGCCGCGGCGCTCAGATCCAAGCCCTCCAGAGACACGGCGTCGTCCGCCGTCTCCCAATTCAGGTACTTCGTCTTTAATTACATGCACGCCGGCCGGGTGGCAAGCTCTCACTATGCCCACCGCACCAAGAACGACGACTTGTTCATGAACACGCCCTACCACTTCACTTCCTTCAAGCCGGTGTTGCTCGGCGGCAACTTTGTCGAAAAGGGTTCGCAGATTTTCGATCACCCTAGAGCTTCCCAGAGAGCCAGCAAGAATAGTGATAAGAATTGGGGACGAAAGTTGAGCAGCAGCAGGTGTAACGGTGTTATGTCGTCTCAGGGGGACCCGCCGGAGGTGTGGTCCGGTGATGGAATTGTGGTTCGGGCCGCTCCCGGCTCGAATTTGGTTCGTGGGGGAGGCGGTGGAAGCGGTCCGAGCCCTGGTTCGGGAGGTGGGTTCGATTCGAATTCGAAGGATGAGAATTGGGGTGGTTCCAAGTTGGGGAAAAATTTTCCTACACCGAAGGAAATTTGTCAAGGGCTCGACAAGTTTGTAATTGGGCAAGAGAAGGCCAAGAAGGTGAGTTTTTACGTTGCCTTTTTTGTTTGTTTTATGGTGTTGAGATATCTGAAAAGTTTAGGGTCCTATTCGAAATTTTTTATTATTTCTCAAAACATTTCTTAAGAACATTTCTTGAAAACAATTTTCTTTAAGACTCAAAAACTTTGGTTCTGCAATTCTTGTAAATTTTGTGCCTTTTCTGTGTGCAGGTACTATCTGTTGCTGTTTACAATCACTATAAGAGGATATATCATGAGTCCCTGCAGAAATGGTCAGCTCCATATCCATATACGTATCTTGTTTGAGTCTATGTTTTATATGAAGAAGAATCATTTCGTAGCTTGAGGGTATTTGTACTAAACATATATCATTGGCTTTAACTAGAAGTCATGAAAAGTTATAGTCAGTTTAGTTTTGGTTTCTACTTATAACCCGACCTACCGACTGATGCTAGCTCCTGCTTTTAACATGCTTCTTATTGAGAAATTAGGTCTGCAGGAGATTCAAGTAACGGCAAAGTAGATGCAATGGATGATGATAGAGTGGAGCTTGAAAAAAGTAACATTCTTTTAATGGGGCCAACAGGCTCAGGTAATTTAGAATGATTCTTGAATCTGCTATGTACATTTTCACTAAGAGGTCGAATGTTGAATGACTGCTAAGATTTTCTGTGTGTCAAAATTTAAAATTGCGGTTAGATGAGATGCCAAAAGACCTGGAGACCCCTATGTCCAAGTTGCATTTGTCTGTATCTTATCTATGGATGTTGCATGTATTTGCATTATAGCTGGAGTTTTGTGTCTTTAGTGCTTTCTTGTTTGGATGTCTTTTAATTGTCTGCTTTTGAAGTGTTCATTAGTCTGTTGATTTGGTTACTGGTCTCACTTGTTCTCTTTGATGATCTTTCAAGGACAGGGAAGACACTACTTGCCAAAACCTTGGCACGGTTTGTGAATGTTCCATTTGTTATTGCAGATGCAACAACATTAACTCAGGTAAGTTTTGTTACTCTTTGTTGTTGTTTGTAATTTGAGTTCATTTGTAATTGTCGGTTGTTTTTCCTTTACCATTAAATTTGAAGTCACTATGCTCTATGCAATGATCAGCCTTGGATGTTTTTTGTAAACACTGGCCTTCATGGTCCCTAGAATATTCATCGTACACGCATGGTTTTTTATTTAGGTTCTTGTCCAATTTCTGTTGCATGTTCTGCGAACTATAAGAGTTTAATATGGATTCAATGGCATTGTTCCTGTCATTACGGTGGCCATGACACAACGTTGTTACTTGCAGGCAGGATATGTAGGGGAAGATGTGGAATCAATTTTATACAAACTCCTTACGGTAAATTTTCTTGAGCATATTCCATTTGTGTCCGTCTGAATTTTGTGATTTGATAGCCTATGCTCCATATCAAGGGCTCTCTTTGGCGTTACATGTGCATTTCATTGTTAATTGCTTTCTGCTTATTGCGATTAATATTGGAATTGCAACAAGCATTACCTAGTGTTGAAACCATCTTTCATGCTTATGGTTTCATACATATATTTAAAAGTCTGTGAGAAACGTAAACATGTTTTAATTGTTTTATGCCATAATTCTGCGGGGAAATTTGAAAGTTGTTTTTTGGCCATAACCTTAGGTATGACTTACCGAGTTCCCACTTATCATGAAATTTTTCTTGGAACTTCCACTTATATGCTTATATTGCTTGGTAATCCCAAGTTCATCTATGTTCTTCTGTATTCAATGCCAGGTTGCCGATTATAATGTAACAGCTGCACAGCAGGGAATTGTTTATATTGATGAAGTTGACAAGATTACTAAAAAGGTGTGTTTTTACGTTCATCTCTCTCTCTCTCTCTCTCTCTCTCTCTCTCTCTCTCTCTCTCTCTCTCTCTCTCTCTTTCTTTGTGGAAGAAGTTTTCTACTCTTATATATGTACTGACATCTGCTCTTATTTTGCAGGCTGAGAGCCTAAATATTAGTAGGGATGTATCTGGGGAGGGTGTTCAACAGGCATTACTTAAGATGCTGGAAGGGACCGTAAGTGAACGTTTTACATAATTCGGTAGTACTGATGCTAGCAGGCATCATGGAGATGGCATCTTGGCTAAGTCAGGACCCATCTCGGGATATTCTGTACGCAGTCATAGATGTCTCCTTTATGATTTGGATTCATTTAAACAACTATAATCTATGCGCGTTTAATTCTTTGTATTCTGATCTGAGGAGTTCTTATGATCTAGGTTGTCAATGTTCCTGAGAAGGGAGCTCGAAAGCACCCTAGAGGTGAAAACATTCAGGTATTTCAGTGGCTGAAGATATATGTCTCAGTTACCTACATATTATTGTAAACTGCGCTGGCTCATAAATACAATTACATATTGATCATAATCATAAATAAGCCTATTCTGCTGTTCTTTAAGACTTAACTAGTGCTTAGCCCAGCAAATATCTTTGTATATTATGTTTGACTGATTTTCAGTTGGGTAGATCAGTGAAAATCGGTTCGTAATTCTATTCTCTTTCTTCACAGATTGACACAAAGGATATTCTCTTCATATGTGGCGGTGCCTTTATTGACTTAGAGAAAACAATCTCAGAAAGGTAACTCTATACCCCAACACTGAAATTATGCTATCTTCTGGTTTTCTTTCTCTCTCTCTAAAATCTTTTATGCCTTTTGCTTGTCCTACAGACGCCAAGATTCCTCTATTGGGTTTGGCGCTCCCGTTAGGGCAAATATGAGGACTGGTGCTGTTACAGATGCTGCTGTTACGTCATCCTTATTGGAGATTGTAAGTTCCCATCAGTTTTGAATTAACAAGTAACAGTTTATATAGGCTTCCTTCTATTTTCATGTCTTCGTTAGAAATCTATAAATATATGAAAACTGGTTTCTTTGACAGGTTGAAAGTAGTGATCTTATTCGATATGGTTTGATACCTGAATTTGTTGGCCGGTTTCCCATCCTTGTCAGTTTGTCTGCACTAACAGAAAATCAATTGGTTGAGGTAATACTTTGCATTGCATTCTTTTTATTTTCGTAGAAACAGCTCCGCCATCTATGTCACTTGCACAACCATTTTTAATCTCAGAAAGCGAGTGTATGGATTGATGGCTAATGATTCATATTATACATTGCTGATGAGCTTTGAATAAGTCCTTACTTATCCGTCCTGTAATTTGAATATTTTTCCCCTTTGAGAGGAAACATGTATGGTATGACTAATTTTAGTCGAAATGACGGTGTATTATTCTAGTCGTGCTTAGAGCTTTTACAAGTACCCTTTATTATTATTATTTTTTTGTTTAATGTTATTTGTTATATCTACTGTCCCATGTGTTTCTTAGCGGCAAATATGTTTTGTAGGTCCTGACAGAGCCAAAAAATGCCCTAGGGAAACAATACAAAAAGATGTTCCGAATGAATGGGGTAAGTAATTCTTCTCTACATTATAGAGGCATTCACACTTCAAGGTCATTTGTTCAACATCCTGGTTTTGTTTACTTCTCATGATATCTTTGCTTGTTTATGTCCGATTTACAAAGTCGGTTGTCCCATGCAATTTTCTCACTTCCATGATTCGCAATCAATTGGTTCTTAGCTAAATTGCTTGTGCTTTACTTCTCTCAGGTCAAACTGCATTTCACAGTAAGTGCCTTGAGATTAATTGCTAGAAAGGCAATATCAAAAAACACCGGGGCTCGTGGCTTACGGGCTATTTTAGAAAATATATTGATGGACGCCATGTATGAGGTACTCTCACCTTCTCCTTGAATCTTTTGCATCTTTGTGAGTCTTTTGGTATGTCATAGATGCTTGAATTCTCGTTGTATCTCTTTCAGATTCCCGATGTTAGAACAGGTGATGACATAATAGACGCAGTTGTAATCGATGAAGAAGCTGTTGGCTTGGACGGCAAGGGATGTGGAGCTAAAATCCTTTATGGCAAGGGTGCATTGGATCACTATCTTTCGCAGAATAAGCCGAAGGATGTAGAGGTGCGTATTTCTCGTATTCGTCATTAAAATCCTGCTTTCAGTTTACAACCAACGTGTTTTTATACGCTAACGCCTTGTTCTCGTCTAGCAGATTGCAGCCAAGGAGGGTTCCGATGGAGAGCCGGAGGCGGAAACAGAGCTTTCTTCCGTTGTTGCTAGCATGTAAACATATTTTTTGTTGGACCTTATTTTGTGTCCCCAACTCACAATCTTGTACATAATAAACATTAGATTAATAATCAGATAAGCATTATGTATGATTTTCTAAGGGTGGCGTTATCCATACACCGCTTTTACTTTCCACATACTCTTCACAACAAAACTTGTCATTAACTTGTAATCAGAAATAGAGCTTGAGGATGCAAAACAGACAATAAATCGGAAATTATACCTATTTTCGCTTACAAATTAGAAGAATGCTATAAATCTTCTCATTTTATATATTTTCCTTCGGCTCTCTTTCTTATCCTGCACGTTGCATGATAGTCTGGATATAGATAGACCATGTTATTTATAGACCAAGTTATTTACTTAAACACTAATATATAGATAGATCATGTTTTTTTATCTCTTGCACACTTCTCATAATTTTTTACCGTTCAGATTAAATGAATTGAAAAAGATAAACAGATAAGTATTAACAAGAGCGGAGAAGTGTGAAGGGACGCGTGTAGCACTACTTAATGTAAATCGAACGATTAAACGATATTTGATTTGTTGATTGCTTGAATAATTGATTTTAAAAGATGATGTACTGGATTAGAAGGTAAGAAGGAATCAAGAGTGCAAAATGGCCACGTGTCATGTGTGTGGCACAAAGCGTAGAACCAAACCGTATGTGCGTCATTACGATATTTTTCTAATCAAATCATAAACGAATTGTCCCGAAACTTTTTGGTTAGGACAATTAACCGGATTAGACAATTAACACAGTCCATAATAGCCGTCCGATTTCAATCCCACTTAATTAATTTTCAGAATCAACGGACACCATCATCTGTCTCTTTTTCTCTCTCCTCACACACAGACAGAGAGAGAGGAGAGAGAGAGAGAGAGAGAGAGGGAGCGGAGAAGAAAAGAAACCTTTTTTCTTCAGAGAGAGGGGGTTGGAATCCCATCAATCATCTTCCCCCTCCCTCCCTCCCTTTTTTTCCACCTCCCGAAATTTGCCCGGAAAATAATAGGGAATAAGGAAGGTCTGAGAGAAACCCAGCAATCGGTTCTTCGATTTATGGGTTCGTTTCGGGATTTTGATTAAGTGGGTTTTGGATAATTTTCCATTTTTTCAATTGGGTTTGGTGAAAAATTCGATCTTTTGGGGGTGTTCGAGGGGAAGAGCGATGGACTTGGAAAGCATCGAGTGTGTGTCGTCCTCAGATGGACTTGATGAGGACGAGATCCATCCCCACCATAACACTCTGCACCCGCATTCTCACCCTCATCAGCACCACCATGAATTTTCCAAGCCCAGAAACAATGTCACTACCAACGCTACCATTGCCGGCCCCACCTCCATCGCTCCCGCCACCAGCGTCCACGAGCTGCTCGAATGCCCTGTCTGCACCAATTCCATGTACCCGCCAATCCATCAGGTAATTGTTCTCTCTATTTTTCCTGCATTTGGTTTTATTTTATTTTTTTGGGTATTGCTAATTTTGTTGCTTGCATTTCTGTTTATTAAGTGGAAATGGAAACTTGAGTTTTTGAGTAAATTGATTAATTTGATGTGTTTGCGTTTTCGTTCGATTGATAATCGGTTGTTTGATCGGATTTGTGGAACTAGTCTTTGATTACAGCATTGTTTTTAGGATTTTGGATAGATGATATATGGTGATTGGGTTTTGTATGTATGAATGAGCATTGTTAACTAGGTCGAGGATCTTTCGGGACGAATGTTTCAGATAGATGATCCGAGCACCGAGCTATGTTGATCTAGTAGTTGAAGTCATGGAATGTGCTAACTAGAGAATGTGAAAAATTGATCAAATTTGTCAAATGCAAGCCCATGACTGTGCAGGGAGGGCGTCTTTCTGAGCTTTATCTGTTGAAGATCCTGGTCCTACTAAAATGGCACCAAGTTACGTTTAGGCAGTTCTGGGATCAACGGATGCTGAAGTCCTGATCTTTCACATACGGAAGATCATGTGACTATTGAAGAATGTCATGGTTCTACTTCTAACTAGTGAGCACCATTGAGATTATCGATCACTCTGCTTTTGTTAAAGCTTTAGTACAAGCATTGTGTTGCAATCCAATGAACACGGATTCCTTACTAACGATATACCGTGTACATTGGAAGTAGCTGAAACTTTTATTTCCAAGACCTCCTTGGCACGTACATAATTGGACATGCTTATTTCCTTTGGTCTGAACCATAGTTTTCCTTGCATTGGCAAAAGTTTTTATTGAAAGGTGGATATTGGATATTGTATTGCCTTTGCTAATATCATGAGAGGTGTGATTGTTATTGTATTTCTTTTTAACTGAGCCGTTTTACATAAATTCAAAATTTTCTTATCTGCAGTGCCACAATGGCCACACACTGTGTTCCACTTGTAAGTCGAGGGTGCACAACCGTTGCCCAACTTGTAGACAGGAGCTTGGAGATATTAGGTGTTTAGCTCTGGAGAAGGTGGCTGAGTCACTTGAGTTACCCTGCAAGTATTACTCCTTGGGATGCCCAGAGATATTCCCGTATTACAGCAAACTAAAGCATGAATCAGTGTGCAACTTCAGACCGTATAATTGCCCTTATGCTGGATCGGAGTGCTCTGTTGTTGGAGATATCCCTTTCCTGGTTACCCATCTAAGGGATGATCACAAGGTGGACATGCACACAGGATGCACATTCAACCATCGCTATGTGAAGTCAAATCCTCGGGAAGTAGAGAATGCCACTTGGATGCTAACAGTAAGTGTCGTCTTTCTTTTAGGTTGAAGTGAATTGCAATATTATCCGTTGTTCTTTGATGTTGAAATTAAGATTTGCAAGTTTCTGTGGTTCATTTATTGTTTATCCCCCTACTGCCTTTGTCGATGTTTTCTGTTCTATTTAAAATGGTGAAAAACCTATTCTTTTGATCTCATTGGGAGGGCTGCACGCAGTTGATCACCTAATCTGTTTCGGTAAGTAACGTGTTGGCGGATGGGGTTAAATGAGCAGTAGTCCGTCATCCCTTCATTCAAACCATCTCTGCTGTAGAATTGAATACTTTTTATCCAGGACCGCCTGCGTGTTACGGTCATGTTTTGCCTTCTCAACATACTAATACCTGAAACCCTTTTCCAATCAGGTTTTCCATGGTTTTGGTCAATACTTCTGCCTTCATTTTGAAGCCTTCCAGCTCGGCATGGCTCCTGTTTATATGGCATTTCTACGTTTTATGGGCGATGAGAATGAGGCCCGGAACTACAGCTACAGCCTAGAGGTTGGAGCGAATGGCAGGAAACTCATATGGGAGGGGACACCACGAAGTGTCCGTGATAGCCACCGAAAGGTCAGGGATAGCCACGATGGTCTCATTATCCAACGAAACATGGCTCTATTCTTCTCCGGAGGCGACAGGAAGGAGCTGAAGCTGAGAGTTACCGGGAGGATATGGAAGGAACAGCAAAATCAAGATTCTGGGGCGTGCATAGCAAACCTGTGTAGCTAAGACAAATGATTTGGAAAGTTCTAATGTTTGTTGCTTGAGACTGTCGTGTGTTGTACCTGGAACAGCTTGTTCCTGGTACGTTGTAACAAACCGGTTTCTTGAGTTTGGGAAGTTTTCAGCTTTAATAAAATTGTATAACAAGCAGAGGCGTTTTCTTCCTTTTCAATTTGCTTTGTAACATTACTATTAGCATGCATTTGAATCAAGAAACAATTGCAATATCTCTAACTTTTAAGTTATATGAAACGAGGAACCGATTAGATTTCTGCGAGCAATTTGTTCGTACAACTCAAATACTTGCTTCTACGGTGGGAGTTGAACTGATTTCAACATGCCTTAATAACAAAACTCACTGATTCCAACCGAGAAAAATGATTTATCACAAATTTTCACCAGTTATCTACATTCAAGCGGATACCTGCTCAGTTGCGCTGTCACTTTTGGATTCTGTCTCGGCTGAATTTTCGCCTTCTCCACTATGTTCCTCCTGACCAGTCTCTGCAGCTTCACTCGAGGCAGCCTCACTTGCATTTTCTGTGGCCTCTGCAGACCCTGTCTCGGGTTCTTTATTCCCGAACAACTTGGATGGAAGTAAGGAGGCGACAGCAGCTCTTGCACTTCTCTTTGCTGCTTCTGCTGCCTCCAGCTCCTTAGCCTTAGCTTCAGCCTTCTGCCTTTCTTTCTCCTCCATAAGCTTCCCAACTTCGTCCTCTCTCCCTTCCTTTCTCAACAACCCTTTAACAAACTCATGCACCTCCTCATCGAATTCAACCCCATCGTCATCCAGCATTGTATCAACCACATTAAGCACCTCATCCAGTTTCCCAGCATCACTCAACGTCTTCATTATAAACTGATAGCTCGGAATGTCCATCTTGAGCTTCTTCACCATCAAATCGAAAAACAATTTTGCCTCATCAATTTTCCCTACCTTAACCAATCCGTCAGCCAACTTATTATAAACCGCCAAGTTCGGCCTCAGCTTGGCATCAACCATTTTTCTGAAGTACTCGGCTGCATCATCTGGCCTATTCTCCTCGAAACAAGTATCCATCAACAGGACATATGTAAACTCATCTGGATTCACTCCCTTCTCGGGCATTTCTCCATAAAGCTCCTCAGCTTCACTCAGCATCCCATTCTTACACAACTGATCAATCAAATTATTGAAAGACAATGTATCCGGACTACACCTATAGTCTCCCATCTTCCTGAAAACCTCAATGGCATCCTTAAACCTCCCTTGTGCGCAATACCCGTCCACCATCACATTAAAGCTTCCCAAATTCACAGCCAAGTGCCTCGGTGGGTTATGCTCCTGGATCATCCTATCAAACAACCTCAAGGCCTCATCAAACTTGCCATTCTTGCTCAATGCATCCAAAACCGAATTATAAGCCACCGCGCTCATCTTCACCTTGGAACTCTCCCCCACAGCCTCATCATAACACTCCATGGCCTCCTTCTCCATCTCCCTCATGAAATACCCCTTCATCAAGTTCCCATACACAACCCCATCTTCCACAACCCCTCCCAACTTCTCCTTCAACTCCTCGAAAAGCTTGAAAACCCCATCCGAATCCGAATTCTTTACACAACCCTGCATCAAATAATGGTAAACAACTGGGTCCGGGGCGAAACCCTTGACATCAATTTCCTCCTTGAGCTCCATAGCCCTGTCCAATTTGTTGTTATCCACTAACCCTTTGATCAAAATCCGATAAGTAGTTGGGGAAGGATTGAAAGGGGCGTCATTGATCAGCTGCTTGTAGTGTTCCATGGCGGTATCGGGCTTTCGGCAATCCAGATAAGTCTGGAAGATGAGATTGTGAGTGATGATATTGGGGGCAACCCCGGCCTGAGTGATGAAGCGGTGGAGGGTGAGGAGGTCGGAGTACTTGGACTGGCGGAGCTGAGCGGTAAGCACGGCATTGACGGTGAAAATGGTGGGTCGGCAGTTGGAGTAGATGGAGTGGCGAGTGTAGAGAGCTGCCTCCTCGAGATCATTCTGGCGGATGAGGGTGAGAATGCGGTTGTGGAGGTTGAGGCGGTTGCCGGAGAGGGCCGAAACGGGTTCGGGGAGCTTCGGGGCGTTAGGGTTTATTTGGGGTTTTGGGGACTGTTGCTGTTGTTGTTGCTGGTTGCGGTGGAGGGAGGAGAGAGGGGGTTCGAGCCGGAGGCGGCGCTTCCGCTGGCGTCGTTCGGCGGCGGCTTCTTCGGGGGTGGCGAAGGAGAGGAAGCGGAGGGAGATGACGGAGGGTGGCGTTAAACGGCGGCGGATTGGGGGTTTTGCTAGGGTTTTGAGGTGGGCAAGGAAGGTGGGTTTGGAGAGAGCCATTGATTTGGTTCAGAGTTTCAGAGGTTTTGGGATGATGGGGTTCAGGGTTTGGATATTCTGAAATGGAAGAAGGGATTTTGATCAACATGGGATCTGTGCAAAGTGGGCCTTCAACTAAGATTTTAGAATAGGCCCATTGTTTCCTATGCCCACTTTTATCATTAGGCCCATTAATTAACATTCCCTTGTCTTTTGTGTAAAAGCACTCAAGCGCTAATCAGTTAACATGGCATTAATAAAGCATTAATATCACTCAAGTGGTAGTCAGTGTGGCTCGCTTGAATTTTCTTTTAAATTGACTGAAAACGGTTTTGGGAGGTAAAATGGGTGTGCACCCTTCGCAGTTGAAGAAGATTAAAAGATGAAAATTCACGAGCTGTGTGAGAGGTAAATGTGTATCAACAAGTACGTTACTTTTGTGTGTCTAACACACATCACCAGTAACTTAAGACAATTGTCGCTAGTAAGGTCTTCCACAGTAAGCTAGATAAAATGAGTATGATACCAATATATTAAACTTATATAGGAATCACACTTCTATGGTGGATCGAAAAATTTAAGTTTGATACTAAAATAAGTGTCTTTATTATACTGGACTCATGTTAGACTCATGAGTTCATACATCAAACTCATGGGTTAGTACCAATATATTGAAACCACACTAGTGTAGCAAAGTGTTACAGAAATCAAACTCAAAATGTTTGATTGCTATATCTCTGTCTATCAAACTCATCTAAATCGTTGTAGACGACCTAGATAACTAAAGGACACTTTGTTTTTATCAAATGAGAATACGATATTCCTAATATAGACACAAAGGTTTAACTATTGTTCTCAAAATCACCTTCTAGACGTTAGGCAATTGACCACTATCTTGATTAATCTCTAGGCGTTTGAAAATTTTAAAAAGGCGCCTAGACCTGCTTAGGCACCCACACACTCGGTCTCATCTAGGCATTGGTCTAGGTCACGATTCTCACTTAGACAAAAAATATATAACTTTCATTTTGCATTTTATTTTTTCAATAAATTGCAAGAGACTTGTTGAATACTTAGATGAACACACATTATGTATTTGTTCCTCATGTTTTCATTATATTCTAATACTTTATAATATATATGTTATTATATTTTGTAGTTTATGCATACACTTATTTATACAAATATATAATAAATTTACTTAAATCTATCTAATCCGCTTAAACCCCTTTCAACCACCAAGACGCTAGACTCCAGCTCATCGACTGATTGGTGCCTAACCTTGTATTTAACACACACTTCAAGAGCCGCATGTTAAAACACATACTTCAGGAGAGGGATTCATCGAGTGTGTGTCGTCCTCAGATGGACTTGATGAAGACGAGATCCATCCCCAGCATAACACTCTGCACCCGCATTCTCACCCTCTTCAGCACCACCATGAATTTTCCAAGCCCAGAAGCAATGTCACAACCAACGCTACCATTGTCGGCCCCACCTCCATCGCTCCCACCACCAGCGTCCACGAGCTGCACGAATGCCCTGTCTGCACCACTGCGTCACATGCCACGCCGTCCTTTTTGTGTCCATCAAGCATTTCAGGAAATCACTTTCGCACGTTACGTCGATAACATTCTTCAAATTCTATGAATATCACTCATCATATTGTGTTGTCATATATGTCAATATTTATTGACAATGACATGTACGCAACTTGGTTCGGTTGACAATAACAACTTCATCAAGAAGCCATTACAATTGCCACCGAAAAACTAAGCCCACTAAAGGCACAAAATTGGATGAGAAGTGTTCGATGAAATGTCTCGGTGAATAAACAGAATTTATTTTACGCGCTTCGTGCTCTGTTTTATCTAAAAAACTTGAACCTTTAACATTAGACTCACCTAAGATTCGAATCCTAAATCTGCCATTGGTTGATAGGCAGTACAAATATGATAATGTAACGTTAATATATTGACTAAAGTTTGATATCAAATAATCTCAATATCATGCATGTTGTATTTTTAATATTACACCCATCAACTTCGATTAAATTTTTTAATACCATTAACACCTTACTCTCTTCTTCATTTTTTTTTTAAATAATTAATTGATAAGGATGTCTCAGAAAATAAGAAAATTATTTACACTTTAAAATTTCATTTTGTACTCTTAAAAAGATTTCTAATAATTCAGTTGTCAAATAAATATATTTAAATTTCTTTTCTTTTGAAAGATTGTCAAAAAATAATAATTGTGCGACAAACTTTTCTATTTCCAATCGAATTGTGACCTTTTCTTTTGGTCGACACACTGTGATCATGAAAGCCAATTATATATATGCATGTTGTTCCTTCACGTGTACTGACGCCATTGCCTAGCCAAGAAAGTTTTGTCTAATGAAAACATTGTTACGGGAATCTGATAATAAAAATTTTACGTGTTATTACATGAGTAGATGTTAGATGATATGATAAATATATCTGTGTATGTCGATTTTAAATATATATATGTTGTAATTTGAACAAAATAGTAACGAGATATTAACAAAAAGGGCCAAAAAAACATTGAATGTTGATGTTTTTATTAGTCGAGCGTGTATATACATGATTATTTTTTGCTTCTGAACTAAAACGTTGTTTATGATTTTACATACTTAGCAGGCTGGTAGAACTTATGTAGTATATAAAAATATAAGAATGTGAAGAAACTTTTCATGAATTTTCTATAATATTATAGTTCAATGTTAATTTTTATACTAACATTATAAAATATTATGCCACAAAGATGAGATGTTACCGAGTTTATAAAAAATCTTGCTTCTACAGAAAAATTGAAAGAGAAAAAAACAGGAAGATGGAGGTTCGTGGAGTTTTGGAATTGTCTACGTATATGCTGGAGTAAGCTCCACGTGGGATTTGTCTTATCATCTTTTTGACTTATTTTTATTTCCGTGCGTGATCTCATCCCCAGAAAATATATATAATAATTAACCAATTTCTCCAAACAATCATTATTTAAAAAGGAATAGGATCATATCCGCAACCTTTTTGTGAGAATCAATTAATCGTATTCAGTTATCGTGCAGTTATAAATTATTTTAAAATTTTAATTTAAAATTAAATATAAATAATATCTAACGAAAACTAACTGCACGATATACAATGAACGAACACAATTGATTGATCATCGAATCTCCACAAAGAGAATCCGACGAAGATCCTTGTCCATGTAAAAAGATATTATTTTCAGTACAGCTTGCAATTTGCAACACAAATGTATTTTAGCTGAAAAAAAATAAAAATAAATATGTCCTTAGCATAATATATACATAGGGTGTCACATAAGAATATAGGACAGATATGTCATGGTACAAAAGGTACGAAAAAGAAAAAGAAAAAGGTCGTGTGAGCAAGAAGGTCCCATCAAATAGTTTAAATAGTTTGCCTTCACAAATATATGGAACCCACTTCTTTCATTTTTAAGCAAATAAGTGGTGCTTGCTCAAGGAGAATGAGAACCTTACATGCACAAGATAATCTGGTTTCGAGAGATCTAAAATTTGACTCATATACAATGGCATAGATATCTATATAAGTCCAATATCAAATTGTGACTTGGATGTGTTAAATGAGATATTTTTCAATGTATTCGTAATATAACAATACACCATATGCTATTAAACAAGTAGAGATAAATTTGTAGACGTCCGTATTTCAGAGATATTGAAGAATCTCTCTTTCAAAGGAGGTGAAGTAGAAGTATTTCATGTAGATGTCCTCTCATTTGACAAAGTAGAAAAATAAATATTCTAAATGTCGCCAATATTATTGTGACGGTCGCCTACTTAACCGTAAAAAATTATCTCTACAAAGACTCAAAATATTAAAGGAGACCACAAATTAGTGTCCCCCAACTCCCAAGTAGTTGAGAAATTTTTTTTTTTTTATCCAACAAATAGTTGAGAGGTTAGGACAGCTACACCCTTCCCATATGGGATCAATTATTCAAATCGCCATCACAACTGGGGATCTCTATGCATTTTCCTTACTTAAGGAGAAAGTTCATGTTACCTGGCGTCGGTCGCGTCTGTTTGCTAAGAAATGATGAGGGGAATCTTCTCGTTCTGGTACAATATTTTATAACAATGACATAAAATTGACGTTAAATTATAATTTGACAAAAAAATCTTTAAGAATCTCACTATTGATGTTAAATAATGCGGTAATAAAAAATCAATGAAGAGTTTCATTTGAGAGACGCCCTTTAACATTTCTCTTTTGCTAATGATGATTAACAATCCCATCCTACCCGACTAAAAGTCATCTGTCAATGTTGGACTTTCGGTCGTCAACCAAACGCTTTCGCTATTAATTTAGTCTACATCTTGTAATTCGTAACCACACCGTTGTATTAAAAAAGTTACATAAAAAATTGCTGATAACATGATATTTTCTATTTCGTTTTTTTTTTTAACTAAATAGAAAAAAGACCTAGGGGATGATAAAAAAATGAAGGTTGTCGTAAGCAAGAAAGAGCAATGCAGATCACAAATCTTATAAAAATGGGGTTAGATGAACCCTTAAATAAATAAGAAAAAAATAAGGTAAAAAAAAAAAAAAAAAAAAGAAAGAAAGATTTGGACGCATGCATATGCCCAGTGGCGCCTCTCTCTTTCTCTCTCTTTCTCTCTCTCTCAAATCGTTTATAAATTCACAAGTAGCAGCCACAGTTGGCAAATTGTAACGTTGAAAACTATACGAGGAAAGCTCTTGAATTTAGAGAGAGATAGAGGGGGGAGAGAGAGAGAGAGAGAGACGGGTAAGTTGCTCGGCTCCATATCGACGGAAGCTGAGAAAACTAGGAATTTTTTACAGTTTTACGACAAAGATTTGTATTTGAAGACAGGCAGAAAGAGTTAATCTTCAAAAGCATTAATATAAACACCTCACGTAATTTACTCTTTGGAATTGCACTCTCTCCTCGCAGGTCAGCTCTCGTTTTGCTCTCCAAAGTTTTATTTTTTGTCACTTTTTTTCTTCATGTTCTTGAATCAAGATTGAAGCTTTTTTCGACTTTTGAGCCATTCGTTGGGTAAATGGAACTGGGTGCTGCTCCTTTTTTGTTTTTGTTTGTAATTGTGTTGGTTTTTGTTTGGTTGCCGAGAAAATCTGGGAAAATTGATCACCGACTTTGAATTTGGTTGCTACTGATGAATATTCCTAGCGATTAGATTTTGCATCTTTTTCTACTTTAAGGTTAAAATAATCTAAACTGTGAAGAGGGGATTCGAATTCAATTGCAAAGTAAAGCACATCCATTCTAGTCAAAGCGGCTACGTTCACGCATGCCAATCACCTTTTTATGTTGGTTAATGAATGGTTTAATTTTCTGGATGAAAATTGAAAGCATGGTGCCGATGAGCATATTTTCGATAATGAGAAAGACAATTTAATGCAATGCTGAATGTCATGATTTTTATGTTGGTTAATTCTAGAGAAACTATCTATTTAAACCATATTTCGTAATTATTTGATGACGATTGGTTCACAAAATGCTATAATCTATGTGGTCCCTAGCAACGAAACCGATGTTTGTGTTCTGAGATAATAATGCTCAAACATTTTCTCAGCAAGAACAGTGAGAGTTAGAGAGTCTTGACTTTGTTCTTTATAAGGTTTTACTTTTGAGATCACTTGTAGCGTGACTAGCACTCAGATTTCAAGGTATTACTGCTAAATTTCGCGTTCGCGCTGCAGATATCTTGGACCGCGAAAAACAAATAACTATTTTATTCGGGTTTTCACATTTGTTTTTGCATTTGAAAGTAGGTAAATTCTTGTTTGACGGCTTGAGTCCCTCTAGAGGAATATAAATAGTTTGGTAATTCGTAATTGCTTAGGCCCCGGGGGAGGTCAGATCTGCTTAGATAAGCTTCATTGGCATTGAGCCTTTATACTGCTTTAAATATCAAGCACCTTACTGGCAATGACCGTGTGTGCGCTTGAAGTGTTTTGAACAAGTTGTGCATTCGAGTCTGATAAAATATTATTGACCGAGTACCATTCTATCGCGATTTGCTGCTAAATTGTTTATATTAAAAAAAATTGAAGATCTTAGCCATCCGTCGTTTGTCTTGCTGATTGTTTAGGAACTCTGAGTGAATTATGTTGGTTTCTTAATGGGCTGCTATTGTTCAAAGGAAGCTAAAACGCCTGGCTACGAGGACCCTGCGACTCTTGCTGCTGCAACACCTTGTAAGCGTGCTTTTTCACCCTTCTACTCTGCTGCAACTTTTCTCGTCTCCATCTTCGTACTTCCACTCCTAAACAGTCATAAACAATCAGAGTCATTTTTTTTTTCCATTAAAGCTGCTTTTGAAGTGATAACAATCTTAGTCATCCATCACTTTTTCATACCGAACTGATAATTTGAGATCAACATGAATGCTGCGAAAGATATTGATCCCGTATTCTGCCTCCTGATCGTTAGGGATCGGATATTAAGTTACCCAAATGGAGAGTTGTAAATTTGAATGGATTTTTCTTTGTCGCAGTTACTGTGAATGAAGTAGAAGCCTTGTATGAGCTTTTTAAGAAATTGAGCAGTTCGATAATTGATGACGGACTTATCCACAAGGTAGGTTTGCTAAAACTTTCAAAATTGGTTTACCTTCACTTATATCATCTCTTGCCAATCAAATGTTTTAGGTGCCAAATATAAGTAATTACTCTAAAATTTCGGGTGTTTATGTTCAACCGAATGGTAATATTCTGTCATCTATCTTTTTTGAGCAGGAAGAATTTCAGCTCGCGCTCTTCAGGAACAAAAATCGAAGGAATCTTTTCGCAGACAGGGTGTGTGATGCCGATTCCTCTTCTCTATTCTCTTCGATTATTTTAGTTCATTCATGCTAAAAGAAGTGTGATGATGGGGCAATATGGGGAGGGAGACTGATGTTCATTTTACGTGTGGAAAATCTCGTGTGTGTTTATTAATAAGTAAACGCTAGTAATTGTTCTTCATCTACAATACATTAATCTTTGGGTGTTCATGTAGATTTTTGACTTATTTGATGTCAAGCGCAATGGGGTTATTGAATTTGGAGAATTTGTTCGATCATTAGGCGTCTTTCACCCCGATGCACCTGTAGAAGACAAAATTTCATGTAAGAACATTACCCTTATCCCCTATATATCAAACTGCAATCTTCTGCAAGATTATCTTCAATTTTATCTTTCTGGAAAAAGAAACAAAATTGAAGACATCTTACTAAAATGTGTTGTCATTTGCTAAGTGACGGTGGGAATTGTTTTGCAGTTGCTTTTAGACTCTATGATCTGAGACAAACAGGGTACATTGAGCGAGAGGAGGTCGGTTTCTTACCAACTTCTTTGTTTTTATCTCCTTCTCTTACAGTTTGATCTCTCTAGATGAAAATCTCTTCTCGTAACTAAGGTAATAGTATTCCATGGCAGTTGAAGGAGATGGTGGTCGCACTTTTGCACGAATCAGATCTGGTACTCTCGGATGATGTCATTGAAATGATCGTGGATAAGGTGCGAATTCATATATATACACTGACCCGTACTCTTCTTTGCTCAGTTAGCTGAATGTCCTTAAGTTCTTTGTCTTTTTTATTTCCGCAGACATATAGTGATGCAGATAAGAAAGGTGATGGGCGCATTGATGAAGAAGAGTGGAAGGAATTTGTGTCGAAGCATCCGAATATGATAAAGAACATGACTCTCCCGTACTTAAAGTAAGCAACGTATTTAACTTGAAGTTTGTCAGTCATTAGATACAAAACTCGGGTTTGAATTGTAAAAGTTATCTACATCCTTTAGGAACATGTTTTTTTACTGTCACTACCTCAACGTGTTTCTTATTTCCCTTCTTTTTCTTACCATTTTGCAGAGATATAACATTAGCGTTTCCTAGCTTTGTGATGACTTCCGAAGTTGAAGATTCAGAAATGTGAGAGTATCACATGAAAGATGCTCATGTGCCAAGATGGTAATTACTTCGGAGGGCTTTCGAATGAAGCTACTCGCACTTCATGAAGAATAAATTTCTATGGTGACACTTCACCGGCAGATAGAAACCTCGAGTTTAAGATGAAGTTGCGAAGAACTGCTGACGAATTTCATCTAAAAAATTGGATGCTTGTACGAGTTGATCCTTCAATAAAAAATTTTACGGAATTTTAACAAAAAACTTCTGACACTGTTCACTTTAATGAAAAACCATATTTTTATACTAAAAAGTCAATTATGATACTATTCACTTTATCATTTATTTTGCTCTTGTAGTTAAAACTTAAAATTTTCAAGTCATTTTCATTAATTTTCTTAATTTTTTAATCTGGCATTAGCTCAAATAAAAAAAAAAGAATTCAAACTTATATAAAAATTGGGCCCACTGCTCTATCCAATTTGCTTTACCTCTCAATTCAAAGCTCACATACGTTTTTGTGTGTGCACATTTATGGTAGTTCCCATTTCCATTAGGTTCCTTGAGTCTTCCTCAACCAACTCCTTTTTCTGGTGTTTAGCTGTCTTTAGATGATAACAACAGATGAGGACTCTCAACTTCTTCACATATATGGTTAGTACAATAAACGTGAGAATGTTAAAGACAGTCGCTTTCGTGCGCATATGGTTCCGAGTGTTTATAAAAATTTAAACTAAGAGCATACTTCTTCAACTTATTATCAATTTTGCATCGAAGAACCGTACATAACTCTACGAAAAATCTTATCACATAACATTTGATGTAGGAGAAACATTACAAAGGGAGAGCAAAAAACAAAAAGGATCCGAATGACAACGTGACTGCACATACATGTACAGACTATACACTTATCTTTGCCAGCCTTAGATTTGAAGAACCAGTCGAGATATTGAGGATAACATGAGTGCAACATAACCTTTAAAAATTAAGGAAAACTAATGAAAAATGCTTGAAAACTTTGAGTTTTAACAATAAAGATAAAATAAAGGGTAAAGTGAATAGTATTAGGATTGACTTTTTAGTGTAAAAATGTGATTTTTTTTGTTAAAGTGAACAATATCGTGAATTTTTCGTTAAAACTCCCTAAAAATTAAATGATATTAGTTCATTCATGATTCACATAAAGAAACATTACAAAAGTGGATGGTAATTAGGTCGTGTTTGGAAAATATAATAATACAATAACTCATACTTCTCACCCCAAAACAGAAAGCAGACAAACAATGTTGACCTTGTATCTATCGATTCTATGTTTACTGTCAAACAGTATGTAGCAAAGTGACATTACAGACTTCGTAAAACACCTAACTACTTAAATCTTTACTGTCATTCCTCTATATGATTTTAACTCTCCATTCACATTATAAGGTATTAATATCATATTTAATATGCATACAAAATATATCACGGTTATCTGCACCATTCATTTAGATTAATATTATCATAATTAACTTGTGTAAAAATATGATTTTTCGTTAAAGTAAACAGTTTTTTTATTCTTCATCAGTATGGCGCGTGCATCATACCCAAAAAAGTAAACCAGATCTATTTGTTGTTAATTAGTTGGTAAAAAAAACGATTAAGAATGATTAAGCAAAACAAGATAGAAACATCACAGCCTTCTTCAACCGTTGTTTCCTAAGTAACATTTTCAACGCACATAGTGCTCACATCTCCACATCTCTCTCTCTCTCTCTGAAGAAACAAATCGATTCAGTGATTCCAAAGTATCGAACTTTCTGGGAATTCCAAAACGATTCTCTCGTTTTTCCCAGGAATCCAAAACCCCACAACTTTTTATTGCTTCCGAGCTTTCATGGCCGATCATTTTCACAGGTTCTGCTCCACCATTTATTTCAAGCTCTTCACTTTTTATTGTTTATTTGATTTCATTTTTTCATTGATTGATAAATTATTTTTCTTTTTTGTTTGTTTTTGTTGGGTGGAGGTGCAGTTTGGTAGCATTTGATCGGATCCAGTGGATGATCTCCTGCAGTGACAAAGAGGACCTGGTTATTGGGATTTCTTAGAAGGTAATAGTTTGTAATTAATTACATGTTTTAATCTTAATTTTGCTTTAATTGCTGAGAAAGTTGTGTTGAAGTAAAAAGATAAATTTTTTATTAATGGGTTTTGGATTTTGATTTTGAATTGCTAATTGTGGGCGTGATTGGTGAGGAAATTTTGTTTTGATTGATTGATTTTGTAATATTTGTTGATTTAATAGATTTTAATTGATTGCTACTTTATATTGGTTAGATTGATCTCCTGTGATTGTTCAATCAGTATCGATACTTTTTGTAATGCAACCAGTTGATAAGGATCATAAGAAGAAGAATTTAAAGCGTTCGAGATCATTTACTTTCGACATGCCTGTGACCGACCCTAATTTGACACAAAGTCTTGATGACTGTGTTCTTTTCCCACTTGAAGAGATTGTGCAATACCCGTTGCCGGGATACATTGCTCCCACTTCAATCAGTTTCAGTCCCGATGATACTATTATAACCTATTTGTTCAGTCCTGATCACACATTGAATCGAAAGGTATTTGCTTTCGATCTCAAAACTGGCAAGCAAGAGTTGTGTTTCAGTCCCCCTGGTGGCGGACTTGACGAGAGTAATATATCACCAGAAGAAAAGTTGAGGAGAGAGAGGTTGAGGGAGCGCGGGTTGGGAGTGACACGGTATGAATGGGTGAAGACAAGCTCGAAAAGGAAAGCAATCATGGTGCCATTGCCAGCTGGGGTGTGTTCTTTAATACCTGGGTTCAATAAAACATCCATATACATGTACATAATTGTATTTTAATTTTTACAGATTGAGTTCTCGCTGATGATATGGTCCTTGCTTTATGTACAGATTTATTTCCAGGATCTTTCTAGTTCAAATGCCGAGCTTAATCTTCCGAGGGCATCAGGTTCACCAATTATTGATCCACATCTGTCACCAGATGGTACAATGGTCGGTTATGTAAGAGATTGCGAGTTGCACGTTCTAAATTTGTTATACAATGAATCTATACAGTTAACGTATGGTGCCAGAGGAGATGTTTTGGTAAGTTTTCTATACCGGTAACCGTAGGTCTGGATTAACTGAGCCACTTCAGTAATATTAGTACTATAAAATATTTCTATTACAATGAGTACTGTTTTAGTGATAGGAGCTTTAAGATAACATCCTTCTGACTTTTCCTCTGTCTAAAATTTTAAGTAAAGACAGAGTAAATTTTAAAGGTAGTTGAATTTCTGATCATTTCGTTGATGTGAATCTGGTTTTTTTGTGTTGCAGACGCATGGCCTTGCTGAATATATAGCTCAGGTGAGAAGTTCATGTAATAACCTATTTTTATTTAGATTAATTTTTTTTCTTTAGAAATTTCTCAGGAGGTTAAGTTAAAACTATTCTTAGATTCTCTGAATTTTACTCATTACAGGAAGAAATGGATCGCAAGAATGGTTACTGGTGGTCTCTAGACTGCAAATTCATTGCATTCACAGAAGTTGATTCTTCTGAGATTCCGCTTTTCAGAATCATGCATCAAGGTAAAAGCTCTGTTGGTTCAGAAGCTCAAGAAGATCATGCCTATCCCTTTGCGGGAGCTTCAAATGTCAAAGTTCGCCTAGGCGTGGTTTCTTCTGCTGGAGGCCCTATTACTTGGATGGATCTTCTGTGTGGGGGAACAGGTCAACCAGATAGTGAGGACGAATATCTGGCAAGAGTAAATTGGATGCATGGAAATACTTTAATAGCTCAGGTTATAAACAGATCACACAGCAGATTAAAGATCCTTAAATTCGATATTAAAACTGGGAAGCGAAAAGTTTTATTGGTAGAAGAACAAGAAACATGGGTTAGCTTACATGACTGCTTCACACCTCTGGACCGAGGAATAACCAAATTTTCAGGGGGATTTATCTGGGCGAGTGAGAAAACAGGATTTAAACATCTTTATTTGCATGATGCCAATGGAACATGTTTAGGACCTATCACCGAAGGTGACTGGATGGTTGAGCAGATTGCTGGTGTAAATGAAGCTGCCGGACTTGTTTACTTTACTGGAACCTTAGATGGGCCTTTAGAATCGCACCTTTATTGTGCTAAGCTACTCACGGATGGAAACCAACCCTTGCAAGCTCCAGTGAGGTTGACTTGTAGCAAGGGGAAGCATGCGGTGGTGCTTGATCATCATATGAAGAACTTTGTTGATATACATGACTCCCTTGATTCTCCCCCTAAAGTTATACTGTGCTCCTTGCACGATGGAAGCTATATTATGCCTCTGTATGAGCCGTCATTAACGGTTCCAAGATTCCAAAAGCTTCAACTTAAGCCACCGGAGTTAGTTCATTTGCAGGCTAATGATGGAACAACATTGTATGCAGCTCTATACAAGCCTGACGAAACAAGATTTGGACCTCCTCCTTACAAAACTTTGATCAGCGTGTATGGTGGACCGAGCGTGCAGCTCGTCTCTGATTCTTGGATTAATACAGTTGACATGAAAGCGCAGTTTCTAAGAAGCAGAGGCATCTTAGTATGGAAGGTGGGTATCCGTCTGAAAAAACTTTACCATTCCGGGTTTTCTATTTTTTCTAAATTTTATTCTAACTGCCGATTTTTCTTGTTTACAGTTAGATAATAGAGGAACTGCTCGGCGTGGGCTGAAGTTCGAAGGCTCTTTAAAATACAATTGTGGTCAGGTTGATGCCGACGACCAACTGACTGGAGCCGACTGGCTTATAGAAAAAGGGTTAGCACGAGCAGGTCACATTGGATTGTATGGTTGGAGCTATGGCGGATATCTTTCAGCTATGACTCTTGCCAGGTTTCCTGATGTCTTCCGGTGTGCAGTATCTGGCGCCCCTGTTACATCGTGGGACGGGTATGACACATTCTACACCGAGAAATACATGGGACTGCCTTCTGAGAACGAGGAAGGATACGAGTCTAGCTCGGTGATGCACCATGTGCACAAGATGAAAGGAAAGTTGTTACTTGTCCATGGCATGATCGATGAAAATGTTCATTTCAGGCATACTGCCAGGCTTGTCAACGCACTTGTTGCGGCTGGAAAGACTTACGAGCTATTAATTTTTCCAGACGAACGGCACATGCCACGGCGTCATAGGGATCGGATTTACATGGAAGAGCGAATCTGGGAGTTCATAGAAAGAAATTTGTGAAAAAAATGAACCACCTGTTTATATCTTGTAAAATTTTCTTGTTGGTACCCTATTTCGTTCTTCCAATTGTTATTGCTTGTTCTGTTCTATTTCTCA